GTATGTATAAATTCAAGACTTCTACAGCTATGCGTACAGTGACTGAGGTGTTCCGGCCCGTTTTTATTTCATTAGCACCGAAAAAGAAGCGACGGCTTACTCCCTCACCCACCAGCTCGCCAAAAATGGTCGAATTGAGCCGCGTTTGCTAGACTTTTTCCGTTAAAAACCGTTTTGAAAACGTCCAGATTTTGCTGGAGAATTCGATTATTCTTGGAAATTCACTTAATGCGCCCTCTTTCCAGTCTCCCAATAGCACTGCAGACCCTATGCAACGTGTGGTATATCCTCGTGGACAAAGCAGCTCATTTGACCACATGGGAGGGCTGGCGTTGGCTCTCGGATTGGACCTTGGGGATAGGTGAGTGGCTGCGAGGCAACTCGTTCGCACCAGCTTGGGCGCGACGTGAGGCGCTGGCTATAGTACTGCCGCCGCTCGCCAACGCACCGGCCAACGGTGAGGACGCCGATGCTGCCGCGCTCCACCGTAAGCAGGTACTACGCGAACTCCTTCTCACCCTCTCCGTGCCTCTTCGATTGGCCCTCCTCTCCACTTTGTTACTGGTGATCCTACCCGCTTCTCTCGGCCTTCTCATCAACCTCGTTGTCTTTATCCCCGCCTGGATCGGACCCGAGAAGACCCTAGCTATCGGGTTTTCAGAGGTAAGGGAGCGACATTGCTTTCTTTTGCCTTTGATTATAAACATTATTTTAATTCCTTCACTTTTTGCCTCCTCTCCTACAGAGTTGGATTTTCGGGGTGATGCACATGAAGGTTTGGATGCTGATTCTGCTGGTGGGGCCGCGTTGGCAGGTGCGGGATCGGTTGGAGGAGATTCACGATGAAATTCTCCACAACTGGCCTGCGATTCGTGTTTTCCGCATCATCCGACTCTCACTGCCTCTCTTTGCGATTATCGGACTCTCACTTTCTTTCCCCTTCCTCCTCGCTTACTATCTTGCTCCTCATCTCAGTAGGTCCCCCTCGTTATTTTTTTTGCCACGATGTTTTGACATTTGCTTGCCGCTTGAGCTGCTATTACTACCCCTTTCTCATTGCACTTTTCTTTAAGATGTCCGACCGGAGGTTGCGTTCCGTTATGTCTATCCCCTGCTCTTTGGATTGGTTCTGCTCGGTGTTTTGGTCTACTGGCAGATGCGACAGTGTATCAAACTCTACGAACAAATCAAGGATGCTGAGTAAATCGCCGTTTCGTCCCGTCACATCCTCGTCGCGTCATGACTCACCCGCACATTTCATTTTTAGGTATCTCATTGGACGTAGACTCGTGAATTACGGTGATGCGGACAGTGCTGGGAAATGGGCACCGAGCACTTCGGCCGAAATGGGAACTCAGACGGACAATGGCCTGGGCAATGAAATCATGGCCGTGGCCACGTGATACTACTCTCCGTGCAGTATTTTACCTTCCTTCCCCCTCTTGCAAAGCACTGCTTCGGTCAAGTCTAAATAATTATGCATCTTTCTTCCACACCTCGTGTAAATAGATTTGTGGAACACAAACGATGCTGCGTATGTTCTCTCACTTTTGCAACGAATTAGAATGCCAAGTGCAGGGGCGGTTTATATCTATCGCGTGGGGAAAGACCAGTACTCCACCAGAACGAAAATGGGCTGAAATGAGAATGACCACTCCCTCGTACTGAAATCAGAAGGCTGATTCAGTAGATAAAAGTTCAATTTTTCATTCGGTGATTAAGGGGTACTTTACACCTGGAGTCGTAAGAAATCGTGTGGGATTTAGTCAACTCTTCTGTACAACTTTGGTGGGCGGGAGGGGGCCTTCTTTGCCTTGAACTGAAACAGAAAGCACGACTTCACCTTGAAAAGTCGGAAAGGCTGTGTAGGCTGGAATGATAAGCTCAACGGGGGGAGGGTTTTGCATTTTGGTGAAAAAATCATTAAGGAGACTTGGGAGTTAAGGTCCGCAAAACCCATGTAAGAATGTGAAATATCATTTAAAAGTGCATGACCGGTGTTACGTTGATACCATTTCTGGCAGCGGTTTGTCATATATTCGACCTGGGAGTTCATAAATCGCCTAGGTTTAGTACATACCGAGTTCGTGGGTACTCGTGGCACATCAGTTCTCCTCCGGCTATCAACAGACCTCAAAATTTGCTAAAAAACACACTGAAGCTCAGCTCATGGAGTGTGTACATCAAAATCAACCGCACCAACTTACCGGTGAGAGTGTTGTCTTCATTGCCATCCGTGGTACATCTGGTCGCGGTATATGTACCTAATAATAAGGATCAGTTATAACTCAACAGGGAAAGCTAGTTGGCCACAAATGAGAATGGGATAGGAAAATTTGAAGTAGAAGTAAAAGAGGCTGAGAACTCACAGTATTGATAAATCTGTCGACTTCACGCCTTTCCACGGGCAGACTGACAGGACGGACCAAATTCTATCGTAATATAAAGGAAGGCATTTAAGTGTCCTTTACAAAAAATCGGTGATTGTTAATATCCAATCTTATTTTCATGAAAAATCCACAAAATAAAGGGGAAAGAAACAGCAGTTAATTCCCCCCCCCGCATGACATTTGGCCATAAATCCAAGAAAACTTTTATGCTTGTATAAAGGCGAAAACGGAATTAACATGAATAAATTCAGCCTGGGATTACCGTTGGAAATCTTAATTGTAAGAGTACATGTTTGCAAAATTTACACATGAAGAGGTAGCTTGCCCTTTTGCCTGATTGATAATCAGCAATGAGTTTCGCTGCGGAGTGAATTAGCGTGTTCTGTCTACAATTGAGAAAAAATGCACACTAACAATTCCTATTTGCTCCAACATCTTGACGCCAGAGGAAAAGTACTAGCGAATGAGTAGCATAAATGAGTAAAAAGAGGTAAAAGGACTCCAGAGTAGGCCTTGCGTTACCCGACTGCATCTAGTTCTCTAAACACCTTTATAATAAAGTATTTTTCGGATAACAATTCGAGAATACTAGCATAACCAGTGGCCACGGCTTCCCTACAAAAACTTTGTGTTCAAAAGTGATTGAAAAAACAAACATGCTAGGACGCTTTCACATGAATATAGGCACTCAATTCTAGCATAAAGCAGATATTCAAATATGTTTACAGGAAAACTGGGCGATGAATTCTACTTATTAACATGGATTAATTTCATGCGCTTTCAATCCTCGTGTTTCCTGATTAATGTGGCCAAATTTTTATCGCTTACGCAATGCGCGGCTCAGGAGTAGTCAGTGAAGTCGAGGGTACAATACGAGATGTGATACGTTCCTCATAGTGCCGCATTAACATTCCCAGCGTGGAGAGGTATTCGCACACCGAAGGCACGTCCTTTACCTTAATACGCAGAGGATTCATTATGAACTTGGTCAATTTTTTCTGCACTTTCTCCAAATTCTCATCTCCTTCAGCCGCGGGAACTAGAAGAAGCAAGGATATCGAAAGCTGAGTTGGCCAATTCGTGGAACGAAATAAGTGAGAAAAAGGGGAATTACGCTGCCAGCACTCCCTAAATATATCCCTCATTGCTTTCTTTAGAAGAATGCACTGTGAAAAGTTAGAAGAAAGCCAGGCCTCCTTCAGTACAAGAATGGGGGCCGTATAGGGTAATACGTTGGGTCGACAGGAGGCGGAAGCGAGCGCGTCTTGAGGAAAGCTGGAGGTAAGCGATTCAATATCATAGGTGGACGAAACAGATATCTTTTTTAAGAATGCACATCGGTGGTGGTAGGATGCCGAGATTGAAGAAATAAGGACGCCTATCTTATCCGTGACGCCCGAAAACGCCCTTTCGATGTCTCCGGACGAGCCCTTTGTGAGTAAATAGTCGGTGGCTTGAAGAAGACTATGAATGGGGAAAAATGGACGCAATGGCACAAAGCTGTAGCAGAATACCTGATTTTGGTTCAAAATGTCTGCTAACTACATGTGGGGAGATATACACACTAAATTAATAATGTGCCAGCATTACCGAGTAAGAACGGCTTTCCAAAAAAACATCAAGACAATTTAAAAAGGGGGAAGTGTGAATGAGTTATTTGAAATGGTACTCTATAATTCATACCAAAATAACATGTCGAGGAGGACCACCACATCACTGTCTTCAACACGTGGACGAGTTTTGACAAGTGTGAGCGAATCGGCAATGTACCCATAAATTCGCCCATAATCAGGTGAGATGAATCCTTTGGGTCCACCCAAGCGTATTGCAGTGCATCTATTTTCCGTATCATTAGAACACTCGTTTCTAGCAATGTCTCGAAGAACCTAAATCCCAAAAAGATAAGACGTAGGACGAGTATCACATGACATAAGGGGAACAACATGACTTACCGATGATATCCCAGGCCCTGGTGAAAACCGAGCTGGCACAACTGATTTAAAGCTGTTTTTCATAATCTAAAGCAAATCAATTCAAAATTTAAGAGAACCTCAAGAGTGCTCTCTTCTGTAGGAATCTGTTCAGGTGCCAAGTTTCCTCCAAAGTCGGCTGCGTCATTTGATAAACACAAGGAAATGAGCTGTTCAATCTATTTAAAAGTAGTTGGACAAAAATAACCAACGTCTTCGGCCTTTTTTGAAGGTACGATATTCCTCAATTCTTCCACAGATAACATGTTGTCCCTAGAATAATTATGGTTAAGTCATACAGCCCTACCTTTCAAGCGCCCATATTATTTTATCAAGATCAGAAAGAGACCAATTTGATACTGCTCGATGCAATCGCTTCGAGACGCACACGTAGTCAGGCGGCAAAAAGGCCCGATTCTTACAAGCAGCCATGCAAGAACACAAAACTGCCACAGTACCACAAAGTGCGCCACAGGCGCAGGGCAATATAAAAACTCAACCAGTCAATTATATTTCGCAATGAAATGATGAAGATGTTGACGCACGGGAGATGGTAAAAAATGACAAAAAAGTGACTTAAAACGCAAAATATTATCACCTTATGATCAATTACTTCCTTGCAACCATGAAAGGACGTAGATTTGCATTTGGTTGCAAACCCGAACAATACGTACTTTACTTCTTAGTAAGGTTATTGCTGGTATAACTGGAGTTCGACATCTGTGAAAAATGCGCATTATTAAGTGCTGATAGCATGGAGGAGGAAACATTGTAACAAATAGTCACTACCCTTGGAAAACTAGATTTCTTGGTAGGAGATGGATGATAATAAGATAGTTATAAATTGCAGTTTATGCCTGTCGAAAGTATTATTAACGGAAACTCAAATTTTGGAAAATTACTTACTGGGTTACAAATCTACGGGAACCACTTTGACCAAAGCTATGTCCTAACAACTTATTTAGGCCTACAGTCAACGGAACACAATCATTTTTGTTTAAGCTTTTATTTATTAAAACCACATTTATTGTAGACTACGCAGCTAGTTCACTGCCCTGGTCTGTGGCAGTTTCGATTATGTTTGTTTTAACTACCTCCGCTTGATGCTCCAAATTCAATGCGGGGCAGATTGGCTCTCCCTTTTCCTGCCGTTAGTGCTAGGTTCGCCTGAGTTGTTGGCTTTTCATGCGTTGAATAATCATTTGCTTCGGTGTCTGCTTGGGTCATTCTGACAGAGTGTTTTGCATTTATATTTTGAGTGGTCGAAGTAATAAGTCGTACCACTATGTCCCAAAATTGTGTTTATTTGGTGGTCCATGCGTTTGGCTATGCTTTTCTGGTCAATCATGATTTTTTTGCCCTTGTACTACTGCATTTTTCTACAATAACACTTACTTGGCGGTTGTTATGCGTTTGTACTGCTGAACCAGTTTAGATATACTAATATGAAACGAGGTAGTACCTAGTTGAACGAATGATCTAGTTTAATTCCAGGATAAAGGTACATCACCGGGCTTCCACTCACTTCAGAGTAATTAGTTTGCCTTTGCTTTTTATTGTTTTCCATTCTCGGTCACTAGGTTCTTTCACAACCTTTAATAAAATGAGCGGTATCGCTGTTTCGTCAACAAGAAGTTTGTAACGTCATAAGCAGTAGTTTTCAAACAATATTCCTTCGGTTTTTTGAAAAAAGCCTATTGGGAATGCTTCGTTTCGGCTAATGTTAGAACTTGGCTTTACAGCATGACTAGCGGCATACAATTTATTGGAAGTCTTGGAGTGTTCTGAGATGTAAATTTTGTGCAACGCTCGGTGCATTTTATCCCAAGCTGCGTTCTGCGATGTAATGTGCTCAAGAATTGTAAAATTATGTTAGGGTATTGATTTTACTTTTAAGCATTAAATGACAGCGAAATCCATGTAGTAGTTTTATTGTGGCTGTTGATTTTCTCCTCAATGCCTTTGGTTATGACTACATCCTCAGTTTTACTATAATGTTTGTGTAGAGGATATAGGATTACAGGATCACGACGGGTTAGTTAGTGTTTACCCTCATCGGATCGTAGGTAGGTTAGCATGTAGCAAGTTTAACATGTTGGACTTTTTTGCAACCATTCGCCGTAAGTTTGTTAAGCATGGTGATCTTTGTGATCCAGAAGCATTTGCATTGTACGTTTCTGGATCCTTACTACAGAGCGAAGCGAAAAATTTTATCTTCGTTTTCACTCTTGAAAGGCCCTTTCTTCATCCTTACAAATTTGGCTAACATTGACTGTTTACATAAACCATGTTATTTTATACAGAAAAATGATCTCCGGCAAAGACCTCAAGTCGTTGCGCTACGCACTCCAACCGAGCATAAACTTTATGAAGAATTGGGGTCGTCCGCTATCCGCCTATGGGGCCGGCGCTGCCCTACTGGCCATCTATCTCATCGACTGGCGCATCGTCGCGACTCGAATCCCCTTCTACAGGAAGAAGTTTGAAGAAAAGACAATTGAATAGCTTGGTGGATTGATTGTTGGGAGAAGTCGTCCATGCCTATGATCTAGTGTGCACGCCCTCTTCAGGACGCCGTTAATCTTTTTTTATATTTAACTTCAAATAAAAGCTATCACAGATCGACTGGTTTGTTCATAATGGTTGTGATGGGCGCATCTTTGATGGTTCAGTTTGAAACGATACAAGGTGTTACGTTCATTGAATTGATATGGGATTTTTGTCTGTTTTAATTCCCTTTCTGTGGACTTGTTTCAGTCACACCAAGTTTATCGCAGTCTATTGTTTGGTTCGTTTGCTTAGATAGAGCTGGTGATATAGGGGTCAGCTGCTGGGCTAATGCTGACGAAACCGAGTTGGGTATCGAACAGTATCGAGAGAGGGCTGTTAGGGGTCCATACCGGGCTTCTCGCTGATAGTTTTGATTCAGAGCTGTTGTCAGGTGACGGCGTAGTCACCAGGGTAATTTTCTATTTCACCGGACGATTCCATCCCTATTACCGACGCTGGAATCAGCCATGGGGCTGAGCTTGATCCACGGCGGTCTTGTTGTTTCTACTTAGAGGATATGTTCAACAGTAACAGGAGCTTATGCTAACTCTCCTATAGCCGCGCGAAGTCATCCACAAGCACCAGTGATTGCTTTTAGTTCTAACGGGCGAGTTTGATTAAATTCATTCGAATCAGGAGTCCTGCTTCTGACTTATGCCAATCTCTCTGAAGGGATGATTGCCTTTTTCGACTAACGGTTCTCAAATATGTGCATCAAAGCACACGGTTTTGGAACGTTTAGGGCTATTGTGTCAATGCCAAATGCTTGGGGTTTCATTGTTAAAGGTGTGGTTGGATATCCAAATTATTGGCATGAGTCAGTACGCAAAATTTTGTGTTTCGCTGACTCTTTTGCCGCTGAATTTGGCCCTTGATGAAACAGAAAGGAGACGGCACTTTTCAACACACAAATTCAGGCCTACACTCTTAGACGTGGACTACTAAAAGTTTTTTGGACATAACTGTTGACCAGTAATTTTATGCACAACCTAAAACCAATGATTTTATATACTTGGTAAATAACAAAATGGGGTGGTGCCATTCTTAGTCGATTAGCGATGGATCACTTAAGCGGCACAGGAGTTTGAGGGTGTCTTTTAAACGCGACCCGCTTATAGCTTCTTGAATGAGCCCTTTAAAGCAGAAACCAAGCTGCTTGCAAACTACTCAGCCTAACAGACTGTATTGGTAAACTTCTAGTAATTAATCCGCCGTGGAACCACTTTTTCGGATAAAAGTTTATTTGAAACACTTGAAAAGTGAAAAAACCAATTAGAGAAAATTATGCGGGTTGGGTGTGTTGTTGCTGGTGCCTTGCCCAGGGGAAGGAGGCATTTGAAGATGGGTATAAAAGTCGGGGAAGACTTCCTCGAAAAGTCACTTTGCGTCTTTGCTCTCAGAAGACGCACTTCTTGACGCTTAAACCCTACAACTTTCCTCATCGTTCAACGGTTTGCACACGAGAGGGTGTTGAAGCCTGACTTAACGGCCTGCACCATGGCTCAACTACCACTAACGGAATTGCTGGCCCTAATCGTGCTCATTTCAGCAGTGGCAACAAGGCTTTCGGATGGGTATGTTTGGCGCAGTTTTATGATTTGTGGAACAATTTCTTACTTGTCATTACTAGCACAGTTTCAAGTGTAATAAGCCTGCCTTTAGTTGCGCAATCCCAGTAACGACAGTCGAAGCTGAAGACGAGGTTTCTAATAACCTTGGAGATTTTATGTAAACTGAATAAGCTCAGCCCTAATTCCGTACCAGCATTCTGCAATCCAAACCTTTCATGATAGTACTTTATTAATAAAAGAAATTATGGGCAGAACAATGTAACAAGGCTTTAAAATTATGTAAACTATAGTAGGATTTAGAATAACAATCGCAGGTTAGGTCACAGTGTCTTTAATTTAAGCTTGAACTGTCCCTTTACTCTAACCTGAACTCGAATTACTACCCACTAGACACGGAACATTCTCTTGTCTTCTTCTGTAGGGATGACTGTCCTCAGTCCACCGTGAGTGAAGTCTGTCACAATGGCACACTCCTTCTCGTTGCTGAGAAGTACCTCAAAGATGCCAAAGACAACTGCGTGAAAGTCGTTGACCGGCGTCAACTTCCCGAACTGAGTTTGTTTATTCTCACTTTCTTTCTACTTTGCTCACTTAGCTGTGCCTAAGTTGACGATGTTTATTCAGATATGTAGTAATGTATGGCTAATTTCGAGTGATAAAATAATATTTTACCCCTAGATTATCATTTAAATGTATGTAATCCTGCACTGTGATTATAGTGGATCACAAGCTTTGTAAACGGTTTCACTTGCATTATAGAGGTGTATTTATCTCATTTAACTGTAAGCTTAGAAATTCCCTTCTTCTTGTTGTAGTATGTCCACCGCCTACACTCATAAAGGCTTCGCCGTGCTCCTCAGAGGGTCAAATGACGGAGTTTTATGAGGCCTACCGAAAACTCAATTGCAAGTGTGAAAAAGTTATCATAAGTCAACAGAAGGCATGCCGTAAGTTCCACAGAACACAAAAGACCTCTAGAATCGGTTCTTAACTATCTTTACATCACTCATGCCTTGAGAGATAATAACGTTGAAATGGTATCACAATGGAATTCACAGCCTCACTTATTCCGACTTCGGTGTCATCATCTCCAGCTTGTTAGGTAAAGTGGAACTGAGTCCTTTGGTTTCATTAAAATCTGCTTTAAAATTGTGAAGAGTACTCTCAGGAGATTTGGCTCTATTGTGCTTGAAAACCCATAAAAAGTAATCTTAAAGCCAACAGTACTTCACGCAAAACGTTTTCACTTCGTCATGAAAGCATGCGAACCCTGCGAAACAACTCGCAAAGACTGCGATCCTCACTCTAAGACGGTGGAAGTCACTACAATATGCTACCGTCATGGAACCAATGGACGCTGCGATCCTGTCCGTCAGGTTAGCTACGAGCCCTGTGGAGGTAAGCATTCTCTCCTCCGATTTCTTGAACCGCATCTAACAGACGTATTGAATAAATCCAATCCCATACATTGTTTTCGCCTAATATTTCATGATTGGTACAAAGTTTTATGCCGATAGTAAGATCAGTTGAATAGTTAATAAAACAGTTTGGTATTTACAGACTGCCCAAATAGCGTAGCGAGAAGGGAGCTGCCGTGCGACTACTGCAAGGGGAGACGCGACGTTGTGCTGGTAACACAATTCAGGGAGGAGTCCAGTCCCAGAAGGTGTCTCGTGTCGGAGAGGAGAATCAGCGAGCCTTGTGGTAAGCCTACAAACTATTCACTTTCCTATACAAAGTATATTTTTATAAAGTCAAATTGAATGCCATCTCATTTATTGAAACTATAAGAATGTCCTGATTTTTGCTTTTATACTTTCAGAATGCAAAAAAGGAGTAACCACTAAATTTGTGTGCGTGAACAATGATGCTCGCATGCGACAGATGACACATAGGAGACAAATTTCCTGCTTTGAGTGCAGCACTAAGACTATCGAAGTAGTTGAGAAGAAGATAAGTGAGTACCTTGCATCTCAAGGTTAATCCTGCAGTTGTCTGAGGGAAACCCCTTAAAATACCATCTTTATTATCAACAGTCTGGTTTGAAGTGGTATTAGGTTCACATTTCATTTCCCCAAAATAAAACTAGTGGTTTTCCTCTGGCCCTAAACTTTGCAATTTTCGATTAGAATGCCGTGGTCAGGCTCTTGTGCGTCAACCCTGTAAGCGTGACCCTACTACTGGGATCGGCTTTCAGGAGATACGTCTCGTCAGTGAGCGTTCGGTCAATTGTACCTGCACACGCTCCGTCCGTGCGATTAAACAAGTTTGTAGTAAGTATTTCACCCTCCCATCCATCCTCCTTTACATCCATGGAATCTACTAGATTTAATACTACCCACACAACTTTTTCGAATAGGTTGTCCACCAGGCGTGAAACAGGAGACAGTGTGCCACGGTCACAGCAACACCATGATTGTGAAATCTATTCGCTACCGTCTGCATCAGAAGGACAGAAACCATGTCAGTTGTCGGGCGGTGGTCCACCTTAAACATTTGCCACCTCCGCCCTGTCCACCACTGAATGAGACAGTCGCAGAGAATCAATCTGTGCTGTTGAAGGAGGTCTGCGATCCCCAGATCTGCCAACGCCATATTGTTGCTAGTGAATGGCAGCTGGAAGGGTGCGAGTGCCGGCGAATGGTTCGCAAGGAGGTTGCCGGCAAATGCTGTACGTGTTGATGTTAACTTATCTAGGCAACGGAAATAACAAATTTTGTTTATATATGTAAGGTTTTGCCTTAATATTCAAACGTAATCTAAGGAGAAGATGCTGTACGATAAAAAGGGCAAATAACGAGTAGACTTGTCGGTGCAACTTCATTGCAACTTTTAAAGAAGATTGGCTCCTAGAGGCGTAACTTGATAGCCGTGTTACAATGAGCAACTACAACGAAATCTCCATTTGTGGTCTCTACACACTTTGTATCAACTCGCTTTTAGGCTGCCCGAAGTCGAATATTGAAGTGTCTCCGTGCGTCGGCAATCAGCGCTCTGTCCATAAAAACTCGTACGTTCTAATCAACGGGCAATGCTTGCGGCATGTTACAAATAAAATCGAGCCCTGTAGAAGCAACCTGCAGGATTCGCATCGCGTCTACTGTGACGAGACTCTTGGCGCCAAAGTCTATGAGACCTCAACTTTCAGAGAGCTGGCTGGGGGCACACTTGAGACTCTCCAAAGGCGAACTATCCCAGTCGGTGAGTGCTCCGTCGAGAGGGTAGAACATAATCCGCTGTCATTTTAACGCTACTTTATATACCTTAGTGTTAATGGTATCTCCTCACTCCATTTATTTTAAACCTCATAATTTTGACCTAACATTCCGTGTCCTTTTAATCAGTTTATCAAAATGCGTCCGAATGCTTCATTACATAATGGAGTGAATTATGGTACTTGTAAATTTTTCCCACCTTTACTGAGCATACATAATTGAAATCGTGTTGACTAATCGGATCGCTTTGCATCAAGGCTAACGCGGATCTGGCTGGGGCTAGATGTTGTTCACGGTCAAATTTATTCGTAAAATACCAAAAACGTTATCGTTATCTCTAAATTGAACCAAAAATTTAGTGCACTTTTCATCGGCATGGAAAGGGATATGGAGAAAAAGGCCCCACTAACCTAGCATCTTCAAAGGTGTTATGTAGATGCACGTAGAGGAAGACCTGCATTCATAAATTTCAGTTGGAATTATTCTAAAATCATTGCTGACCACAAACCCTGTCCCTTTCCCACGCAAATGAATGATTCTCGGTTTCAGTCTGCAATGACACGTACGTGGAGAGTGCGGGAGCATGCAAGCGGGACGCAACGACAGGTCGGATGGTCCGGACGGCTGTGGTGATGAGCAGCAGTCGAGAGGGCTGCGAGTGCACAGCACCGCGAGCGCACATCCTCACCACCGCCTGCGACTGCGTAGACGTTGAGACGGGCGAGGTTAAGCAGGAGGGGGAGAGTTTTAGGGAAGAGGTGCCCTGCGAGACCCACTGCACACCTGGTGGGGAACTTTGTGGCACTCCCGCGTGTCAACGCAAAAGCCGTTGGTTTAACATGATTTATTTGGGCGAAGGAGATCCACCAAGGTGTCGTAAGGAATTGATCAAAGAGGCAATCGCGGATTGTTGCAAGTCTTTACTTACTAAAAATCATTTAATGCTTTTATTTATAATAAATTATTAGTGATACTAGACCCTTATTCACTCATTCCTGGCGACACAAGTTAGCAAGCAGTTAGTAATTATGGGCTTCTAAAATAAACAAACATCTGTTGCTGCCATGAATTCTAAGGCTGTCCGGCTGACTCCAAAATCACCCGCACCTGCAACTTGGATGGTGGAGCAAAGTGGCAGATGGCGCAGACTAGGTACCGTCTGGAGGCAGGTAGATGTACGCCGCAAGAGACGCGATGGCAGGAGACGGTGAACTGCTCTGAGGGCTTGGTGGGTCAGGAGCGCGGCCCGCGCCGCCCCGAGGGGCTGCAGGAGGTGCGTTTGGTCTTCGAAACTCTCGTCGGGTGCAAATGCGTGCGCGCCGAGAAGCAACTACAATGTCCCTGGCGTAGGTCTAAACTTAAGCACATCCCACTACCGCTAAAGCTTTTGCGATAAAATGTGGTTCTATTGTTTACTCACTTTAGGTTGCCCAGAACCAACCCGACATGTCTACTGCGACACTGCGCTGGGCGGAGAATCGGTGGTGGAGGTTACGCGGTTTAATCTCATTGGCTGCAAGTGTCAACGTCAGGTGCAGAGCAAAAGAAGCAAGATAAGTAAGCCTCAGTTTTTTTTACCTTATGTTTGAGAGACAACTCCTGTGCATAGTTAATGGAAATGTCTTCTCATTACATGGTCCAAATTAACTCACCATGTCAATTACAATGACAAAATTCACGAAATACGTTTTTACCAGTCGACTTTACCTTAATATCACTGCATTCTTTGAGGGTAGGCTCTCAATGTATGAAATAAACAAGTGTTTGCATAAAAAGTAAGCCTTCAAGCATATTAACTGAGGCGTTTAATCTGCTGTGCTCTTGCAGTCTGCCCAGTGTACTCCGAGCTGGTGTCAAGGAATTGTTCGACTAGCACTGGCAAAGAGACAGTCATTCGAAAAAGAATGGTTCAAGACGGATGCATGTGTAAAGTGGTTCTTGAAACTTCCTACGAACAATGTGGTAAGTTACCAGTTCAATGCTTTTGAAAATATTTCCACTTGGAGGCTAATTCTTAAACGATAGGCACTAATATTCACTTCGAAAATAACAACAAATTCCCATTTATTGTTATTTGTTTTTACCTCAATTAGGCTGCCCACCCGACCGTAAGGGAAAAGCAATCTGTAACCCTGCAACCAATGAACTCGAGCAAACAATCACCAAGTTCATCCTGATTGGTGGAAAGTGCCGAGAGATTGTGGAGACCGAGAGACGACCAGTCAGGTGTTCGGAAGACCTCCTGACTACTCACCAGGCGATGAAGCAACCACTGCTACGATGTAACAAAGAAACGGGTCAAGGAGAGCTTGTGAGACCGGTGTGGCGAGTGAGCGAGTGTAAATGCACCCGGGGAGAAGAGATACTGCTACGAGGCCGATGTCGTGAGTTGATCACCGTACCCCTCATATACACACACACGAATGCATATTTACTTTCCACCTTGTTTTCTCCTCAGAATGCAATGACCCAAGAACAATAACAGCCTGCGGTCCTGACAAAGGTGTGCGTATCCATCAAGTGACAAAATTCACGCTGAATAAACAAACTTTACAATGTGTCTCCAACACCACAGTGGAAGAGGAGCCCTTCTGTGAGCGATTACACTCACTGCCCATTTGCTGCAAAAATTATGCTTTGTCCCAATACCAATTTATGCCTTTGACCATTCACAGCTTGTCCCAAAGCAGAGACGATCTACACACCCTGTGACCCTTTGACGGGTAAGAAGAAGATGATTGTGGTGAGCTATGTGCCGGAGAATTGCATATGTAAGAGGCGAGAGGAGGAACACTCTTTATCCTGCCGATGCGGAGCCGATAAACCGTCGTTTGGAAAATCACTCTGTAATGTTCTGCGCCGAGAGATCTCTATGGAAGGCACCCTGAAAGAGTGGCGGGATGATATTAATCAATGTGTAGACGTAGTAAAACGGATTACCTATCCACATGGTGAGATATCCAGATTGTACTTTTCATTGCATCCCAAACACGTATTCTTGCCTTTTTACATTAAAGAAGGATTTCTAATGTTTGAATTTTAAGATGTGTAGTTGAACTAAAGGAAATTCTAAATCTTTCCATGTAGTTTGCAGCCCCAAAGTCAAATTCATACAGTCGCCATGCATGAAGGGTAAGATGGAAGTTAAGAAGATCATCCAGGAGCCCGACCCTAATGACTGCAAGTGCATTACAAATGTCACAGTCAGTAGGGTTGATTGCCGTAAGTCTACACGCGTTTGCTTTAAACCTGCACCTGTGTGGGTTGCTGTTACCGTAGTTTCCCCTCAATTAGGTTGCCCCCCAAAAAAGACGGTGCTTGGGAGCTGCGACTCGGGCGAGGAAAGGCAAACTTTGGTCTATCTTGATCGAGACTGGGATGCACTAACTAAGCAATGCATCTATAAAAATCGACATCAGGAGGATCTCGTTTGTGATTGCCCTATCTCTACTGAATCCACATTGTGCGTTAAAGGACTGATGGAAGCAAGGGTAAGCCCAATGCTAAAGTTTGTTTTAGCATTCTGAGATACTTCGGTGGTGTTTTCAGCATACAGGTGTTTATCCGCCAGTAAAGTTGAAGAAATCAGAGTTAAGCATTGGCTACGAATGACCAATTATTATGTTCTAGCGAACGCGCTACGAAGTGTACATGGGGAGGCTAGGCTGCAAGCGAGAGGAGGAAGTGCAGCGCTGGCAGCCGAACTGTTCTGCAAAGGCGGTACGAGAGGACTTCGGGCAGTGCAACCTCACCACCTGCCGGCGCAGCCTTACAGTCTACACTCAGACTTACAACCCCGCAACTTGTCAATGTGACTGGCAAATCAAGGAGGAGAAGCAATGCTCGTGCTGTGGTGGGTGCCTCTGATTCGCTTATTGTGGCGACATACTCGGAGACTTATGCTTAAGGGAAATTAGCGTCCACCATTGACTGAAATGGGGCATATGTTCATGCTTATTTAAGCGTTAGTTAGGTATACGGGAGGACCACCTTTTAAGAACTCTACTTCATCTGAGTATTTTCTCAAATTTAAGGCTGTCCCGAACCAAAGGTCACCTTTACTTGTCACAACAATACAGAGTGGATTGCGCAATCGGACTACTACGTGCCGCACGTGAAGGGTTGTGGACATGCTTGTCGAAAGCACTCCATAGTCTCCCGTCAACCAATTCGTAAGGCACCTTTGCATCATTCAACGTACACGATTCTTAAAACTGGTCAACTAGGCCTTACAATGACCATATCAATTGGAACGCTTGATCACCTGCCTAATTAAATAAGTATTCCTCTGTACTAAAATGACCATAAGAGCAATCGTATAGTCTGAGAGGATCATTTTTATAAGTAAAACTAATCATGTGCATTATTATACCCCTACTTTTAAGAATGCAATGTGTCAGCTGAAGAAACTGAACGCAGATGGTCTGAATGCGACAAATCAACGTGTCTTCAAGAACTGTTTTACACTGAGGCTTCACCGGTCCACTGCGAATGCGGAAAGAGGAAACGCGTTCTGCAGACCAGACAGTGCTGTAAGTTTAACTTTATGGCAAATTTTCTCCTTAAACAAATCCTCAAATAAGTGCAAGTCCCTCTGATATACCTTCCTAGTCAAACGTCTGAACTCCAAGAAAAATCTTTGCACGAAAAGTGGGACCTTCCCAAGATGATCAAGTATAAGCAACCTTTTTAAAGGGCTTGAGAGAATATGCATTTATTTGCCCTAGGCTGCACCCAAGAGCCTGAAGAAAGTGACAAATGTCATGAGGGAACCCTCCTGCACGTTCTCAAAACGGTCAGCCTCGTTGACCACCGCTGCAAAGAAAGTGTCCAATACGTAACCAAACAAACGGGTATGCCAACCATAAATTTTTTCGTTATTTAACAACTTCTCTTGGAATGTTTTCATCATCGGATGTATTTGATGCATTGTTTTTCTCAGAATGTGATCAACCAAGTGAGCGTAAGACGGGAGTCTGTGACCCCTTGACCTGTAAACGACCACTCTTCGAAGTCACCTACACCCGAGACAAGGAATCTTGCGAGTGCCTACCGAGGCAGAAGTTGATCGGATCTGAGGACTGCTGTAAGTTACCACTTACCTTCATCTGAATTTTGGTAACGAAAGGGAAATAGGGCTAAAAATTCCGAATGACTATCGACTTATTTTGAGGATTTAAGTACTATATAAGCGGTGTAGCCGCCAGAAGGAGAGGACGATCCCAGACGTCATTCCCTCAATCTGGGAAAGTTCAAAAGCAAATCACAATTCTCATTGATTTCACATTATTGCGAAATTCCTTTTTGGCATTTAAGTCGACTTTAATTTATGAAGTAAACCGTATTGTTCATATAAAATTCATCCAATCGCCTTGGCTGCTGATTCTTCCAACACTAAAGAACAATTATTATTGAATGAAATTGTGAATTAGAGCAAGTTGACCTTGCCTTCACCGCAATCAAAGGATGGGCAAGGGCGATTTAGCTGGTTAAATAAGGAAACAAGCTTTTAGGCTGCACGCATTCCCTAGAGACCCTAGCTCAATAAATATACAAGCCGGTCTTCTCATTTAAGGTTGCCTACCCCCACCAAAGCCGACAAAGACGTGTGTTGGGGAGTGTTATATGAATGTTCAAACGCTGGCCCACTTCGACGAGGCACAGAAGACTTGTGTCCGCACGGAAAGTGTCAATCGTCACTGTCCAAGTAAGTCGGCTGTTCTACTTTCGTAATTTTACGTTTCTACATGCCATTTTATGAAGCATATTATTTGTCTGCTGATGCTTCTTCCAGCAATTAATTAGGTGATCAGAAATCTACGTTCTGATGTTAGAGCATGGGGAATGGTCTTTGCTTTGAAGTGGATGCTTTTAGTGTCTGTAAAGCTGCTAAAAAACGCAGTACCGTTTAAATTACCATGTACATATTGAAATAGTTCTCGGCTATCAACTGTCATTAGTAGCTTCAAGTTGCTGCCATCCAAACTCTATCAGCCCTTTCTGCATGCACACGATACAGTCAATTACAGAAATCATGTCACTTTCTCAATCAATCATGACTTCACTGCCAAGCGCACACCGTTGCCTTACAATCTACCCATTTCTGTCGCTTCAGCCTGTCCACTGCCCTCGGAAGTGGTCAAGCCGTGCGGGAGCGCGGGCAACTGTGTCCAGAGCGTGACGCGGACTGAATACCATTTGGAGGACTGTAAATGCAAGCCACGAGAGGTGGTGACCACTCGCAACTGCTGCTGCCAACAACCGCCAGAAGAAAGGCAGCAAGAAGACAAGGCTGGCACCTGCCTGCCTAAAGAACACGTCCTTCTCTATCGTCGAGTTGCCTACGAGTGAGTGGGCTAAGAAAGCACATTATTTCAACCATCTTCAATTCATTTGCAGTTTGTTCTTCCCCTTCTACCTCATGGGTATCTTTAATAGACTCGATTTTAAGGTTGTGTGGTTTAAAGCTATAAGTGTGAGTGCTACCTTTCCGAGAAGATAAACACTGGGCTCTAAAGTAATAACATGAGTGAAAAACTACAATAAATGGTTGCAGAAACGGATAACAATGAGAAAACTTTACCTAAAAAGGAAGAAACAGCACCTTTTCTGGGTTAATCCAACCCTTCAGATTACCCAGTTAACCATTCCTGAACTTGCTGGCTTTATGAATATCACCATATGGATTATAAATCCTAAAATACAACCTTTTGATTGAGTTTCACGGTTAAGAATAAAATGAAAAATATTCGTGTTCAATAATTTGTGGCATCAGATTCAGCAAATTTCAGGTTGTTTTAGCAGTCACCAAGCGGTGTTGTGATTTCACAGAAATCTTTACTTAGTAGGAGTACATTCCCACTGACCATGGTAAATGGATTGTTGCTCTCTCCTCGCATCCCCATCATTCTCGAAATGGCTAACTGCTCCGCTCGATTTAGCCTGGTCGACGGAAAGTGTGTGAAACGTATCGAGGAGCATCGGACACCAGTGGAGTGCCCTCCGCGCGAAGTAAATGGGTCTCAGCCGCTCGTGGAGCGGGGAGAATGCAACAAGGCCTCGTGTCTTCGCAAGGTTAAACAGAGTAGGTGGGTCTTGAACGGATGCCGGTGTCAGCAAATGACCAGCGAGAGCACTGAGGCCTGTTGCTGCAACCAATTTCGGCCTCAAGTCAAGGAAATCTGCCGGTCTGATGGAACCATTCTTAAGGTCGGCTTGGATTCAATGCATAATTAATAAAAGCAAAATCTCGAGGAATTAAACCCAGTCACTGATGCTTTTAGGAGACTAAGTACTGGAATGCTAGTGATGGCAAGTGTAAACCGGAAGTCTTTGTCGAAGTGCTCCCAAAAGTCGAATGTCCGCCAATTAAGGTGCAGCCCACCGGTCCTTGTGAGATCTCTACGGGGCGTCAACCTATAAAGATCGCCAAATATGAATTTAAAAACTGCAAGTGCCTGCCTGTTAATGAAACGATTAAGGATCGTCAGTGCCGTAAGTTTCATATTCATTTTTTCTTGTTCATAGCCTTTGGAGTAAAAATGATGACAGAAGTCATGGAACCCCATTCTAATTGCTTCAACCTTGAATCCCCGCCTTCTAAGGAAATTTTTTGTCTGATCATAATTAGCATATTATAATTTATAGCATTATTCACTTATAAAGGTGTATTCCTTGAATGAAGCGTATCATTTGGTAAAAGTGGTCATAAAGTATTGAAGTAACTAGGATTTATACTGTGTATTTCCAGTAGAAGTACCCTTAGAAAACGAAGGACAAAAGTACGAGTGGTGATTTCTTTCAGGTTGCAAGGAAAATGAGGAAACATACGGCGAATGCGACGCAATTACTTGCCTTCAGAATGTCACCGTAACACAATACAAACAGGAGGGAGGTGTCTGTAGAGCTCAATTACCGATAACAAAACTTCGGCCATGCTGTTGCACACCGAAGGAATCGGAGCCGAAGGTGTTGCGCGAATGCAATCCCAAGACTGGATCCATTCACGAGACTACAGTTAAGCACGTTTTTGATAAGGCGAAAAGTGAGTGCCGCCCCGTCAAGGCAGTGCGAATTCTACCACCAAATGGTGAGTGCTATAACATTTACTGACACCCATAAATCAAGTTTCCAGCATAGTTCATCAACAGATGCATCCAGTGGTACACCTTATTAATTTAACGCTATTTATGCAAAACTGTGGGAAGATTTTAAGCGTCTAAATAGTAGGAACCGAAGACATCCAGCTCCGATTTCATCTTTTAAGTTTGTCTCAAAACATTACAAAAAATTGAGTTCGTTCATTCTTCGTTTTACTGTCGTAGGAAATTGGCGTATTTGACGTTTTCTTTTGAAATGCTACTGCATGCTTCAAAGTAGCTGTGCTTCAATGAAGAATTAATCAAGAATTTACTCTTGTTAGAATGCCCGAAGAAACCGCTGATCAAGCGCGGTAGATGTAACATCGCCTCAGGTGTTGCAATTGATATTGTGGCACGTAGTTTATTCGACACCAAATCGTGCACTTGCGGGAAGTCTGTAGCACCTGTTCAACGAATTTGCGGTGAGTCTTGACCGCTCCTCCACATCATCTTACCTTTTCTTTTGGCTCGGATGTTCACCTCTTCCTTCAGATTGTAGCCACCTTCCCACCATTCCCTCTGAAACGCACTGCGACGAGGAGAATGCGGAATTAGTCACAACTGAAACCAAATTTGTTCTGGAGAATAATGCCTGTGTAAATAAAACCGAAGGCCATCGCCAAAAAATAGGTAAGGACTTTCCTTACCTCGATAATGAATACAATTAAATATTCTTTAATAGCTGTAAAGGCACAAATATTAATGTGCGCTTATTCATCCTTAGCTTATCTTGGCAGTGCAGCGCCATGAGTCTTTCCTGAAGACGACGGAAGACATGATACTAGGGCAGAATATGTGGTGTACACGTAAAGAATGGCATGACCCGAAGGCCACACCGCCCGGCGAGGTACAATGGCGGGGTCTTATGTGCTTACGAAACCAAAACGAGTAGTTAAACAAGTGAGGTATTACAGCAGATCAAGAAACTATTCGGGAAATTATTCCTAGTGTTAGTTTAACACCCGTTTTTTTTCTGTAGCACAACAATAAACTGTTTGTGATGAATTTAACTTCGCCAAAGTAAATTTAAATGCGGTTAAATTTCATGGATGAAACCCGGGTTCTAAAAATCATGAGATCCTATAGCTTATCATTGTAGGCCTTGGAGTCAGTGAATCAACAAATATGGAAAGGGTAAATTTATACGCAACCGCCGGCTGAAATGATAAGTTAAAAAAGGACAAATCGCTGTCAGAATTCCCGAACAACAAAATTACCCACAATGAAACACTACATTTACTGTGCCCAAAATCAGCTTAGCCTAAGCAATTCAAATGTATGCTTTCTTTCTTGGGTACAGTCTGTCCGCCAGTCCAGGAAACCCCCGGGACATGTGACCACGAAACCTGTCAGACCACTGTGGAAACAACAAGGCACGTCCTGGAAGGCTGCAGGTGTGTGGAACGCCGGAGCAGCCATCATGAGACCTGTTGCTGCCCCAGACCCCAAGTCACGGAGGCGTGCCTTGAAAATGGGACCCTGCTAATTCAAAGACACGTTAACTACACATTTAATCCAGAGAAGAGGTCCTGTGAAACCGCCGTTCGAGTTGTTAGACAGCCTATTGGTAAGTTGGTTCTTGAGTTGGTTAATCATTTGGAAAGTTTTTTTTAATTTGAGGCAAGCAATTCAAGTTGGTAATACTATATTTTTTTAAAAGATGCTCCTCTTTGTTTAGACCTTCTAAAACCGAAGTGGCTGGGTGTGCAAAGGTCAACGTATAAATTTGCACTTAGAAATCAAGAAAAAGCTGTTTTGCTGAAATGACTACGTCTTAAATGATTCTGGTGCCTCACCTGAGTTTAGCTACCGATCCTAACGTCAAATAACACTTCCGCTTTTCTCCACAATTTGACCACAAGTTCGCTTGCCGTCTCTTAGATGGTATCCACGGGGCAAGACGTTAGATCCTATACGAAATTTCATTGAGGTTACTAGTAGATGCTCTTTGGAGTGGTTTTATAATTCTGTGGCAGTAACTGTGCTGACTGAGGGAAGCTTTCAGGCTGTGTCCTGACTGGTGGTGGATGATTTCAGACGAAATCGTCTAGGGTTGTCTGGTTTCACTGTGTCACCAAACTACTTCTCCTATCCATGGTGATGAGGAATATGTAGTGGGGAAAGAGCGTGAAGGATGGCGTGTTCACATCCAAAGGTAAAGAACTCCCGCAAAATGAAGTTTTCTCCGTTATTTGGGATCGTTCCTGGGAGCTCGTCTTGATTGAACATCTGACGCGGCAATTGCAAAGCCTTTGTGTTAGTGGGAGGGACCACAGTTCCTGTCTCAGGAGAGACTAGGCTAGAGCCCTACACTCTAGAATGTTTAGAAACTAGCTATCAATCTAAATTTTTGAAAATCGCATAGGAAACGCCCTCTGAGGTTGTAGGTACCCCCTACAATTAGCCTACTGCAATCAGCAGCAATTAGTAGTAGGCGCAGTGTTTGAAGTCTTTTCCAGCTCACTCATCAGGCACATTCAAGTAACTCCGAATTCGGGCGCTTGGAAGCTGTAGGAGAAGATGAGCGAATTGAGGTGGACGTCATTTGGAGAATTCATGGTTGTGATTGTGATTGTACTCGACAAAGCCGGCTGGTTACGGAAGTGTTGCTTCAGAGATTCCACTGTCCCAGCTAAAATGTTATTTCAGCACTAGAGCTGTACTATTCTCAGCTGATGGGGTAGAAGTCGAACCTCCGCAATTCATCATGTGAAGCCAGCGAATTTTTGTACCGCCTGAGCCGAATTCGCTATTTACTGTCGACGTTGAGGGTAGTTCGACGTACTGAGTCTGGAATTATCATCTGGTTCAACATCTTCCTCATCTTTAGCTGATGCTTGAGTAGAAACCTTAGCTTTGACGCACCCTTTAGCAAAAACTGAGTCGGATTCCAATGGTGCAGGTCAGAATCGAAACCCAGAACTCTCGAGCGTTTCATGATAGGATGGGTTCAGGCACATCTACATTAAATGTAAGGCTTGGCTACCCTTAAAGCAAGTAATAAAGTGAGTCAACGCTAATTTTTAGATTCGTTTTTCTATTTTTAATTCTAGACTGTGAAGCAAACAGAAGTGTGGAGATCTCCCGCCACTGCAACACGATGACCTGCAGACCAACTAGGTTGGTTGAGGTTCACACGCCGCAAAACTGCAAATGCACGCCCAGGCGTTTAACCGTCGTCGACAATGAACGGCATTGTTGTTGTCGCCCACCGAAAGAGACTTTCTCTTGCCAAAACGATCGCGGACTTGTCGCCAAAAGGAACCTTTCTTACACTCTTGAGAATGATACTTGCATTGCAAAGGTGGTAAAGTCAGAGGAAAAGATACGTAAGTTGACCTTTCTACTTTGCAATTAATTGCTTCTCGTCTTAAAATCATAGTGATTAAGGTGACACCACCTACTTTATTTAATTTATTTTAATATATTTGTAATACTTTAAGTAAAATAAACTTTAAAATACCATAAAAGTCTGCATCTTTATAAATCAAGACACTGGAAAATGGGAATGTCACATAATTGGTGTTTCCAGGTCAAACCAAAAATTAGCCATTTCAGTGTCTCCAGGTTAAAAATGTCCAAGTTATCTCGCTTCAGGCTGTCCCGAGCCCTATGTGACCCTTGGGCCTTGCAGTCACGAGACGAAAATGCAGGCGGTAACCAACGTCTCGTACGACTTGCAGGACTGCAAGTGTAGAAAGCGAGTCACACGATCAACACAGGCCTGTGGTACGTTGTCTGAATCCTGTTTGCCCACTACCGTCACAATTATGCCTCGATGTTAACAAATAATGTTGATATTCTCATCAAGATTTCCTTATCTTTCTCATCTGTTAGAATGCTTGAATTCAATTATTTGTGTTGTGACATCACCTACATCCTTGTTAGTAAATACGGACTACACAAATTGGACCCATTATACTAGCACCAAAAGCTTTCTTTGCTTTGGTGGCATGTAAAAGTGCTTCCCATCACCCACACACCTGATTTGATTTGAAGAATCATCTATTCAAAACTTGCTTGAAGAACTCTATCAAATGGGATTATTTTTGTAAAAAAACGTTTAGGGGTTGCCTTACTTATATTTTGCGCTTCAGGATGCCCTGCGCCGGAAATCGCTCTGGGTCAATGCAGCAACGAGAGCCAAACTCGAAACGTCTCGAGAGTTTCCTACACACCAGTGAACGGCACTTGTGTCAAGAAGGTCAAGGTGCTGCGCTCGGAGCCTTGCAGTTAGTCGATACTTCTTTCACGATTGCTTTGACATATCCACCTTCCTTCTTCAAGTAGCAGATTTAAATTTTGCGACTGTGTGTATTTAAGGACCACTTATAAAGTTGCGTAATAAGTGAGGCTCTGAAATCGAGATAATTTTGATTGGATCCACATACCTTCATTACTTAAGCAGCAATGCAATGTAAAGAGCTATACTAACTTGCTTAACAGCAATGTCTTACTTACCTTCAGAGTGCCCTCTGTCAAGGACCACGAGACGCTGTGAGGAGGGTAGCTGGGTAAGAAGAAGCTATACGTACAGATTGACCGAGCGAGATGGCAGGACGGATTGTATCAAGGAAATTGAAACAGAGAAAGCGCTCGTTACTTGTCCTCCAGCAAGTCAACTCACTAGCGGCGAATGCGATGCCGAGAAGCAAAGTAGAAACGTCTCCTCCAAGCATTTCTTGGTGAATCCAACTACCTGCCAATGTGTGTCGCATGTAGAAATAAAGTTGGAGGCCTGCGGTATGTGGATCGAAGAATTGGAAACGCTTAAACGTAAACTTAATTCGAATCTGATTGCCATTGTTTCTTCTAGATTGTCATCGGAAGAACAGAAAGGAAGTCATTTGTAATGGGAGGGAACTCACTATCGACAATTATGAGTATTTCTCCAATCCCGGCGATCAAAATTGTTCCTTAAAGACATCGCATGAAGTCAAAACCATAAGTAAGTAGATAACATTCTTTCTGCGAAAATCGTCCATGGAAAGTAATGAACTAAGAGCCACTATAGCGAACGCTATTTATGGCCACACTCAAAGATTAGGAGAATGCGGACATTCAAAAACTAGCACTCTAATCAGATAAATATTAGCCTTACTTTAACCCGGAACTGTTCAAATAGATGCGAAATATCCCATAATGATTACATCATGACGTTTTTGGCAGCATGTCCCACCAACCGCCAGGTAGTGAGGCAGAGCGGGGGATGTGTGATCAGGCGGGCCAATGGAACTTACCGTGCTGAAGTGACGCGATGGCAGGAGTTGAAGCAGTGCGAGTGCGTGCCTCGAGAAGAGATTGTTGAGAAGCTCTGTGACTGTCCGCAGCCCGAGGCGAGTTCGCGATGTGCAGACAACTCCCTTCTAATCACTGAGCATCTTCATTTTACCCGTCGGGGTGATCAGTGCACTGCGGAGCGCGTAATGACGCGTCAAAAAACTAGTACGACTGCTTTCTTTGTTCTCCACCTTCACTCCACAAGTTACTCTACAAGCGATCGCAAAAAATATTTCCTTTGAGAATTATTTTACTAGTTATTTAAGACTGATCAGTTCATAAGGAGTGGAGTGATTACGTTCTCCAGTTCAAATGGTAATGCAATCTGTTTTTTTGCTTTGTTTGCAGGATGTGAGAGCGAAACCCAGATTAGTGGGGTTTCAAGCTGTACTAAATCTGCGAACGAAAGCGGGGAATGCTACGAAACAGTAGCAGTGGAGCAGTACTATGTTGAAAATTGCAAATGTCTCAAGAAATCACTCACCTTAAGGCGGCTCTGCTGCGCTCCACCAGCCAAAACAAGACGCCGCTGTGATGCAAAAAGACGCCAGTGGAAGAGCACCGTAACCAAATTTAGCATTGTCCCAGGCGATGTGAGTAAAACGATGTTTTAATGTTTTACTTGTCCTCAAGGTTGGGGGCTTGTGTCGCCATGATCACATGCAAGTGCTGGTAGACCGAGATAAAGTAGTTGTCATTCCGCCATTTTACTTCTGAATTCTTTTGCAACTTTTTAAAGGTGGATGTAGTAATCCTGTTCCTGTTTCAGCATTTTGAAGAGATGTTTTAGTATTTCTAGGGTTCCCAATTTGTTTGAACTGTTCTTTATAAAATATTACTCTTAAAGTATTTCGACAATAAGCGAAAATGTGATGTTGAATGGGCATATCATTCCTATACCGCATGTCCTCAATAACGTTCTGAAACTTCATTTGTTTTTGAATCACTTTCTCTTTCAATAATCTCGCTGAGGAGATCCGCGACCCTAGAAAACGTCCCTGTTTCGGTTTGCTAGACGTTTCCTTTTTCACACCAAATTTCCGGCCATCATGGAAATGCTAAGATCTAGAGCTGTAGTTCAGGTTCCCTATTTGTCCTTAAATCAGTTAATAGCCACTATGATGCCGGGGCCAATCAAAGTACTGTACCTATGCCAGAATGGGACCACATCGTGTCTCCAGCGCTCAGCCAGCATTCATGTACGCACCTGCCATATCCCGAGCTCGCTTACATTGGTCTGCAATAAAGCCATCCGGACTAAGATCTTCATTTCTTTAATTATTCTAGTTAGAAACTGGACAGGATCTAAGCTCTCACTTACATACACGACGGTTTATAACAATGCCATTATGCTTAAAATTTTAACACTGTCTCACACTTATAGGTTCTCTTTTCCTACGGCAACGTAACCATACTCGACAATAAGCTCTCGGCACTGAACTACGAGACCACTGACATGGTCGTCTGTCCCGCAAAGACGGTCCACGAGGACTGCAACAAGGAGACGGACGCCTGGACACAAACTACCACGTGGTTTGAAATTGACGACTGCAAATGCAAGAAACGGGAGGTAGTAAAAACTGGAAAGTGTGGTGAGTTCCCTTCACTTTCCGCCCACTTAGGGAGGGCGAAAGGGCAATGGCATGCATGGGATTGCTTACATATCACTTCAAAAAGGCAGCAGCACTAAGCGCTTTTTATCTAAGAAAGGGGAAAGCGTATTGACATACTTCCTTTTCGTATTTATGTATTCTTATCCGTCTTATATTCCATCCCGAAAATGTGCACGTCAGATACACATCACATCATTTGTCGGCTTTTGCTGTAGAGCAATATCCTTATTACATATGGGACACATTGACTTCCCGTAATCTAAGTTTTCGAAGCTTCTTCGATCAAATAAGGGCTCAGTAATCTAGTCAGCGACATGCACATTCATACCAATTCAAAGCTTGCTCTGATAATGTTAGCTAATCCCACTACATGGTTATTCCAATCACTATCATCCCTACGTAGCCTGTCCCAAGCGTGAGGTATGGAAATCGCCCTGCGAGAAGCATTTCCAAACAGTGAAAATCAAATCCTACGAGTTCGTTGATGGGGAGTGCGTGCCCTACGTGACGTCCACGCGGGAGCGCTGCAGTTGTCCAGATGGCTCCTTCCAGCGGGTCCGGTGTGACGGCAACAGCCAGTTAACCAAATGCACCCTCACCTACACCTTTGTGGCGGCATCGAGGCAGTGTAAAGCGCGGAAACTCTGCGTCAGTTGGCTGCAGTCCTGTCCTGCAAGCAAACGATACAGTGTAGGCACTTGTGGTCCTGAGACGGGTTACAGGCAGAGGATTAGTGAAGTAAACTACAATCTGGATAAGGCCACCTGCAAGTGCAAAGCCCGTATAATCAACAGGTGGGATGCCTACTGCGGTAAGTGAAGTTAACTAATTGGCAGACTATGTAGTACAGGCTTAATGACATGCTCTTTCAATTTAAGGCTTATTTGATTTCATAGCTGGAATCATTAAGGGTCTGTAAGCATAATATTCCGCTAAATGAGAATGCTTCCTCGTGCTCATTAATTGTGGGCTTCATCCGCATGTATTTCAGGAGCCATTGGCTTGTCCTGCCACCTTTATTGTTATCCTCCCTTCCAGGTTGTGCTCACCTGAACAGCCAAAACGTTTCTTGTGACAACGGGGTTAAAACAACAACTGTAACGACATACAAGCTCATTGATGGCGAATGCATACCCGATGAGGACTCCAAATGGGAAAAGATAGGTAAACAAACACCAACTTCTTTTCGTTGTAAGAGCTGAAGTTTAGAGAGTCAATCACTGGCATTCGACCAATTTATAAGGCGAACATACTCAAACTTAATTTTGAATTTTTTTATTCATCTCAACCGTTCCATTGTGCACCCCTAACTTGTGAGAAATATTCAATGAGGGACGATTTTAGATGTTCGTTGCTTTCAATTGAACTATGGAAGAAGAAAAATGAGCTTTTCTTATTATAGTCTGTCCATCAACAAGAGAGGAGATTGGCGCCTGTGACAGAGATCCAAACTCACCAACTCGCGGTCTCTTAACAAAAACTATTTACACGTATGATATTGACAAATGCAACTGTATTCCAAGAACTTCCAACGTCTCTGAAATATGCGGTGAGTCTAGATGGAATACTACAATTTTTGTAAACCATGCCCATCTCACTAACCACTTAGTGATATCATCTTCATTCACAAGACTGTAATCTGCGTTACGGAGGAAGAAATGAAACGAAATGTCAAGACAACGAGGTAGAGGTTTCAACAACACAGTGGACTCTGAAAGATGGTGACTGCCAGCCTACTACCAGGATTTCACGTAGTAGTCTGCGTAAGTAGTTTTCTTCTCACCAAGCATCAAGAAAGCTCCAATTACACTCACGTTCCCACCTCCCGCTAGAATGCAGACAGGAAGGAATAGAGCCAAAATCAGTCAGTGAACCGTGTGTAGTTGGTGAAGATGGAATTGGTAGACGTAACATCACGTTTTACGAACAAAGGCCACAAAATTGTCTCTGCAAACCTTTCCCTGTCCGCGTAGAAACGCAAATTTGTAGTAAGTGGTTATTGTTAAAGTTTTGGATGATTGCTTATCTGAATGTTTGTGCTCTATCGTTATTGTTCCCCTGATTTTCCTTCTAGGCTGTCGCCCACCACGCGTAGATCGAAGGTGTATAGACAATGGCACCACCTTGGTGGAGAGGAGGAGCAAGTTTATTCTTACAACCGATGGACCAACGCCTGTGTGCACTGAACAACAGACTGAAAGACCGATTTCGGCCTGTTCTCTGAAGGGTGGTAGTAAGACATGGAAGGTTCGAGGTCCCTGCAATCCTTCCACTTGCCGAAGAACGGTCCACGTCTACAAACGTGCTTCCCAAGGGTGCAAATGTCCCACTAAGAAGTACGTCCACCGACCAATTCTTAAGTGGATGAATATAATGGTTTAATTTAGCCTGACATGGCAAATCCTTCACCTTGAAAATCTTCAGTTTCAAATTAAGTTCCCATCTTTAGTGGCCCCAATCCCAAAATAATATTTCATTGCAAATGAAGCCTTTCAAAGCATCAGCTGCATCACTGAGTGGCACCTATGTGGAGAGTATCCGCACTGATCTCTTCATCATTCATATTATTCAGTAGCAGTACTAATTACCCCATTATTCCATATTGGCTATTGGTATTAAAATTGAATTTCCAGAATTCTACATAAACATTAGACTTTTGACTCAGTAATGGTCCGCCAGTCCACCGAGTTACTAACTTGGGTTGCACTTAAATCCCCATTTCAGAATGACACGTACTGAGGTTTGCTGTTGTCCCAAGTCCAAACCAGTCAATACCACGTGTCTGGCTAGAGTTCACGTCCTGGAAAAGAGTTTCATTTCACACGCTCTTATATCTACTGTGATCATCGATGGCAAGCGGCACGCCGTGGAGCCCTACTGCACCGAAATGAAGCACAAAATACGACTCCCTGTGACCTGTGGGGCGACAAAGCCTCGTATTCTAATGGGAGAGTGCCAGGCGGACCAGAATCAAACCGTGCAAGTTATTGGCAGCCACCCCATTGGCTGTCAATGCAAAGATTACAAAATTCGTCGACTGTCCATCCGTTGTGGTAAGCCAAACAGGGGTTCATTAAGAAACTAAATAAAAAGGAATTTCCCTGATTCCTCCGTCTGGATGATTTTGCCTTTTCTAAGTTGATTACCTGTTGGTTTGACTGCTCAGGCTCAAATTCCATCTAGTAATGTTTAAACACCTTAACTGTCAAGAGGCATTACACTTTCTACGCTTTGAGGATAAGGGAATTCGAGTAAATGATTCATAATTTTATCTATAAAACTAAAGATGCTTGTATGAATCCGTTTAAACAGATAATACGAGTAATGCTAGGCCAAATCTTCTGGTATTTCAGGTTGTCCCAAGTTCCTCAAGCATGTCTATGGACAGTGCGTGAACGCTCAACAGGTGGAGAAGGTGGTCACCCTGCAGGCAGTGTCGTACACGAAGAGCCTCAACGGCAGCCGGGTGAATGCGTCCCGCTGTCGTCCAGTTGTAGCGAGCAGACGCACTCTGCCGTGTGCGTGTGCTGAGAAACCACAAGTCCTCAGCAAATGCCTCTCTGGAAACCTCCTGCGAGTTGAGGAGACCCAACTGCAATTCAATGCAACTTCTCGAATCTGTCAGAGGGAAACCATTGAGCGCGTCCTTCCCACAAGTAAATCAACCTCCCTCTCAGTTCGCATCTGAAAAATTTGTAGAATGCTGTAGATGGTTTATAACCTATGTCCGCATTTGGAAACCAAAGTTCCAATTATTTCATTGTTGAAATTTCGAGTCGCCAGCTTAAATGGAGACTCCCATGGGTATACTGCTTCTCCGAGTTTTACCTTAATTTATAAGGCATTCAGAGGTGCAGACAACCCTTTTCTAAACTGTCTCAAAGCAAACTGATAATGCGAATTCCTTTGAAAGTCATTGATGGAGTTTTTTGGTATTTTAGTCTGCCCATTACCGAAAAAGACTATTTCTGAGTGTGGTGGTGAAGAAACTGGTTTTACGGCAACTGAGACCGTGACTACGTGGACACCGGTCGACTGTGAATGTGTCCCCAAAACCACCGAACGTCCATTTGTCTGCAATTGCACCGCCAAGTATCCATCACATTCTAGAAAGGTTTGTAAAATGGACCACATCCTGGAGACCACAGTGACCTCTTCTAGGCTGAAGGGCTACAAGTGTGTACCGCATATCGTCAAATCTACTACTCAAATCAGTATGTTATTTATGTTCAATGAAGTTATTTTCAAAGGACTGTCACCATTTAAAACACATTTCACAGTTGTATACCAGGTATACTGCTTTGCGTGATCCAAATTCGCACTATTTTTTGGGGTAGAACTCGAACAATAAAAGCAACCTCTGTTAGCCTCCATAAATTGCAGTGCATATTTTAATGCGGGTTTAATGTTGTGTTCAGTGGAGCTTTCTCGGCATGACCTGATAAACTACAAATGAACTATCATCTTCGTGCTATTAAAGTTCTCATTAAGCTATGCGCCATGAAGAAAAAACTTTAAAATATTACCTGAGAAAATACCTTCAAATACCCACTCGTTCCATCGTGGATAGGAGTTCCATAAATTAGCTCATAACGAGGTACTTTTTAGTGTCCTTGCGTAAATTCCATTGAAACAATGCTGATATATAAATAATATTATGAATTGTTATGCATGTGTGTGAACACAGGTGCCACCGAGACCCTAGCAGCCACACTACCCATGGGACAAAGGCCTTCAGTGCCGACGGCCAGCGTACGCCCGGGACGCGGCGACCACGCAAGCGTCCTCCACCCGGTGTACTGGCTGCGTCACGGAGATGGTCATATTCTTAGCCATTCATATGCTCTCGATTGGCCTTGACCTTACTGTGAATATTATCGCACTTAAAGTGCCACCAAACTTTCCACTTTTAGCATGTCCCATTGAACTAAGGAGCATGAAGTCACCCACTTGCGATGAGACCACCCGTAAACGTCAAGTTGCCTGGTTCGAAAAGGTTCCTGTGGACTGCAAATGTGAATGGCAGCCAATCACCTCGGCGGCTGCATTGAAAGCCCTAGGTCTGCCCTCTTTTGAGTGGTGCAGCTGCCCCGATATTATGGAAGTGGAGTCCAAGTGTCGTCCTACGGGTTCCGATCAGTATCTTCACCAGAGGACCCTGGTGAAGTACCAAAGACAGGGTAGTGATTGTACTCCTGTTCGGGAGACTCTCTACAGCAACTTCTCATGCAAGGAGGGGACGCATACTTACAAGTACGAACATAAATTAATCGTCAATTACTTAGTGGTTTTCGAGACAAGTTTTTCTTAATAAGTTACTTAGTTAAATCTCAAAAAGAATAGTTAAACCCGAAGGCTACTTTTGGTTTATCGCTACTATTATTGTGTCGGTTGTAACGACAGGAACTTAACTGAAAATAGATAATTTCCAAATTATTTGGACTTCGTATTAGTAAATACGAAGCTAATGAAGATTTTCCTTAGGCAATCTCATTTGCCGATGACTTATCTTGTGTTTTAGAAGCACTTACGATTATGCATAACGCCATCATTTGAGGTAGCATAACCTCTGTGGAAGTCTAAATAGATGTAGAGTACTTTCCAGGTGAAACCTAGTGCATCACGGTACCGAATACAAAACTGAATTTTAAGGCTGTAGATATTGTAAAACGCATAGATTTGCGCATCGGATAATGGATACAAATGAAAACAAGTAATTAAAACCGATGATCTTTTGACCTGCATTGCTTATAATGAACCTGCCTAACGACGAAAGAGTCTGATATAGATTGCATCCACATCTCGACTAACCACAATTAAGTCGGTTTATATTTTTTTCGGTAGAATTGCCATTTCCAAAACGATGGGATTGTTACATGAAATTAAAAATCTGACTTATTTCAGTAAATTCACCCAAATCTTACTGATTCACGAATGTGGTAGTCTGGCGGCATTCAGTTAAAACTACCGTAGCGATCTCAACTTCTCTTTCACTCCATGATTCACGTCCAAAAGGTCTGCTTGTGATCCCTTGACGGGTTTGTCGACGGAGCGCCGTGTGACGATGCGAGTGGAGGATTGCGTTTGTCGACTAGTGACCGAGAGTAGCCGGCGCTGCGCCTGTGCTTGCGCTCCAACCCCACTCATCCATACCACATGTCGGCCAGAGAACGGCCTCATCGAGACTATCGAGGAGTCCCTAGAACTTGTAGACTGCGAATGCCGCAGGAGAGTGCGGCGCACCTCGCGGATCGTTGACTGTCCCGGAGCTGGTGGTGCGGTGCTTCAGCGCCACGAGAGCACCTGTATGGTGGACAAAAACAGTGGTAATAGCTATCGTAATGTCACCTGGATCACAAATGATCGTGAGGGCTGCAGGTGTGTCCAGCGAAGGCACTGGGCTCGAGAAATCTGTGGTATGTTCCCTTTTACACGCAGTCATTATTATGGAATGACGAGGGGAATCTAGAATGACGTTAATTGCCGTAAGGTATGGAAATTTTTTCATAAAATTTATTTATCAGTGGGCTTGGAGGGGTCGAAAATGCACTGAAAGGAGGTAACATCAGTGGAAATCTCAAAATAAAACTTTTACGAGGTCAAATTCTTGTAGATTTTGACCTAAGGGGGAATAAGTAAACCACATGAATATAGTGTCTTCCCTTAAAAAGTTATAAACTCCGTTCTACCAGCACTTAATGAATTTTAGGAAGCACCTGGCCTTTTAACGTACTCTTCATACAATCTAAAAAAGCTAAATGGTCATCTGTTTGATGGGATTAAATAACTTCGGACAAATTCTTTCAATATATTTGAAAATCGCACCTTTTGCCTTCTAGCCTGCAATCCACAGGAACGAAATTTCACCCGTTGCGTGGATAACGCAAGACTGGAGATAAGGACAATTCGACGCGTCCTTACCGAAGGAAACCGGTGTGTGAAGAAGGAGATTGCAAGGACAGTCCTTGCGGTCAGTTGTCCTGAGGCCCGGGTCGTTGAGAGTGTCTGCGACAATGTGACTGGCCTCGCAACTGTCTCCAAGCTGCAGCCCGTCATTGAAAAGTGCCAATGCAGAACTCAATTGCAACACTATAAAATCCCGTGTAGTAAGTCGAGGTTCATTTATTAATATCTTAACAAACAATATGTGATTACGTGTACCAACATAGCCCTCACAGATGAATGGCATGGCATGATGACGCAGAGCTCTCACATTATTCTCTTGCTGTATTTTATCTGCGTTGATCCATGTATACGACGGTGAAAATTTCTTGTGAACATGGAACGGATAAAGTCGAATGGTGTTTATCTTTGTAGAATGTAATCCATTGGAGAAACTTATACACAAATCGCCTTGTAACAAAACGACTTGTCTTTCCACCGCTATCTACGCTTATGAAGTGCCTGACCCCTCTTCGAACAGTAGTTGTGTAATCAAGAAGGTTGTTAAAGAGGTCAAATGCTGTTGTCCACCGCCCCAGAGGGAACATTTCTGTGAGCCTTCCAGTGGTATGAGTGGAATCGGGGTTCGTGAATTCCACCTCTCGAACGGTCAGTGTGTTCCAGTGATGCGGATAACTTTGGAGCAGCCATTAATTTGTCCGCACAATGAAACCACCTTCACTAAGACGATGAAGTCCGGGAAGATTCGCTTCTTCCGAAATACGGCTGTTCGCGAGGGATGCAAATGTCGCAACAACAGGGAAACTGTCCATTCTCAATGGGGTACGTAGTTGAGTTGTCATTATTTGTCGTTTATCTGCAATCAAAACAAGCCGGAAGCAGACGGGACTTGGGCATTAATCCATGAGTTTGGGTCATTGGATGATCACAAATTATCCACTGCGGTTGATAATGGCGTTCCAGCGGTACTTAGGTTGATTTGCTATTAAGCCTGAAGCGGGCACATTTTTCTTTTCAGAGTGTCCCAAATCCACTCGTAACAAGACGTGCGTCAAGCTTGATGGTACCAATCAGTTCGCCTGGCAAACCACCATCTCCCTCTGGAGAGCATCGAAAGGCAAGGTGCCAACCTGTGAGCACCACGAAGTTAAAACAGATGCGTCCCCAGTCACCTGTCTCCCACCCAATGTCACTGAGTCGGTTTGCTTCCCCGTGGACGCTCGGCACGGATTCGTGCGTAATGTCACAATACACAGCATGCGTGCCGTTGGCTGTGGGTGTGTTTCAGGGGAACCAGAGGTCAAAGTGGAAATCTGCAACTGTTCGCAACCCGTGGTGAATATTACATACTCTGAGTAAGTGAAGAATACATCGTGAGCACGGCCAACGTAGTTTATGAAATATTTAAAGGAAACCCATTTCGTTCCTATGCATCCTCTCATTCCATAATGTTGAACACCTTGTTTTATTCAAAGAAACAAAATAATTTGTCAAAAAATAGTTCCATCGCCAAAGTAATGTTCCACTTTCCCTTCCTCCTTTAGGAGTGAGGGCTTAATCACCGAGACTGTCATCCAGTTCAACGCGACGTCAGATAGAAGTCGATGTGTTCCACACGAGATCCGAAGACAGTGGCGTCTAACGTGCTTCCCCACAGAGCCCGTTCTCCGCAACACCACTACGTGCAAGAACGGACGCTTCTACAAGATTTTCATGAAGCGCACACCTGAGGGCTTCAGGTGTCGCACCCTCATCAAGCGCGTGTCGCACCCTTGCGACTGCCCAAAGCCGGTCACCAGGACAACGTAAGTCTAACATTACAATCTAGAGTTTGATGAAATAGGTCCTGTTAATCTTTATTGTCTTGTGATACTTTAAGAAACACTTATTTTATGGGGAGTCTATTGGTGCACCCGATTGTCCTCTCTACTAATTAGAATTAAGAAGTTCTACTGTACCGATAGCAAAAATGTAAGGAAATCCTTAACGTCATTTTAAGCGAAGGGAATCGGTAAATTAAATTCACTTAATAAGGCCTTGTATTTTTAATCTAATACAAATCAAGTAGTACTTCACATCTTCACAAGGCGTAGCATCCAAGTTAAGGAAATTTTTAGATGTATTACTTTAACAGACTTGATTGGGTTAATTTTAAAATGCAGATGCCTCAGTGACGGAATCACCAAGTTGGTAACAACCACACGATTCACTCGGCGTCGCCTCGAGGGTCCCTGTGAGCGTGAGGAGAGGTCTGTTAAGAGTGTCACTTCATGTGACAAGCTACCCGAGGAGGAGCTGCGCGCTGGGCGTGACTACACCATTAGCCCCGTTGGTGGTAACAGCACTTACAGTGTGCTCCATGTCTACTCCTGTGGCACTGGGGGCTCTGCTTGCACCCGACGCGTCGTCCGTGTGACCATCACTAGGGCCCCTGACGGGTGTCGCTGTGCTGTCAGACGGACGGAGGGTAGCGAGGCCTGTTGCTGCAATGCCGAGGGACTGTTGAGTAATATTGAAAAGCCGAAGAAGTCACAGTGGGTGGATTGTGAATCAATGAACCATCCAATTTCTGTAAGGCAGCAGAGAACGTGGCATTTGATGGATGGGAAGTGCTGGCCGCTGACTTTTACCTCATCAAAACCACTAGGTATGTCTACAGGCCATTCCACTTGAAGGTTAATGTCCGATTAGGCTGGTTCATTTGCCTTTTTAACTCCCTATTTTCCCCAGTTTGCTCCGACAAGGAAGTTGTGCGCCCAGTTGGCACCTGTATTAATGGCACGCAAAGATTTCTTGTGGTCAAGTCCGTTCGAGATGACTGCCGCTGCAAGACGGTGAAATCAATTGAATCTCGACCTTGTTGTAAGTCATTAAGACATATCTCATTCCGCCTTTAAAATAATCACAATCTTTAAGCATTTCATAGATCTCCAATGTTGTCTACGTATCCAACATTGTCCATTTTCTTTTTAAAATTGGTTGTTGGAGATAAGGGCTGAAAATCATTTCTGGAAATCCCCCATTCGGTCCATATTAACCTAGCAGTACAACAATATATCACACATAATTGATTTTATAACATCTCGATTTGATAAAAACTGCCTTACTCTTGCTGCATTTAATAGTCTAGTAGGCATTTTATCCCTCGGCAATAATATTTCGTAAATTTAACAATGTTAGGTAACCAAGTCATCAGTATTTTGAAGCTTGTGTTGAGGCGATGGAGAGGAAAGCATCTACTATGAAATACACTTAACATTATGATGCGTGATGTGCGTCCAAGCATTGCTGAATGGCCAATTGATTGGTACTAAAAACAGAAAAATATTTCACGAAGTTCATTGCCAAGGCATATCTGTTGCAGTGTGCCAGACGGTGTCATCAGCCGAGGTGATTTTCGTGGTGGACGAGTCAGTGTCCAGCCGAGCGCCGGACTACTCGCGCCGAGTGCGCGATATCCTCCAACTCACCATCCACGCCTTCAAAGACTCGCATAACGGTACCTTAGGAGCTTTCCGCTTCGCTGTGGTGAAGTACTCTAGCGACCCCAGTATCGCTTTTAACCTGGGTCAGTACGATGAGTCTGCTCCCATGCTTAGCCACGTGGAACGCCTAAACTACGAGGGCAGGCTCTCAAACATCAACAAGGCACTGGCTCTCACAAAGAGAGAGGTAACTGCTTCTCCTTAAAAAGGGGATTGCATTTATGTAGTGTTTGGTGCTAGTGTACAACCCCTTATCAACAGGTTTTGCCAAGAGTGCGGGCTGGAGTCACCACGATGATTTACGTAATCAGTGATGGCGTGAACGACGAGTCGGCGGGTGCGAGTCAAATCGCCTCGGAGTTGGCCGCAGCAGGGATTCAGATCCTTGCACTCGCCGTGGGTGCCGATGCTAGAGGACAGGCCTTCTTGCGCAGCTTGACCTCCAAGCCACGCAGCAGACACTTCATGGTCTACGCTTTGGAGGAGAAGGCAGATGTGCTCTCTAACTGGCTTATCAATTCACTTTGCATTCAAGGTGACTTTTAGATTAGTTTATTCCATTATTTCATCTTTAGTCATAAGATGAATTTATAAAAAAGAGAAAGGTTAGCACTAAGGATTTTTAGTGCATTTTTTGAGCTTTAGAATCCGATCACTGAATAGTAAGGTGTTCAGTTTGATACACTGTTCTTTCCTCACTTTTTTTAAAGAAATGAAGCATATTTTTAGCCTGTCCCGAGGGTACCCAAACCCGTGGTTTCTGTTCCCGTGAGACCGGTTGCCTTGGGCACATCTACGAGCACTCGTACAGGTTCAACACGGATCTGGGCAAGTGTATCGGTACCTCCACAAGGCGACCCTATCGGTGTTGTAAGTTGTCAGTCAATTTTGTTGGAGTTCTATTTCAACGTGTCACTGAATCTCATCCCCTCCAAATAGGCTGCCTTGAGGCTCCAAGAGAGGAGAGTCGATGTGTCAACGGAAGCTTAATTCTCATTAAGGAGCTGTGGAAACTGAGCAAAAGCAAGAACGGTCTCTCCGTGTGTCAGCACTTTAAAATTGAACAGGGTGTGACAGGACAATTGCTAAGAGGTAAGGCCAAAACTTTCATTTGGTTCTTCCCTAAGCCACGACTCCAAGCTAAGGCATTACAAATGGTTAATATTTTTGCTGAATGATAATCGGTGCCAATCCGTTTGTTATCTGAACTAATAAGACAGTAGCAAACTCAATCCGTTATCTTCTGCCATCATTTGAGTCATCAATAGTTGTGAGGGTGTCCTGAAATCACATCTACTTCAAAACTGATTCCCTATTACGGTAATTGCACCTATAGATTGTCCACCGGAAGAAATCCAACAAGGTGGTTGTAACTCTGATGGAGTAAGAACTGAAGTTACAATCAAAAGGAAGTTGGAGGATTGCAAATGTAAAGTGAGTTCGGTGTAAAGCACTAAAATGCGTATTGTCATTTAATATAAATAATAATATAGCAGTTTTATAAAACCCTGCCATTTTGTTGGTTAGACACATCAAGGTTGACATTCTGAACTGGTGGAAAGATCTCCATAAGTGTTTCTTTTTAATCACCCTTCTAAAAATACACGAAACCCCTCAATGCTTATTTACAAAATGTAGAAATATATGTTGAAGTTGGACTGTTTTAGTGATAGCAATTCATGCATTAGGTAACAAAGCAGGAGGCAACGAAGAGGTGCATCTGTGACTCGAAGACGAGAGAGGAGGAACGCTGTATCGGCGACAATGTGGTGTGGCTTACGATCCGAAAGGAAGTCCTCAATGCCGACGGCTACTGTGAAGAGAAAGAAACAGTTGTCAAAAAGAGCATCTGTGAGTACAGGACCAAAATTTTAATCTCAAATCTCTAATACTGCGTTGATTCAAAGAACCCATTTCTTTGCCCGTTACCAATTCCGGGAAATATTTTATGCTTGTATTTGTTGTTTTAGCATTCTAGCATCTTTAAATCTGAGTTTGAAATTCATTTGGACATTCTTGTCCCAATTTTTCTAGGTACTATTAATGGGCTAAATTAGGCTGTACAAGTAGATTGCTCGAACCAAATCAAGGTTTCTAAACTTTACTGTCTTCCGACGGTTTGAGTTAAAGTATCATTAGCTCTGTCTTCCATGGAACGTCGGACTTCCTTTATTTCACTTATTTCCACTTAGCCTGCGCGGAGCCGAAAATGATTGCGGGTGCGTGCGATCCGCTGACTTGCAAACGTCGTCTTATTTACGTGAGAGAGCAGCCAGAGCAGTGTAAATGTAGGGAGAAACGGAAGGCGTTTTTCGAGCTATGCTGTGAGTTCTTCAACTTTCATATCAGAATTGCCTACCGTCAAAGATTTTGCCCTAAAGCTTTACACTATATTCAGCCATTCCCAGAGTGCAGCTTTGCTGAGATAACTAGGTATAAACAACGAAACCATACTGCCTTGATACGTTTGCTAAAAACACCTAAAACAATCAAATAATGCTAGCGACTACGTGATATGGCCGACATTAGCTTCTTCGGCGCAAAAACTTCTTTTAAAATCTATAAGCCATCATTATTGCGCCTCATTTGTTTGTGGTTCTAAACATTACCTAATCCTACACGTTGGAAAGTCCACAATTTAAAATTAAATTCGAATATTTATATTCTTAACACCGATTGTAATCTGACTGCCGTTTCAGTATTACCGGAATGTAGAATTTGGGACCGGGGTCAGAGACACCTACTCGTAAACAACTGCCGAACATTTGTACTGTCGTCGTACAGTAGAGTTTGGGGCTGCTGGCATGGCCCAAAGACCAAGCCACTAGGCAAAGCTAAGATAGTACAGCACTTAAGTGTCTCCTTTATCAAAATTGAGAGTTAAACAAACAACCAGCGTATCACATATCCCTTCTCCTCTTTTGAGCGTCGTCACTGGTCCCTCTTGGGAACTCTACTAGGGGGGACATAAACTCGGGGACGAGGGAATGTGCTAACCATTACACGCGTCCGTTGGTATTCGTGGAATTACCGATCTTAAAGTAGAGTCATTTAACAAAGGACAGGAGTTAACACAATTCCTTGGGGATAAGGTTGTGCGTTTATTTTCTCCGGACCACCTTGTTCTCACTTAAGAGCTGTCCAATCATATCTAGCTAGATTCCAAAGAGCTAGTAGGGAGGTGGAAGAAATATCACGTGCTCACCTCGTTAACATCTTTATTTAGGTAACGTAGCCTGCTCTGTGACGAACTTTTTCAGGTAGTTCACAACCACGGGTTGTGTCATTTTAGTTGGTAATAGCTCTCCTGCAGACCACTTGACTGTGGTAGTTACCATAGCTAGACGCCGTTTTCAGCCCTTCAATTGGGAGTTGCAGCAGATGGCTCAATCTCCAGCATATGCCCCTCTTTCGTCACATTAAGGTGTAGCACTCAGTAAAGATGGTTGTCCATTAAGATCATTTTCGCTTTCCACCGTTACCATTGCAGCGTCCCCAGACTTTGCTGAATAAGGAAGGCACAATCCTCAAGCAGAATATATGTACTGTCGACGCACAATAAGGGTTGGAGCTACTGACATAGCCCGGAGGCCAGGCCTCCCGGCAGAGCTAAAATGGCGGAGCTCTCAAGTATCCCATTACCCAAACACAGAGTTAAACAAGCAATTAACGAATTTTTTACTCACTTTGCACGTTATTGCGAAATTCCTTCTGTTTCATATTTTTCTCAGTACATTAGTGTTCTTAAATACTAGAAAGTCAATGCAGACCTCTGATTTTTGAACAGGTTGTCTTGCTTCAAGAACTGCATCACGAGAGACTGATTGCTTCAATGATACCACAAGAGTGACGACTGAAACCTCTATTGACTTCTCCAAGGATAAACGATCCTGTGTAAAGAAAACAGAGCTTTTCTACGAGCCCGTTGGTACGTTTCTCTTCAGCAATTTCCATGTGGTACAGGGTTTCCAATCACACTTTTCTATATGTGCCTTTGTCATCAGATTGTCCAACAAGTTCAGTGTTTATCAAGTCAGAATGTGTACACATCGGAAACGACACAAATGTAGTGACTGAGAGTGAGAAGCAATCCGACTCGAATCTGCTCTACCGCCGCGTGGAAGTCATCTCGTGGGATCTCGTCAACTGTCGGTGTCTCGCCTCACGTCGATGGGAGTTTGAGACCTGCGGATGTCGTGAGGTGGAGAATCCGGAAGTACATGAATGTCATGACAAGGAGGGCATCCTCATTTCCTATCAGCAGAACTATCAACTCTCCGTGTCAGGCACCAATGGAACCTACGTTGGATCTGAAGCCATTGGCAAGCGTTTCAACCAGCTCAAACAAGCTAGCTGCATGCCCGTGTTCTCTGGCCGAACGATTTTGCAAACAGGTAAGGAATATGTTCCACCGTTCAACCATAGCCATTGCCACTAAGGAAGGAGGTGAGTAGATCGTATCATGAAAGTGTGTTATCACTCCGAGTTATATGTCACGGTGAATGTATTCCATAAGCTTTTTCGGCCGCATTGTAAACCTATTTTCTGCCCCACTTTTATAACAGTGTGCCCGGATGATGCAGTGAAGCATGGTCCATGTGTCTATGCTAGTGACAGCGGAAGTCGAGCCTTCCGAAAGGTTGAAACGCAAGTGTGGCAACGGGAGGGCTGCAAATGCAAACAGCTTCCAGCTAATGTGACCGAAGAACTCTGTGGCTGTCGGCGAAAAATATGGACGCGGAAGCGTTGCTCCAGCGAACCGGAGGACAGGGGAGCTGTTCTTCTAATTAATGTTACTCGGGAACGACTGCTTCAAACCCCCCGCGGTCCAAAGTGTAAGGTGGATATGCAACTACGGAAACAGCCTATCAGTAAGTTATTAGAAAAGCTTTTGTATTCATTATCTACGTTTGATTAACAGAACCCCATACCTATTTTAGAGTGTCCTCTTTCAAGTGTACACTACTCCAACTGTTCCAATGGCTATATGACGGTAACGATAGACGTGGTAAGTCTTAAAGCCTGCAAGTGTAAAACCAATCGTCTCACCCGCCAACTTCGCTGCCTTGAGATTGCGATGGATGGAAGAAATTTGGGTCCACTTGGGACAAAAGACCAGTCCAAAAATATGTCTTCTACCAGCGAAGCATTTCAGGACTTCGAGCAACTTCGAGAGCGGCTCTCAAACCTCGGATTGTCGGACATTCAAAAGCAGGATGATGTAGAGGAAGACAAAAGTAGGCAGCAGTTAGGAGAATATTCGCAATCGGAATTCAAAACTGGAAAGAGAAAGGATTTCGGCAAATCATTCCCACTCAAAAAGGCCAATTACTCGCCTCAGTTACCCGAACCTACGGAAACTTTAAACGTTTCTGAGCGACGACAAGCAACGGAACCGAGTCACTTTGGATATGCAGATGAGCCATTTGTAATAAAGGCACATCGAGTCTTCCATAGACCAGTCAAACCTAAATCCGAAACGCTGAAAGTGATGAAACCTATTTCTGATGAAGTTGAAAAGCCTATGGTCGATAAGTGGACAAAGACTGTGAGACCACCTACTCATGAAGATATGGTAGAAGGGAAGTCAAAGGAAACATCTGAATCCCGTCAGAATGTAACTAGACTTGAATCCGAAATGCCAAAATTGATGAATCATATTTCTGATGAAATTGAAAAACTTGTAACCGATGAGTGGACAAAGACTGTGAGACCGCCTTTTCATGAAGATATGGTGCACGAGAAGTCAAAAGAAGCATCTGAACTACATCCGACCCCAATTAAACCTGAATCTGAAGTGCCGAAAGTGGTGAAACCTATTTCTGATGAAGCTGGGACACTGGTAGTAGATAAGCGGACAAAGACTGTGAGACCACCTTACCACGAAGATATGGCGCGAGAGAAATCAAAAGAAGCACCTGAATTCCATCAGACCTCGATAAGATCTGAACCCACACCTGAGGTTTCCTCTGAATTTAGGAGGAAGAAGCGCCAAGACAAACCTCTTAAACAAAATGTGATAAATTTCATTGAATGTGCAGATCTTTTGCCATCAGATAAGTGTGTAGAATTGGACAAGGGTCCGAATTCGCAGTGTGATATACCAGGCCAAATCAGAGATGAACTCTGCCGCAAGACTTGCCATCTTTGTCAAGGTATTTTTACTGCTAACTTAATGTTAACATGCATTTATTGTGTTTATAAGTGGATTTAACGGGGCTTTAACTGCAATTCTTTGGAATAGATCTCCCAATCAATCGGACAGACTTCACCGCAGAGGTCAGTGGACCAAACGACTGCTTGGTGACAGATGTGCGCTATGACAGAAGGTACCACCTCACCACTTTGAAAAGTGCCGGTTTGTCCCGATGTAAGTATGCGTGCAACAACGATCCACGCTGTATGGGTTTCGACTTCTACGTTCCCCTAAATGAAGCGGTTCAAGGAAGTTGCGTTCTAAGCACGGTTGATCGCCTCACTCTTCAACGTCGACTCAACCTGAAGAAGGTGGAGGCCGGAGCTAATGCCGAAGACCTCAGTCGAATGGATTCAAAGCGTTGTATTCGCTTTCAAAGAGTGCGACGCCCACGTAAGTCTGCTTTGGATGGGAACATTACCTGTGACTTGCGGATAATGACGTACTCTGTAATGGAATCTTAGTTTGTTCTTAAAATGCAATCAGTTAATACACAGTCCACCGAGGCATTTAAGAATTCGACGAAGCTGACATTAAATTTTTGACAAAGATTCTATTATTGCGTTAGGAGACCTGGAGCCAACACTAAACTACATCTTTAACTGCACTTGCGAAAACTTGAGCTCGGAGAACGCCTTAGCGTTCACCATCTCATCAGTAGACGACGAATCCTCAAAAGGTCGGCTACATTGTGTGAAGGAGGCGGAAATCAGGGCTGTCAATTGGCGTGGACAGGTCACGTGTCAACCCCCAGGCATCCCAGCAAGTCGGGGAAGGAGCGGGTCAAGTAACACCACCACTGAGGCCAGACAGGCCTCGAGCACAGACCCCTGCCTCGACATGAAATCAACCGAGTGGTGCGAGGAAGTAGCCAAAACTGCGGCTTGCAAGCAACCGGCCTTTAGATCAGTAGGTTCCTCATTAACGTATTCACAATTGTGCATCAGATGAGGGCCACTTTTGCTTACTGGAACGGAAGTAAAACCCATCGTCAGTATTAAGTGACCACGTTGAAGTTTACCCCTATAATTTCACAAAAGTTAGCAATCAAGAGACAGCAAATGGCAGTAAAACTAAAATTCACGCATATTTTGGGAGAGTTTAAAATTATGCATTATCAACAAAAGTAGTGGTGCAAAAAATTTTTTACCTGATCAATCAATTTACAATGTCCATTGTGTAGTCGTGAGAGGGTAGATAATGCGGAAAGTCAATCCTTCGCATTTATTTAGGAATCCAGTTCTGTTGAAATTACAATGGAAGATGAATGAGACGAAGATTACCAAAACTTTTCCCTTGACTATACTCCGCCACCGGAATTGGGTTTGTTCCTTGAATGGAATCGCATGGAGTGCTCCACCCATGCCAACGTCTTATAGACACTTAAATAGCTAAAATTGAGCGTAGATAAATAAAATAATCGCTTTTAAATAATAAAAATATCTTTTTACCTTCTTACTTTCTGTGAAGGTTTGTGGTGGTACTTGTGGCGTATGTGTTTGTAATCGGAGCTATGAATACGTCGGAAGGTGTCTGCCAAACGGGAGGATGACGGTCGTGAAGATAGAAAACACCTACAGTTTTCTTCACGGACGCTGCGTCTCCACGAAACATGTCCGTGTTTTCCCCTGTGAAGGTGGGCTAAATCAAAAAGCCACTCTAGTTCATGCTGCTCAGCTGAATTTACATATTTTACCACCCTCTTGCAGTCTGTCCAGCGCAGCCGTATGAGCTCATACAGCCGTGCGATCCAAAGACAGAGGCCCGTCTGGTGGTTCATGTGATTCCGGTCTTCAATTCCAGCAATCCTAATAAGTGCAAGCTGAAGGTCTCAAAAAAGGCCCTCAGTTGTAAGGACTGCATGTTTGAGGGTGCTCACAGCATCGAGCGCAGTAGCGTTTCATCTTGCAAGAAGCGAGGCAACGGAACGCATCGTCAGGTTCTGCGCACAGAATATGTTGTTAATGAAGATGGGTGTTGCAAGATCAGAAGGTAAGGATCTTTAATTAATGACAACAGGAAAAAACACCTAAAAACAGTTATTAATATTTAATATTAGTTCTTTACCAGAAGTAATGTATTTACAATAACGACCTAAAACCCCTTTAAAAGAAATAAATAGTAAAAACCCATAATTATGCTCTTTATTTTGGTCATTATTTTAGGTCCCTCCGAAGCTTCCCCTGTGTTGGATGTCCAGCACCAAGAGTTAGCCTTTCAAAGTGCCTAGGTGGTTGGCAACTCAGGACCATCATATTCTTCACTCGGCCAACGACGGGCAAATTTAGTGATGAGGGTAAAGGAATTCCCTCTTCAGCCTGCTTTAGGCACGTCATTTCAACCAAGGAACGGTGCATTGTGACGGAGACTAACCGAAAAAGTGGGTCCGATTAATTAGCTAATTTATGTGTTTCATCTCTCACCTTTTTAATTGGGGTAATTTCAGGTGGCTGTACCGACCTACTGGGTTCGAGGGAATGCAGAGAGTTTAAGGACGGTGACCTCTGTTTAGGAAACCCTGAGATAGCTCGAAAGCTTTGCGCTAGACAGTGCAATTTGTGCTAAATTCGTTGTTTTTTTTTTTTTTTGGTTGCGGTATTTATATCTTTTCCAATAAAATTACTAACTATTGAAAACGACTCTTGTTGATTCCTTTAGGAGAGATCAGATGTAATTAATATTTGGTATATAAAGCAATCGAGTGATAACGACTGAAAAAGAAATATTCCTTTTTGCATAAAATGCATATTTGGCCCGAGTCTTAATCATTTATTCAGTGTCTAAATGTATTACATGGCACCCAAAAACAGCCTAATTGCGCTCTGGGTCCTTCACGCCAAAAACTCCACCTCATCAGTTTAGCCATCCATATCTTAGTCATTGTTCCCATCCAGTGGGAAATATTTCCTACACCTGTGCTTCATCCCAAAGGTGTTGTCTCTTCGCCTACCTCGGGGGCTTTTGGCCATCTGGTGAGGACATCTGTTTGTAGGGGCGTTGCGCTTTCCACCGCATCCACAGCCAACCGTGCGTTTCGCCGCGAGAGGGGATTACAGAGCGCGCCATGAAGCGCTGCAATTATGCGTTTTCCACCGACATTCATGTCGCTTACCATAGTGGTGCGCCAAAATCGAAAGGCGTAGACAATGAGCAACGGCCAAGCGGAGGTCATTCTGACCGAGCGAAAGGTGGAATAGCGGTCCACGACCGCTTCCAGTAAGGCCCGATGATGGATAAAGTGGAAGAGGTAGGAAAGGGCCAAGAAGATTTCGCAGAAATCCTCTTCGAACATATCTGCAGCCCGTAGCAAAGATACCGTAATATCGTAGAGTAAAGTCCCAAAATCAGCGGATAGACGGAGCCGTCGCACTAGCCTCCTGCGCCTCGCCATGTAGGCAATAATAAAGGCTGCCTCTACTCTGCAGGAAGAATAGGCACTATTGAAAGTTCGCAGTGTCTGATCTATCCAACCATTTGGGACCTTCGCTGTCATTTGAAGTTGGTTTTGAAGTTTGGAGTTATTAGAGGCGGCGGCTATGATGGCAAGAACTTTGAAGCGCACACAGTGGCCAGGCGTGTTTCGATAGCGCAATAGGTCGTGGGCTAAGCGAGTGAGACTAATACCTAGTATTTCTTCATCCTTCTCTACAACCCATTCGAAATCGGCTCTCACCGCCTCAAAGACGGATCGAAAGACTTCCTTAACGTGAGGCACATATGCATCCATCAGCTGACCTGCCAAGTCAAGAATATCGCGGGCTTCTGTCTTCTCCGGGGGCAACATCAATACTGTTGGTGCGCCATAACCGTAATCATTTTTTCCAAAAAGATTTTTATTGGATCTACTTGGAATGAATTCTGGAAGGAGACATTTTAACAAGTATTTCTCGCTGCCCTCCCGCAGACCCTGCAAAGGCTCCTGTTGTCGAAATATAATTTGGTCCATATCAGAAAGTCCATATTCATCATTACTTTTGTCATTTATTCCGATTATACGAGGAATTATTTCCTGTTTTGTTTCAAGAACAACAACATTTTTGCGTAGGATGGTTTTAAGGAGAGGAGGAAATCGAGAAAACGAGAGCCGCATTGTTTTACGAACTATTTCGCTGCGAGACATAGCTAGATCGTCGTCGTTGGTGGCTATATTATCTTCCACCTTATCCCCAAAATTTTCGTGTGGAAGCTGGAGAATAATCCTCTTGAGTAGTTCTTCCGTCGGCAGAAGCAATTTGAGATCTTCATTAAAGGACATTTTTTTAATGTATCTTACTGAGTAAGGGTGGAGATATATGTGTCTAAGACGATCAAGTCGCTCATGGAATAGATCTTTATCCAACTCGCGAATGAGTACGTTGGCTGCTCTATCGCCCTTTTCCGTTTTTGCACTCCTACTGGAGACTCCTGACCTCTCGGAGGCTCCAAGTAGAACGCTTGGTACTGTAGAATGGTCTTTAATTTTAATCGAGCCTTTTGATGCCTTCTGAAATGAGGTAGAAGAGCACTCACAGTAATCTGGAGCAAGTTATCTTAATTCAAAGATGTTGAAATGACTAAAATATTCTTTGCAAGAATGTCAACAATTATTCCATTATTATACAATGTTAAACACCTTTGTGGAGACCACCATTTAACATTATTTAATCATTTCAGTCTACTCAAAAGCATGATTTTTGAGCAATGATTAATATACATTCCGGAATTTAAGTAATCTTAGGTGCTTTGCACCCACAAATATTTAATCTAGCTGTTAAGGTAAAAAACTGATCGTCTACTTAACAATTTAAGTTTTGATGAAAAAAACGTACTAACTCGTTCAATTAGAGAATTTCGCATTTCACTTTCGCCTTCAGGTTGGTCAACCTCTTCACCCTCCGAGTAAATTTCTTCCTGAGGATAATCTACTGATTGAGCTTTGGAGTCCTTTTGAGGCAGCACTTTCTCGTACTTTGCTTTGAGCTCTTCAAGGTAGGATAGTTCTGAGAGGTGACTAAACAGCGCATTTGTGGATATTGCGCCCTCATGAGGTCCACTTTCTAGAGTATCTGCTTTGGTCAGTTTTGGAGGTATTAACAGCGCAGTGGGTCTTGGTTTCATCTGTAGCTGCAGACTCAACTTCGCCGTTCGTGTCAGTTGATCTAGCTGTAGGTAGCTGTCGATTGACTCGTACTCTGTCAGTCGGTCAGTGCAGCTTGAGTCGAAGTAGAGACGGGAGAAAAGCCAAAATACCTCCTCTCGTAGATGACCACGACTGATACTTCTTCTACTGGCCATACTGACCTTCCGCCAGTTGCTTTCTTGCAGCAGGAGACTCGCTTGGGTCCACCAGCGGCGGACAACGTCACTAGTCGGTGTGAACCGACGCAGACCCCTAATGGTCCCATTCATGAAGCAGCAGGCGTTGCGAAAACAGTTCTGTATTTCGTTTAATAGTATACTCCTCTGTATTTTACCTATGAGCCAAAACACGCTCTCCTTAGGAATTAAAGTGATCAAATAGGCGATAGATCACCCACATCACGTAAAAAGTCTTCATGCTAATACAATTTCCATAGAGACAAATAAAGTGGTGCTGAATTTGATTTTTCCTGCGAATACTACTTCTCTATAGGTCTTTCACTGTAGCTCTAGGGATTAAGGCAAAATGCGCAAAAAGCAGGAGAAAACCAGAGCCTTAACAGGGAAAATTTCTGCTGTAATGTGTAAATTTTAGAGGGAGAAAGAGGATTTATCAGAAGTTGAATGAAAATTAGGAGGTCAGTGGACCTTAAAAATGATTACGAAATCATGAACTAACTGAGCTCTGAGTTTTAGACAAGCAGCACTAATTTTTGCCTTGTTAAATCTCACAAGTATACTTTCCAGTCATTTTGCTAATTTTCCATTCAGTAATTTTACTCGAAAAATGTGCAGAATCACCTTCTATCGGTGAACGTTCAGTATCACGGGCCTGCAGTTGTCGATATTGCTCAACGGCATTGACCAATTTTTCGTACACCTCAGTCTCCTGCAGCCACTCAGAGTGCTGGCTCTTTTCGTGCATTTGACGACGAAGCTTCGATCTCTCGGTGAGCCGTTCCACCTCCTTTGCGAGGGCAAAAGTCACTGGAGGACATTTTTTGGCTACTTTGCATTGTCGTGCCCTCACCCCCATAAGCTTGGCGGCAAGTCTCAACCTCGTCCGCACATGTCCCGCCACCTCCCCATGCGCCTCGGGTGATGGTTGCAAGGTGTCCGTATTTTCCTTCGTTAAAGAAATGGCTCTCTCTTTGGGACCTCCTTCCTCTACCAAAGCATTGAAATTGCTCTCATTTGGCATTCGACGAGGCCTAGTAGACCGATCAACGCTCTCATCCACTTCACTTCCCTCTGGGTCTGTACACAAGCCATCTTTCTCTCCAAATTTGGCTGGGGTAAAAATCTTTTCTAGATTATTTGGGTCTCGATTTATCACATCACAAAATCTTATAGATGACATATTTGTGTTCCCCGTAAATGCATCAATGAGTTCCTCATTTTCCATCTCGACCTTACAAGTAGCTGGACCATAGCTACAGATGTCTACACCTGCATTGTGTATATCGGCACCATCCGAATAAGTCGACTCCCGTCCATCATTTGGATCGGCTTCTACGGATTTATCATTACGGTATCCATTGTTGAGATGGTACTGCAATGAGTTAACATCATGGAGATTCCCGGTGATGTTCTCAAGAATATCTCGAACCTTGAGACCCCCAAAAAAATCATCATCTGCGTCAATAAGGTGGGGAAGAAGAGCGTCCAATACCTGACTGACTGATTTATTTGATTGCATTTATTCATTCACTCCTTATGCCAGAGGGCTTGGCGTGAACTGTTTTACAAACACGCGAATTTATTGATCACTTGGTGCAAACGTAGATTATAAGATAAAATGAAGTAATACAAAAGAGCAAATCTAGTACATGCTCAATTATGCATGAAGCAAATTGGCTTTTGTGAAAAAATTATCAGGATGCAACCAAGTAACACAATAAATATATAGATGTAATATGGTTCATTCACTAAGAGGTCATATTTTTGCACCATTTTGGACATCATCTGAAGTATAAATACGTTTTTAGAGTTACCATTTTTGGTGCCACTGCAAAAGCATTCCCAAGGCAGTCATTATGATTATCAAGGATTTCCAAATCCAAAATCAAAGTCAAAAGCGTCGTAGATTGCAGGTTTAACAAGTTGTGGACAAACATTTATGGTAATTTGTTATAAAATCCTACATCGGACTCAAAGCTCCACCCTTCTTAAAAATGAGGCAAATTAAGATCTGCACCCCTTAGTATCTACCTACTACTTTTTCATAAGGCACCGTGGCTTAGAAAAATTGGTTATGAAAAGGGAATCGAACCGGTAAAGTGTTAGAATTTGTTTTAAGATACACTTTATTAGTGATTGGCACCAGTTCCCTTTCCAAGGAAACCTTAACGATAATGTGTATGTTCTCGCAGAAATTCTTGCTTGAAAAATTTGTTCCTTTAATTTAACTGACAATTAAAATGCACCTTGTTTTAATCACCTGCCCGGTGGTGCCTAATTAGAAAAACTTCGTGGATTCAGAATGGCCAAGTATGATCTTACTAAGACGATAAGTCGGTATCTAGACCGACACCTTGTAGTCCCTCTGCTCGAGTATCTTTCAGTCAAATCGGTTTGTTTTCAGGGCTTTGTTATGCCATTTTAAAAGATATACGATGGTGACTCTATTTTGCGAAGTAAACTTGACCTCTTAATGGAAACCTCAATGGTGGACTTTACTTGTCTCACATACAAACTACTTCACAATGTTGATGATGTACCAGAGGGTAATAGTGCTCTGAATATCAGAGTTTCTAGAATTAATTAAAAAGCGTCAAGATACCCTTGATCTTATTAGAGTTATGGAAGAAAAGATGGCACCAATCGACAAGATTTTCAGTACTGAAACTATGAAGGAAATGGTGCAATGCAAGGTAGCTAAAGAACTCTTTCAAAATCTGGAGGCCAAATATGGGTTTAAACCAGACATGCTTGACGACATGTTCGAGGCCGCTAGGGTATGCTCCCCTCTGCTGGTTTTACTTCATCACTTGTTTGTGTGTGTTCATTCATGGAGGTTTGATTCATTTGAGCTTACGTTTAGTTGGCAAACGTGGTATGTACGTTCTCTGCCGTAAGTAGTTGGTTAGATGCATGCTAACTAGCATCTTTATTTACTCAGGTCTTCTATGACAGTGGCCTTTATGATACGGCTTCTGATTACCTTCGTATCATTCGTCAACTTGTAAGTTCAACAGATAAGAGGCATCTTCATGCCTGCTGGGGACGTTTGGCGGCAGAAATACTAGTTCAAAACTGGGACGAAGCACTAGATGATGTTGAGAAGCTGAAGGATGCTATTGACTGTCAGAGTGACGACAGGGTAAGCTAAATGCCCTTCCCATTGTGGTCAGTACGATTTCATCATTAAATGTGCATTTTTCATTACAGCTCCGACCTTCTGCTGAAACTTACCTGTTCCAGCTTCAGCAACGGACGTGGCTCCTGCATTGGTCACTCTTCGTTTTCTTCAACCATGTTCAAGGAAAAGAAAAGTTAATAGATTTCTTCCTAAATAACCCAAAGTGAGTAGCTTTGAAAAATTTGTATTACTAAGTCAACCACAGAAATGCGTTCACTAGCCTTTGCTCGTGCCTTGATTCCTTCTACCATTGTGCTTAAGCATACTTTGTCACCTTCCTTGCAGTCACCTGAATGCTATTCAAACATTGACACCACATCTTCTTCGCTATCTGGCCGTCTGTGTGGTGGTGAGCAACGACAAGAGGAAAAAGAATCAGCTGCGTGAAGTCGTTCATCTGATTCAGCAGGAATCATACTGTTATAAAGATCCCATAACTGAGTTCTTGGAGTGTCTCTACGTCAAGTTCGATTTCGACGGGGCTCAGCAGCAGTTGAAAATCTGCGAGACTGTGAGTCGGCCTTTCCTGTTCCTGTTGTAGTGCTTTATCAGCGATAGTTGCAGTGGGTTGAATATCTTTCCCTCAAAGGTCATTCCAAACGACTTTTTCCTAACGGGCTGCTACGAAGATTTCATGGAAAATGGTCGGTTGTTGATGTTTGAGACCTTCTGTCGCATCCATAACTGCGTCGGAATCAAGTAATTGCATTGCTCCAGTTATTCAAGTACTGCTATTTGTGCCTAAATGCACTAGTATTCGTATTTGCTTTCCTCATCAAAGTATTCGCAAAGAGTGTACTATTCACTTATCAGACTTAGAGCCGATTGCGTTGTGCTCGCCGTTACAGAATGTTGGCTGAAAAGCTGAATATGAATGTTGACGACGCCGAGAGCTGGATTGTCAACTTGATCCGAAACGCTGAAATGGACGCAAAGATCGATTCAAAAAAAGTGGGTCTTTCAACACTATCTCTTTATATTAGTTTAATTTAAGACAACTCTTCCCCATAACAATTTTATTAGATTCTGTTGGGTTAAACTCTGATCCCCTTTATTTTAGGGTCTTGTGTTTATGGGAACACACACAGTATCGCCTTACCAACAGGTAGTTGAGAAAACCATAAATGGTGCCTTCACTGCCCACAAACTGCTTGACAGACTAAAGAGCTCAAAATTGGATGCTGAAGCTGTAAGTCTTTCCATGATTCGCAGAGGTGTCTACTTCTCTGTCCCCTTCCAAATCGATATCCTTATGGGGTTCATTTGGATTTGCATTAAGCATTGATAAGTTTAGTGGTTTTTTCTTTCATGTTTTAGCTTTGCTGGAGTCCCTCTGTTGGTTTGGGTTTGCTTTACTCATTTTTCTTTTCTTTACCTTAGTGGAACGCCACGTCCCGGGCCTGAACTGTGTACCCCTCACCACAAATACTAATCTGGTGTATGATAATTATGACCTCCCTTTACTAAACTTCTGAGGGGCTTGAAATGGTAGGGATTTAGTCGAAGTTTTTACGTGAGTTGAATTACGGGATTGTGTTGTTTTAGGCTTAACTTTTGCCGCCTACTTGTTCCATTTCCTCGGATGCGTTTGCATTGCGGGTGCAAAGACCTGTGCCGCGAGCAGGCGCTCGCGGCACTCTTATGCACGAAAGGTTGGGGAACTAGCGCAATGGCGTCCCTAGCGCCATCACGAACCTGGGGTGCAATACAAGTCGGATTTTGTATCGGTTCTCCGCGGAGGTTGTAACGGGTTACTGTGACGCGGTTTGCGAATGTGTGACAAACTAAGCGAGAAGGGAGACCCGATCCTAGAATCGGGAAATGGTTTGGTGTGCGGTATTGGAGTGATTTTTGGGGGCAGTGTCAGTTCTAGTTGGTTTTGTAAACTTGGGTTGCCCGCCAAAGGGGTAGCTCCTATGAGCGGCGTGGGAATGGGTTGCCACGTAGGATGGGGATGTTTACAAACTTGGGAAGAAATCGAGTGTAGGGACTTGCTCGGGGGGATGATGAGGTGTGGCAGAGGTACTAGTCGGTGATTTCTACAAATATGTGGAAATAGGCTGCGACAGGACGACTGGCTTTATTAGACAGGTCGGTGGATAGTCTTATGGCGCCTTAAGTCTTTGCTGAAATAACACGTTAGAATGATGTGGAGGAATACATACTTCTGACCCATAAGAGTCGGAAGGCTGCCAGCATCATCCGAAATCCCCTCTCCTTGATCAGAGCACAGCCCTTGGGGACAGGAGTGCCAGCACGGTTCTACATGCTGTTAAACAAGCAGTCAAAGCTCTACGAGAAGCTCGGGTTTTGTTTCCTGCCAAATTGCAAGGCATTCCCGATCATTGTCGGTGACAACAACTAAAACTTAAGTATTCAAGATCTAAATATGTTTCTGGATTTAGCACAGTTTGGCAATGTACCTTGGACGATAACTACTAAAATTGAACGGGGTAGAGAGTAGATTTCCGGTAAAAACAGTCACAAGAACACTGTTGAACAAAAAAGACGCTGTGAACAATAAGAAATATTGTTTTGCCTTCCTAAATTGTGGTTAATTTACTCGATGTATGGTCATGTTCTCTACAAATCTACCTAGTTAACTCTCATGATTTAGCCTTGGCCTAAATACCTCTCTGTTAAAATTGCTATTTTAAAGTAAAACACCGGGCTTTCGAAAGCATACCTTGTGGTTTTTAGGAATTTTATGATCTCGTTTATTTGCATCAACGCTACTAACTGAATGATGCGTTAATGTGAAAGACCAGTTGGAACATGGCATTCTCTGCATTGGTGGGCTTGCGTTAGAAATGGAAGATGATTTATACGCTAAGGAGCTTGATGACTACGTCAAGCGGCATAATATTCATAAAATTCTAAGAGAGTCTATCGTAAATATCTGTCTTTATCGTCCCGATGACCCCATTCGCTTCCTTCGTGAGTACTTCGAGGCTCTCGATGTAAGTGTTGTTTGTTCTTCAGCAAATTATTCGTGCGTGTAGTTAATCAGACAAGGTTTTGATCTTTCTTTCTGGAAACTTTTTAGACCTCTTCGCCAAGTTACACTGACCCTGCGTCAAATCATACATTAAGGCGTACAGTTTCAGCCGGAAAGCAATCGTCAGCTTCGTGTAGCGGGAATGCTAGTTATCCCTCACCATCGGCTGGTTCTGAGCCATCTCCCAATCCAGACAACGATCCCCCAGATGAGCCATCAACAAGTACTCAACGATGTCATTCGGGTGATCGGTGCTCTAGCAATCAAAATGGACTCAGTGATGTTGATGACGCCTATGGCAGTAGTGGCGAAGTGCAGTTCCATTCATTCCCCACCCCGACTGCAGTGAATTGCAGTTCATCGGACCCAATATCTGCTAAGCGTCGTGTTAGACGTGGGGCTGTCAGTGGCGAGGTTTATACCGAAGAAGACGCAGCTTCCTATGTGAAAAAGGTGGATCGTCGTTGCTGTATTTTGCTTCGCTAGGTCTTTTATAACAGTGAGATTTTCTCTTAGTTGTATAACTATAAATGATTGATTGGAGGGTTCATCCGTATACATGGTAGAAATAAATTCGTTTGTTGATTATTAGCTAACGACCTAGAGTTGTCTTTCAATTCTCCTTCCAGGCTTTTACATGTTTACTTTCCGTTTGTTCGGCATTTTTTAAGTCGTCTTAATGTTTTTTTATGCTTTTGTTTTTGTAATTAACACAAATCCGATATTTTCGCCCATTCCGTACGCTATTCTTGATTCACCAATCAGAGAAAATAGTGTTAGTTTTTATTATCCAAAAATTGTTCCTGTACTTTGTGCGTGTTTCCTCCGTTTACGGGTTCGTATAATATTTGCATTAGTCTGTCAGGTATTCATATCTTCTCACTTTGTGCAAACGAATTCTTATGTCTCCTCTCAAACCCCAGTGACGTTTATTCATTATGTTTACTAAAATTCCCTGTAAATGTTGCTAGTTTTTTTAAAAATGAGCTGCTAATGCAGGTTTCTCATTTGCCCTCGCAGGTTGTCCCTAAGGACTATAAGACGATGACTGCGCTATCAAAAGCCATCGCTCGCAACGTCCTATTCGCCCATTTAGACGAAAATGAGAGGAGGTAGGTCGTTCGTGTTTTTTCCCATTCTCGTGTTCTTTTAATTATAGGGAAAAAATGAATTGTTTCTATTCGCACCACTTTGTGCATTTGCTACCCGAGTGCTTTAATGACGGCCGCATGAATGCAACCAAATACTTGGCTCTAAGATCCAACTTGACTTCCTGCATTCCACCATGGCTTATTTGTTGTTAGTCGCCGTCATAAAAGTACAGCGCTGTATCGTTTTCGTCTCGTGCCAGGTTGTTCCGATGCCATTTGAGGTCTTTCTTCATTGGGTTCCAGTTTTTGCCTCCTATTTTTGAGCAAATTTTAAGATCTTGAGTAAGCAGGCAATTCTGTGGTGCCATTTTTTCCCTTGCAAGATTTCATTCGCGTTGCATCGATACTTTATTCACTGCCTCCCTTCACCGTCATGACCAAGTGTGTGGCTCGTTTTTCTAGGTGCTTTCACTTTGTCTAGGACCGTTTTTAATTTATCTTGCCACTTTTTATTAGCAGAATACTCCTTCTGACGAATGAATTCTCCTCATTGTTTTTAAATCTTTTTTAACATTTGGTTAAAAGCTCCACTGAAGTTCTTTGTAGTTTCTCCGCTGCTTCTCCTCGTAAATCTCCGTTCAAATATTTCACTCACTAATCTCTTCTTTAATGCACCCATTTTTACATATGCTTAAGAGCTCGTAAAGTTGGTAAAAGAAGTCATTTAGGTGTGGATTTTTGCATGTGCTGTCGGTCAGTAAATTTTTTTTCTATTTTGATTATCGTACTGTTCCCCTTTGCTAAAGCGACATCTTCGATGCAATGTTTCCCCTTCACCGCAGCCGTGGGGATATTATAATCAAACAGGGCGACGATGGAGATAACTTCTACATTATTGACCAAGGCAAAGTGGATGTGAGTCAAGTAGTCTTGCTTTTTTGCTTCGGTCGTCGTCTAGCCACCTTTTCTTAGTCCCAGTTATTTCTGCTCATGGGCTTCAATGAATATCAAATGACCGTCTCCGGGAACATCTACGGTCAATGCACCACTGCTAAACCATCAAGTGTGACCCTACTTTATGTCTCGTAGTTAGAATTTTAAGTCTTAATTTATTAGCTCGATTCCCATTCAGAAAATTGCACATTTTTGTAGATTTAAATGGATATGAAATTTAGCTTGGCAATTTTTTTGTCAAACGCATGGGGCTAGAATATATGACGAGGACTTCAGATATCTAACCTTATTCGACAGTAAAATCGTGTCTATTGCTGCCCTCGGTGGTTCCATTTCCGAATCGAAGAGGTAGCGCTTCGAGCCAGCAGAACTTTTGGCAAGGCACTTTGGACCCTTTCCTCATATGTCTGAATGTTCTACTGCTTTGCGTGTTTGAGCATTTTTGTTATTTGCACTTAGACTGTAGGAGGAGGCCTTGAATACCCTAAAATGGTTTTTTTCGCTAAAGCGGATACTTTCCGTTGGGGCCCGTCACGAAGGTGCGCCGTATTCGAAATAAGAAGGCGGACACCTGTGGTTCCATCTTGATTCCTCCCGAAATCCATTAACCATGCCACCAACCGCAATTTCTGAATTTCGCATAGATAATATGCATTTTCTTTGCCAACATTGGTCCATGCGTAAGACAGTGGTTTAGTTATGTCCCTGTTAGAAAAGATGTAAGCCTTAGGATTTCTTCGATCTGTGCATTAATCTGGTGTTAAGTAGAATATGGGTCGCTTGTCCTAGTAATGATAGTAACAGCCCAATGTGGTGTATGCCTACTTTGGAGATATAAACGCTATTAAAGAGCTTCGGTGTGGATGTAGGCAAACGTCTTCACAGCACGTCCCATGCAATCCCAACTTTCTGATTAATCTAACCCCCTAAAAATTGTTCCGGTTTTAATGGGTTTTTCAAACAGCGTCAAATTTCTTGAATTTTAGGTCATTTCGCTTTGGGTGTTTTTGTCTTCTGGAAGATGAACTACTCCGGCGGTCTCTCATGATTATAAGTTCCTCCACATATTTCCGAGTTCGTGCAATTTCTGTCCTTTCAGTGCCTTCTTTAATCAATTTATGCCTATTCTAGGGTATTTTAGTGGGCTAAGCAGCTTCACTGTAACACACATTCCTTGTCTTCCCGTTATTATAGCCAGTATTGGCAAGCCCATTAGCACGCGCATCCGTTTGCTGTTATAGTTGACTCTGTCCTGTGGTGCTTTTCTTCAGCAGTGTAACACCTGCTAGTATTTTCTCGGGCCCATTAACCCTGGGTGGAATCTGGTGCTGCAGGCTGCCGACCGTACCACGCAGTCCAGGCCGGCCTGTTTTATGCCGGTCATGGGTGCGGTGTGCTGTGCTGAGTCACTGCCGCTCGTGATGTAACCCCTTCGGGTATGACGTGGTGGTGGATCTGCCAACTGAATCTTGCAGTGGCTAGTGAACTAAAACTGCTGTCTGTACAACTCCTAAGGGGATCTAAGTCTACACAGGTCACAGCAAAACTGCTAGTTTGATTTATAGGATATGAGGATGTAGTATACAAAGTGCTAATGCGCTCCAATTTTGAACCCTTATCGTCCCATCGGTGTGCTCTGATCATGTGCACCGAGGCAGAGGCATGAAGCAATTTACTTGTATAAGAGGAAGGTTACTGTTTTTTTTCATCGTTCTGAGTGAAATCGTAAGCATGTTACATTGCAATTGAGCTTGGCTAACATATTCTGCTCTGCATCTCTATGTCTCCGCCCTAGTCGTAACAAGCGATTATTGCTTTAATCCGCATGCTTGGCCATTTGGGGCTCAATTCTTTTTAACTTTTGCTGTCGCGTGTTGTCTTAAAGGTTCATCCGTGTTTCTATCTCTTCATTATTAAGAAGAGTCATGAATAGGCTTTTGGTTAATTTGGATTCTAAAGAAATAATCCAAATGTACGTTTGACCCCTCAATTTCGTGAGTCGAAAGCAGTACGACTTCTCTACACTTATCTACCATGTCACTCCACCATAGATATATGTGAATGGCGAATTTGTTAGCTGCATCGGAGAGGGAGGTAGTTTCGGGGAGTTGGCCCTCATCTACGGCACTCCGCGGGCAGCGACAGTGAAGGCTCACAGTGACGAGGTGAAGCTGTGGGGCATTGATCGCGACTCCTATCGCCGCATCCTTATGGGAAGCACTATTCGTCGCCGCAAGATGTATCAGGACTTTTTGGCGCGCGTGCCCATCCTGGGTAGGTCAAACTCGCCTCGCCAAACATCCCTTTCAACCCTTCCCACCCGGCCATTCTGTCTGCCCAGGCTTCTACTACTCCTTCCTCTTTTACAGACAATCTGGAGAAGTGGGAGCGACTGACTGTGGCTGATGCATTGGAGCCGGTTCGCTTTGAGGCGGGTGACTGCATTGTCCAACAGGGCGATCCGGGCGATGATTTCTACATCATAATTGAGGTGTGTGCTTCTTTCATGACTCCATTGTCTTCACTGCGTAATGTATATTGGGGATTTTCTCCTCATTGTTTTTTCATTCCCCCCGGCTTCGTTGACTCATCCTCTCCTAGCCATTGCTTTAGACCCTGTATGTAGAAACCGTACTATTGTGTTTATTTGTCTTTGTAACAAAAACGACTCTAGGCATATATTTACACTTCTCACATTAAAGTTGTCATCCAGCGATGGCTGGTAGCTGTTCACCTGGGTTATTTGTTCGCTTCAAAGTTTCATAATAGCATTTTTTTTTTCCATTCAATGAACTAAATTGCATTACACATTGTACTTAATGTGCTTTCGGTGCTCCATAGTAGTTTCTGATTACATATAAAGTTGATATTGTCCCTTCGCGTGCGCGCTTTACCCTTTCCCTCATACTGTCTAATCTCAACTCCTCCTCTGTCTTGGGTTCTGGGCTCACCCATTGGGAGGTCGCGGTACTTGGTCGGAGGTATCATATTGACCATGTCCCATCGGCTGGTACATGAGTGGATTGAGCGATCAAACGATTTTATCTGCATGGCCCATATATATGCACGCGGTTCTTTGATTTTCAAGTATTTATTGTGTTACGCTTTCTTGAGGCAAGTATTAACCCCAGCGAAAACCGAGCTGAAATTCCCCTCAGCGCTGTCAGGTATTTTATTTTTTTGTGCTATTCACCTTGGTTATCGGCATCACATTTGATCCTCCGCTAGGTAGTTTGCTTTAAAGCGGGGATTTTTTCACAGTTTTCCCATAACTTTTTGCCACGAACCATGTGACCTGTCAGGACAGTGTGCGATCAAAGTTCACGTGACCTTACGCCATATTCAATCTCCGTCCTGGCCGAAGAGTGTTAATAAGCGTAGTCATGGCATCTTTGTATTTTACTGGCTGTGTCTTCCTTCTGCCAGCATCAATTTGGGGTTAGAAAGAGCAACCAGGTACAAGTCCTATATGTACAATTTTTCTGGTTTTTTTCTCCCAATTAGTGCAACATGCTATGGGTCTTAATATATTTTTTGCCGACCTAGTGCAACGTTGCTCAAGCGAAGAAAGAGGGAATCGACAGCTCTTTGTTTTTCTCAATTAGAGCTGTGTCACTTTATTCATCGTATTCTTCGATGCCTTCGGTGAAGGTTCAACATTAGCAAGCAAAACAGAAGAGTTGGTTTTTTAGGATTTTATTTACCCAGGGTATGAATAGGCCAACCATCTGCCATCACGCCTATGGTTTCTCCACAATAAATGCATTCCAAAGAAAATTGGATGACTAAGCGTCAGTTTAAAGGCACCTTCTAGCCTTTAAAACTTAGTTCTGAAGTGCTTTAATAAAACTTGAGAAAATCCTGTTTGTCTGGTCCATTTGTCGATTCATTTTGCTATCATTGGGAACATTCTTCCGTTACAACACAACGAATGTCCGTTTTCCGTGCTTCATATGGATGGTCTTTCACGTTGTTACTGCGCTTCTGCTAGAAAACAATGTTTTGTTATCTACTAGGGTTGTATAGCCCCTAGACATCTTTGAAGACGGAAGAAGTCAACATAAGGGCAGAATGTGTTGTCGATGTGTAGTAGGCGTTGAGGCTACTAACATGGCAACGGGGCTAGGCTGCCCGGCGGAGGTACAGTGGCGAAGCCCCCAAGTGGCCTTTTACCAAGACTGAGGGTTAAACAAACAATTAACGTTTTACGCAGCCCCTCTCCTCTTTTGAGCGTCTTTCTCGCCTTTTCCCTTGGTCAACCTTCCGCATCGGCTATCATAACGTAATCGGCACTGCAAGAAAAACCCATAAGCTAAACACGCCAGACATCGAATTTTCATTCATCAAATAGTGTATCTGCCCGCAGCTTTACGGATCCCTCTTGGTAAATCTGTTGGAACTAGAGTTTCGTCCTGCTTAAGAACTGCGCTTAGGAGGGTGGGGTGGGCGAGGGAATGCATTGGCCATCACGCATGTCCATAGCTGGTCGTAGGAACAGTGGCCTAAAAGCACAGTCAAGTAACACAGAATGGCGTTTAGAATTAGTTCTTTAGAAATGAAGCTTCACCTTTATTCATCCTTGGCATGTTGTTCTCACTTCGGTGCTGCCCGGCCATTTCTGTCTGTGCTTCATCCAGCTAGTAGAGAAGTGGATGAGATATCGTGTGTTCACACGGTTGATATCTTCATACAGCTACGGTAGATAACCCAGTAGCGATTTTTTTTCAGACTGTTTGCGGCTAGTGTCTCTTCAATTCTTAATAGCTTTCCTGCATAACATGGGGTTGTGGTAGTTGCCGAGAATCGACATCACTTGGCCCTTCTGCTAGGGGTCTTCACATATTCTCCAATCCTCAGCGTATGCGCTTCCTCCGTCATGGTAGGGTTTATCGCCCAGCAGTAGAAATTAAGATGGTTGGCGATGGGGTTTGCATTCTGCCACAACCACTGTAGCGCCTTGAGACTTCCCTGAAGACTAAGACATAACGCTCGGGTATAAATTTTTTTGCCGATGTACGGTAGGGCTTGTGCCTACTGGCATGGTCCAGAGGCCAGGCCACCCGCCGGAGCCCCTATGGGACCAGTTACCAATACCGGGAGTTAAGCAAACAATTAAAGCATTACAGTGGTAGTCTGAGTGCAACCATATTCACAAATTTCGCGCTTTACTGCAGTTGTTGTGCGTTTGTTGTTTTGCCACATCTCGAGATACGTATTTGGTCATCCGCCTCATTATGTCTAATAGGTATCAGGTGTCTGGGATATGTTTCAGCACTTTGTTATCTGTCAATTTCTTCCCAATCATAAACCCACCTTCATTCATTGGCGGTGTGAGCGCCTTGATGGGTTCTGTAAAAATCAGTTTTGTTATTGGATGGAACACTTTTAGTGTTCATATGTATCGTCTTTTCTGTCCCGGCACTCAAGAAAGGCTGTAACTACTAGATCTTGACTTGCTGATTTACACTGAGTTGATCAACGCTCCAGAGACGTGAGGTTCATTCGAATCTATGATTTTAATTACTAATACAGGTGTGCGGTTAACTCCGAAGTTTGCTTCCCTCCCAATTTCTTTTTGCGCTAGCAGCAGGCCGTTTGGGGAAAAATAGTTTAACAACTCGGTTAAGTCACATCCGATCTGCTTTTCTGTAATGCTGAACTTACACAGGCTAGCGTTTCTTCTGCAAGCCCAAAATACCACACAGCAGCGAGGTCGCCGATGTTAGACCTAATAACAACCCGTTTTCTGATCCACAAAGCAAATCCTTCCGTTACAAGACAATGATTTTGTCGTTGGTACAATGCCACTTCCGGAAATGCCGTTAAATCACAAAGTGGCCAATGGCGGTGTCTTCTCCTCCCCTCCGCTTATTATTTTCTCTCCTCTCTTCGGCATTTAAGTTATCCTTTTACCAGATTTCACTTTTGTTAATGTAAAATCCAGTTACAGCACATGCGCTTTGGCACCTCACGAAATTAATTCCACTGCGAAATGTAGAGCTTACATGTCGTTGCATAGCCCTTCACTCTTTTAGGTTACATGATGTTCCAAAATTTAATCTTACACCTTAATCTTTAACAGTTTGTTACTCATGCCACAGCCTTTCCATAGTGTGCCTTTCATTTCTTTTCCAGACTGTTATGGTTGTTGCTGCTGCAGCGCTCACTATTTTACCTGTTCGTCTTATTATTTGCCTTTGCACCACTTTTCATTTTTATCATCACCCCAACCGCACTGTGGTTTCTACTTGTCTTTCCTTTTTAAAGTAATCTGTTTATATTAGTATTTACCTCTAAACTAGTAATGGGTCTTTTTCCCGATTTCTGCTTAAATATGCACTAGCATTATATTGAGAAGTGTTTGTTTACTAATCCTGCATGGAACTTGTTCAGCGTCGCTCATTTTTCCCGCAGGGCACAGCCGCGGTACTACAACGACCTTCGGAAAACGCGGAACCCGTTGAAGTAGGCAGGCTAGGTCCCTCCGACTACTTTGGTAACTGCCTCATCACATTTTTATTCTCATTGCATACTTGCGTGTTTGCTCTAATTGATACAGCCTCATGCATTTGATTGTGCCGATTTTGCGGGGGTTATCTGTTAATGTAGAATCCGAATCATCTCCAATAACTTAATGTGGAACATGTGGGTCCGAGAGCTAGTTTAAGCGCATAAGAGTGTATGGATAAAAGCGTTCATTTTGTGGATGATGTAGGTGTAGTTGTGAGCATCGAGTTTTGCGTATTCGTGGCAGTAGCAGTGCAGAAACGACGCTTTTGTGTGTACCTTAAGGCGAAGTGGCGTTGCTGTTGGACCGCCCGCGAGCAGCAACAGTGGTGGCGCAGAGTGCACTACGGTGTGTCAAATTGGATCGCAAGCGCTTTGAACGTGTGATGGGACCCTGCTCCGACATCCTCAAGCGCAACATCGCCAAGTACAACAGCTACATCTCGCTCTCCGTGTGACGTGCGTGCTTGCACACGCAGCGCATACCTTCTGCTCGGCCATTCGCTCATTCCTACCTTACTCATCTACCGCATTCAACCATTTTCTTAATTGGTAATGAGTTATTGGTCTTGATTTGCTTCCTTTTATTCCTTTCTCTTAACTCTCTTCCTTTCCTCTGTATGCCTGCGTACGTGTGTGCGCACCTCAAGCGAATCATGTACATTTACTGTGGGTGTTCATGTGCTGAGCCTCGTATTCATAAGCCTCCCCTCGATCGGAGGTGGAGGTTGGTTTTTTCATAAGGCATCCGCTTTTTTTATTTGATTCGAGGCTTTTCAACAGTTGGAGTTTACTTGTGACAACCATCAAGACCCATTCATGGTCTCTTTCTTAGATTGAATCTTCCGTTCAGGAGCTCGAATGTAAATTTGAGCCTTCATTCACAAAGGACTTTTCCTTGTATGAAATGGTGGCTTACGAAATCTAGGGCTTTGGTCGTTGAGGTGTTGTGTGAACGTCCACTTGTTGCACCTTCGCCGGTCAGATACGTCTTGCATTGATGCTTTGAGCTATCTGCGTAACGTTTGTCTTGCAATGGAGCTGTCGTAATTTTTTTTACTGACCCGGTGAAACGCTGGGCGAAAATAACTGCGGGCGGAATTGTTCGCTGTCGCTATCGAGTACGAAAGAAGTGGGCTCTTTACAGTGGTTCATTGGTAGGCTCAGACAGCTCTGGCGTAATTGATCATTGGTGAGACTAATCCTCACTTTTACAGTTTTATTGTCCCCTAAGGGGTCGTCTGAAGTGAGGTGCGGCGAGACTATGATTTGGAGCTCTGATGAGCTTAAAAGTCGCCTCGGGCGTATCGAAATGCCTTGTGATTTTAGCACGCTTTCTTGGTTAAGAATTGCTATGCCCACTGCCGATTAACCTGTTCGGTCGTCTCGATTCTTGGCAAAATTTTATTACATTACCTAAGCACTTAATTTTGTACAGTTTGTGTCACTCCAGTCCAGATTACCGTCACAGTGGGGTAATAAAGAACAGTCACATTGTATCGCAAAATCTACTCTTACTGCATTTAGTCAGGTGCCTCTGACAACCACATTTCCAAGCTGAAGTCGTCGCTGTCACTTGATCATTTGCTCTCCATCGATGCAGTGTTACTTTATGCGTAGGGCACCTCAGGGACAGGAAATTTGGTAGGACTTACTATCTTGTATGGTAACATAGTGATATAACAAATGCATGGGTAACAGAGCGTCGCCCAAGCTCAACAAATGCAATTATTTCAAAATGGACAGCCTCACTCTCTCCTGACTGCCTGTAAACGAGCTCATTTCGACTCCGTTCTGTCGTGGATCTGAAAATTTTAGAAGCGGTACAGACACACTAAACACCCTTTAGAATCCTCTCAGCATGGGTCGCATCAAAATTATAGTCGCTGTAGTGAGCTGGTGATGGTGAGCGTGTGTTTGGATGCTGTCGAGTTTTCAACCAGAGTAATCGGGAGGCGAGGGCTTCAGTGCGGACTACCAAAGACCCAGAGCAGTTCCATTCTCGCCTACTTATCGTAGCCTAGTTGGCTTTATAGTGATTATTAGCGAATTTAAAGTGTATCTGTGTGGTCTCGGCTAACCGGGGGGTTGAACAGGAGCGCGACCTTCTTAAAGTCCTAGAATGATCGGGGACTAGTCAAGAGAGGAAAACTTCAAGAGAATCGGGACGGAAACGCATTCTGGGGTCGTGGACATTCCCAGTGAATGCGTTCTGGAGTGACCGTCGCATTATTCTCGGTGTTCGGCCAGGTCATTAAAACTGGGTTTACTTGTCCAGCACAACGACACGAAATTACTGCAGTTTTTAAGAGGTGCTTATTCCCGATTTACCATTCAAACATTGCCCTCTGGTCACGCCAGTAACCTCCGAGTTATTCTGTGCGTTGGAATGATACGTTCTTCCATACTACTTCCGTTTTTTTACGACTGGTGGAGACTCGAGACGCTACCGTACTAAAATACAAATAATTTTACAAATGGTGTCGCGATGCTTAAAATTTTGGGTGTGGGTTCTGCTTGCTTACTGTTTTGAATTTTCTTGCGTCTTAAAGAGAAATCGTCGGCTACCTTGAATATTATAGTTTCTGAAGAGTGATTTGCAAGGGCCTGAATATGGCGAGACAGAGGATCCACTTTCTCGCGGTGTTTGTAAGCACTCACACACTAACAAGGGGCTTTTGTTCCGAGACCCTTCAGTCCCACTTCCGCATGAATGCCTGAAAGAAAACGTCCACTGATTCACACGTAGCCTACGAATTTTGAGGTCGCCGAATAAGAGAGAGATCAAAACATTAAGAGTTTCAAGCTGCAAATTTTAGGCTAAAACAGTTTGTTACAACATCAGCGACCAACTACAGCTGCAACTCCGTGACCGAGCAATTACTAGAGATTTTCTACCAGATCTGCAACGAGGGTTTTTGCAAATTCTGGATCCGCATTGTCAGGCTGCTCTATCGCCATGTGGCCAGTAAATGGACATGGAGGCAACTTTGACATCCAAAGCAATCGTTCTACACCGTAATAACTCAAGAAGGCCTGGATTCTAGTAGAAACAGGCGTCCAAAAGTGTAACAAAAATGCAACACAGTGCTTACCGGCAACTAAACAGAAAAATTTAGTACCACAGAGAAACGATACCACTGTAAGTTATGTTTTGAAGTATTTCTGCCTGAATTTTCGTGTGGTGAACTAGGGCACATCCATTGCGTTTGTCGTAGCTCAGACTTGCTCCACGGGAGCGGAAACCTAAATTCTGACCTCAATCCTCCTTAGCTACGTTACACAAACTCATCTGATTAACAACGTGTGTCAACACTTAGTATTGGCACAGGCAGTGTTGAATCTCGTATTCATATCGGTTCGCCTATAGGCCTTACACCCCACCCACTACTTCAGTCGTACCATATTTTGGCGTGGTGACAATGCAAGCCAGGAGAGATTTAAGCCCAGAAGCAGTTCGACGCAACCGAAACAAGATTCAGCATGACCAAAATCGACTGACATATTCCACACTCTTAAATATGCTATTGCAGTGAGTTAACATTCTGTTCAACTGTGAAAATTTGAGTCTCCACAGATTCCACTTCTCCGAGGCATGGATTTTGGGTCATGCTAGTAGCCCCCAGTGCAGTGATTTAATACTTGGCCTATGTGTTGAACCACGCGAGGACTTCATACCACACAGGCCTTCAGGCCATGTCAGTAGGCTCTCAAATCTGCTGTAGTTTGGTGATATGTGCTTCCACATTACTTTTGCTTTTTGTAACTTCGGCGAAGAGGCGGAGGGTCACACAATAATAGCGGAACACCGAAATGGGGGTGCTAAGAAAAAATTTGGTCCCTTGTAATCACTGCGTACCGGTTCCGTGTCCTGTGGGAAAGCCATTAATGCCTGAAGCGGCACTAGCCGTGAACCATCAGAAAAGTGCGTCACGTAGTCTCCTGCGGTACTTGCAAGGAAATGTAAATTAAGAAAACACACGATACCTAACCGTCCATTTATTAGCTAAATATAAGCCAGACAGATAAGGGTGGGGAGCAGCGAAGTCTGAATAAAGTGACAAAGGGAAATGGACGCAGAAATATATCCCCATGAAACTACTTAAAATTTAGATCCAGCAGAAGTGCCAAGATGGATTAGCGATTTGTAGCCGAGTGCCTTCGCAATTGTACGCAAATTCGAGGACTGGCGCGGTTGGTTTGTGGGCGCTTTTCTTGCAGTACCGAAGAAGACGCTCCAAACGAGGAGGGGCTTTGTAACACCATGATTACTTGTTTGTTTAATTCTTTGTTTCTGATTACTTAAACATTTAAGGCCCTGCCTTTGTGCTTCGGCTGGGCGACGCGGTCCGCGGCCCTACTGTACGTGGGAGTGCATTTTCTGTTTTGGCATTATAACCTCTTTCGACTTAGGGAGACTTGGGGGCTACAAAAACATCGTTAGTTACAAAAGGTAAAATATTATATTGATAACAAGTCAGAAGTGAAAATTCTAGGTATTTCGCTGTTTATAATTAGGCAAGAGGCGCAGGCTTAATGTGCTAACAATTTCACTTTTTCGAAAAATTGTTGTTTAGTGACGGGTAGACTAATAGATTTGGCAAAATAAAACGGGAGTGTTGTACAGCCAAGCTTAAAGCACAATTTAGAATACAGTTGTGAGTTTTATTTTATTTAATGTATGGGGAGCCACTAATTGAATGAAATTTAATGGAGCCAATTATAAGGTTATATGAAATTGCTTATTTGTGGTACATTAATTTTAACTGCGTATTTACGTGATTTTTAATTTTGATTTTATTGGGGAGAACGTACATTATACATAGTTTTGCGGCTGAACAGAGGGAAATTAAAACAAACTGTGTACTTGTCATGTGAGTCCTCAGGCTTGTGATTCGTCGGCGTGTCGAAATCGCAGGATAATTACTGGCAGCAATTGCTTGTTTCTTAATTTGCATTTGTATGTCGAATTTAATTTGCAAGAATTTCGTATACTTCTCTGAGACCTCGGTGGTTCATCTTGTTGTGGCTCTACTTTGAGTTATCTCTCCCGTAACTCATGTGCGTGTGTGTAAATTCTTGAAGACAGCATCGTCTGAATCAAACCTTAGACAATGAATGCAATGGTGGCGTTTGTTCACTTGACATTTCTACTATGTACTGTGTCTTCGTGCGTTCTTGCCAAACAAGGCCTTGATTTAAGCGAAAGTTGTCTTGCAGCTAAAGGTATGACTTTTTTAGTCTAATTCTTTCACAGAAAAAGCAAAATGGACAAGAAGTCTTCACTTCAATAATAAGTCTTTTTCCCTCAATATTGAGGTGAACGATAAGCCTTCTCACTGGATCATAAACTACATATTTGAGATACTTATTCGAGAGCGTTTTGGGTACAGAAATATCAATTTTATCTACACTCCATGGGATTCCTCTTCAAATGCGATCAATCGTCTCAATTGTGAAAAGTCCAATGATTGTTCTTGTCCCCCGCCCATTCATGTTAATCTGGAATTATGGCTTCGCACTGGAGAGCAAGTTTCGGATTATGCACCGCCACATCGTGTGAACATGAACGGACCGCTTGGTCCGATAACACGATGGGGCCTCTATACCAATGAGGAATTATTAGGTCGTCAGGCTCCAGTATGTTTCCATTTCCTAACTCTATTTTTACTGCTTCAAATCTCTTAAATCAAATCGCTGGACTTCTATGTTCTACTCTTACTGTGGTTGAAGCCGTTGTGTTTCCCTTATTACTGATTCATTAGTAATAACACTGAATTGTTGTGTTTTGTATACTTTAACGGGATTGTAGGCCTCTGGTGCTACTTATTAAAGTCTGGAATGTTTTTAACTTATTCTGCAAGTTTTAGCGTATAGCGTTTTTTCAATCAACCGTTTGTCGTTATTGTTTTGGTCGGAGCATAAGTCGGCACGATAAATGCTCAAGTGCTTTTAGTCGCCCTGGGGGGATTCAATAGGAGACTTTTTGTTTATATGTACTCACTTCTTACCAAATGTTGCTTGGAACTGATATTGTAAATGGGATACATGTTTCATAACTCAGGACTGTCATCTCGAAGCTACTTTATTTCTTCAGTGTACAACTCTGAAATAGATCTCTGTTTTGTGTTTTCAAAGTAATTTAAAAGCTGATCCAAACAATTCCCGTCTTGTCACACTTAATCTACCTTCCAACGAATACTGACTTATTTGGCAATCCTGCTTCCCCTTAGTTTGCTTCATCCTCCTTACTATTCATTTGAGGTTTTTTGTGATTGATTGCCATTTGTTGTTCCACAGTTTATTTCTGGTTTTTCTGCTGTCTGTTTCGGGCATAGTTTCACAAATTTTCTCAGCCGTCTGATACGTCCAACTTGCCAATTTTGTCAATTGTGTATCAAACATCTGTCTTTAAAAAAGCGGCTTCAGCACATTGGAGTCCTGTAGTTCGTTTTTCTGTGTAATTTTTACGAACTTTTTTAGTTATTCATGGTGACAGGTGGAAAAGAGGAATGGCCACCACTGCTTTGTGTGACTATGAATTCCCCCGCTACTACACCAAAATATTTGGGATTACTTATCCTTTACATGCACCTCTACCAACTCATTCGCAGAAGGTTGGATGAATCACTAGTTATGCGCTTATGCAAACAATGGGATTTAAAACGTTTGGGTCGTATAGTACTTCCCAAGTATGACGATTTCATTAAGTATTTATAAAAGCATCCACCAATTTTACGCTAATTCAAGCTAAATTACATTGTCATCCTTTCATTGCACCTTGTTTCATCAATAATTATTCTCTTAGATTATTCCTACACCGTGAGGTATGACTTGAAAACTATTTCAATTGGGTTCCCATACTTTAGTATGCATAGGTTCCCTGATGCATTGGAAGTCAACATGCAGAGATTATGACTTTTTGTTCATGTTTTTTTAATTTTCCTTTTAATTAGAAACTTCGATGCAAAGATATCCCAAAAGATTCGGAATGGAATGGTTTCGATTATGATTTCGTCTGCTCACTTATTTTTCTTCATTTTCCCCATGTTGGTTCGTTGCTCATTTGTCTGAATGCGAACTATTGCATTGCTTACATCGCGGTGTTTCTTTTCTTGTTAAAACACGCTTAGCAGTCTACCTCATAAGACCGGTTTCAATGGAAAGCACTCGTACGTAGTAAACAACTGTTAATCTGCATGTACCTGTTTTAATTTTACAGAAGCATGTTAGGGAGTGTTTTTGACTGTACTTTGCTGTCTCGGTAACAATGAATGGTATGCGGGGCTTGTTCTGATTTCTCATTTTTTTTAATTGCGGTCGAGCTCACCTCTCATTGATTGGCGTTAGCGGCTGCTCATTTATTAAATGGATTTGGATCTAGTACGTGCTGCAAATTTCTTGTTTCGGGTACCTTCGCGCTGTACTGTAGCAGGGAGCCGCTGCACACAGAATGGCTTTGTGTCCATTGTTGATAGTCACGTTTAGCAGCAATACTCATGTTTCGAGTCTTCATACAGCTTAAACTGGTAATTCTTATTAGCGTGTACCAATAAGGTGATTCCAAATGTTTACCTTTGGAATCACAATGCCGTACATGAGGTTGCATTAGATATCAGTTTATTCTACCCACCATCCATCCTCGTGTTCCACATGTCCACCTCCACTTCGTTAGTAGACGCATCGGTAAACCGATTGTTGGGTTCAAAACGAAAGTAGTATCACGTGCCTACGGAGGTACAAGTTCTTGTGTCTTCATTTGGAGAAATTATTCAATCAAAACCTTTAAATACCTGACTGTCTGTTTGTTGTGTAGGTTTTCTTACTTGATCAAAATCCGCGTATCGGCTGGCCAGGCAGCCAACCAGTTTGGCTTGCCAAATGGTAGTGCTCTCTGCGCTGAGAAGCTTTACTGGAAGGAGTGGGGAAAAAGAGTTTATGGCGGTCAACTTATTGTCGTTGTTCGCTATGATAAAACTTCGCCTCTTAGTGATTTAGGACTTAGGGATTTTCGATCCTTACTCTAGCTGAGCAATTAATATAAGCCGTTACTTCTGAATTTGTATGCCGGCTTATCATCTGAATAACTGGGCTGTCCGTCATGCTTCACGCACTGCGATGACCTGTTGTAACTTGCAGGAACTTGTAAAATCTAACCGTTTCTATGCATTTTAAAGCACAGTTCTGTACCCATGTATCGGTAACCTTTACTGTGCTCTATGCTGTTTTTCTCTTGTTCTGAACCCTCATAAAAATCGGCCAAACATGATGTGATTTGAATTTGTCCGTTTTATAAACCGATTTCGGCCCAACCTCGAAGTCACAGAAACTTATTGCTTAGCATTTATTTAAAATGTAAGAATCACTAAATGATAACTTTACCGCGCTTGGGGAGATCTTCTATTCCTAATAAAGGGGGATTTACCTACCACTACTAAAAATATTTCTTGAGATTAATGTGGCGAGACAATTTATTTACACCTACAATTGGAAGAAGTAGTAAAAGTTAAGGAAATGGGCTCCACACACTCTAACTACATATGACAAGAAACTTCGATTTCGTTTCCTTCTTCGCCTAGCTACTTCACGTAAGTTATAAAAACGTCCCGTGCATTTTAGGTTTCTGACCGACCTGCTGCATTAGAATGCTCGTTAAGCAGAGACGTGTCACTGGTTATCCCCAAACGGTCTACTCACCACTCACCCTACACTTCCAGGGCGCGGCCAATTGTGTCCGTGATGGACTATGCTTCGCGTGTGTGATGGACACTTGACGCAATTTGTCACTATGTTTGGCCTTTTTAGGGGCCTGAGGACTATCTGCTCAGTACAACTAAGAGCCATACAAGCGAGATTTATTTTTCAGAAACAGTTAGGCCGAAGGTCATTCCTGCAAGAAGGAGCAAAGCTTAGCCGTTCGAGGTTTTGGCTTTTACTGGGGAGGCCATCGCATGTGAAATAAATGGAGAAATTGTGATGAAGTGGCAACGGAGATGGGTAGAGCTTGCTTTTTCATTTTCAAAAACGCAATCCGCGAGCCTGTGTCTCGTTAAAGGGTTATATATCGCAATGACAATTGTTTTCAGTGTTATCATTATTTTTTATTGTAAAAAAACCCCGCGTGAACTTATTTTGTTGCCTTGTATCAGATTACGTGTCCAAGTTTTTTGTGATTGCCCTTATAAACTCCAACTCATGCCCAGCCTATCTCTTACATTGTTGTCCGCACTCCCTCGCCATATACTGTGTGTCTAAAAACGCTCCGATGCAGGTGTTGAGTGTGTCATTGTTTGATACTGCTCGAAGTCAGTGCTACCAGAAGTCGGCGTCTAATGGGAGGGATAGGCAACTGTCTAGACAGTGGCTTATCGGTTTACGAGGTATGTTCGTGCTTGTCTGGCAATAAGACCTAGTTCAGCTGAGACCTTGTGACCCCTTCACATTAGGATCATTTGGTTGTCGTTTTGCTAAGTTGGTTTGTAATGGCTAATTGTTGCTCTGATCTTTATCCTGTCCTATCCTGCCCGAAATTCATGAGTAGAATGCGCCTAAGGATTTCCGTTACTTAAACATTCTGTACTATCTATATTGAATGTCGCTCATCCTACTCCAACTTCCCAAACTGTCAATTTGTGGAGCAAAAAAGGGTGTGACTAATTAGAGAACGAGGTAACTTCGGGGAAGCTTTGAACACTTACCTGTGGATCGGGTTTGGTGGCTTCACCAATGTGCTTAAGAGTTCTATCGAAGCTTTATAATCACCTCCGAAAGGTCCGCCGAGGACAAAGGCCATACAAACTGGTTCGCTGATTTGCCCGTGGGCGCTATTGAACAGGCCTGTGCACACACCAGCACAGACGAGTTGGCGGCATTCATTTACACTCGGCGCAACGTGACTCATACCTGTGTCGCCCATCCACCCCCTCTTCATCCTTCCATTGATGTCTTCTGCAGACGCTCTAACGGCCTTATTCATCTATTTCCTTCTGGTCTCTCTGCTTACTAATTCAAGGTGTCTACGTACCGATTGCTTGTCCAGACTGTTACATAGTTTTGACGAGGCATACCGTACCTTGCTGATTCACTTTGGTTTCCTGCTAAACTGCATTTTAGCCAACTTAGGTTTCGAGTTTAACACATGCTGTCATTGTCTGTTCAGTAAAAGGAATCTTGTTTCGGTGTTGGACTTATTAGCTGTTTGAAAGTGGTTTGAATTTCCTTTTATTGATTGGTTGGAATCCCTTGTCAGTCGAAATCCAATTCATACTAAGTGTTGACAAGTGTGTGTGTACACAAGAACTTGTGTGGTCTTGATCGTGTTTGCTATTGCACCTTCCTGCCTTGATGGTCATATTTATCCATCCGACCAAGGTTGCGAGTACAGACTCGCACTCACCACTCAACGGGTGCATCAGCCGTTTCCACTATGGCATGGGTGTTATGTGCTTTTGTTCCTATTCAGAAACACTGTCTACCATCAGTTAACTCCAAGTATTTCACAGATGGCCTTTTTGTGATTGACCCCATGTTTGCTCATGTTTATTTTCTCTTTTTGAAATAGTGACTTACTGATGTAAGGATGGACACTATTGAATGTGATTTCAATAGTTGACTTGTAGATGTTTGATCATTCTGGTCCGGAACTCATTGTTGTATTTAACGCCTTAGCGATCCCCTATTATTACTTGCTTAAAGGGGTAACTGTTTATTTATGTCTGTGAGGTGCTATAACTCGGTTATTCTGGAACTCTGCGTCTGCTATTTTCTCCCTCCTCCTGCTCACTATCTTGTAGGTTTGACACTGAAAAAGTAGTTTTGTGAGATTTATAAAGGTCGAGATTAACGACCATACTTGGAACCTCTGTAAGGCACCATTTATTTTTGCTCGGTGTATTTCTTGATTTCGTATTCGACTTCTCAAACCATTGAGCTGGTATCTTGTGTCATACGGTCCTTTTACGCCTTGAGTTGTTAATTTACGCCCCCAGAATTAACGACGCTACCATAATGCTTGTTTATTTAAACAGCTTTTCCCACCTACGAAGGTAGACGTTCGCCATGGTAGCACGTTGCTTGTTCGCCCAATGTTTATCAAACCTTCTTTGAGGTCGCTTCGATTAGCCACTGTCCGACAGAAGCAACGGATTGTTTCTTGGGCCTTCAATCTCACTGCGCCAGATTCTACAGATAAACGAGTTGGAAGTCTTGAGTGTACTGGTTTTTTGAAAAGATCGTTTACCATTAATCGGCAGTCATTCCACACCTGTTTCATTATCTAATCCATGTTCAATGGCTTTCCTCCTAATCAACTAACTTCTTAACTTCTCTATATTCTCTCCATTTGATCGCGTGAAAACTGAAACAGCATCATATAGTCCATTATCCGCTGCCTTGCTACTTTAAAGTGAACTCTTTGTTTGATTATTGTTTCAAAACCTTTTATCATGGTCCCTTTTCTTCAATGCAACAAAGTATGTCCGTGTCCTGACCTAACCGGGCTTTTTGTCGCGTTTTTGTGATGTATGTGTTGGTCTTTCTCTATTCATTTTCATTCGACAATACGGTACTTAAGCATAACAACTCATTACTTCCCAAAAGCTGGGTGTAGTTTAAAGTCTTTATGTTTTCAACCCTGATTAATTATGCAAACGCGTTAATCTTAACATAGTTTTTGAAATTAGTGCGGGTTGTCTGTTTGCTTTCCGGTCTTGGAGGTTTTTACAATTGATTCCCAAGCTGTGCCTGACTGGTCGTCTAGTGTAACGCAGTGTCGAAATTCAACAAAAGTTTTCTTTAGGGAAAATGGAAAATTTGGGCAAATACTGAGCTCGAATTTTTATTTTCTCAAAATTGACTCTGATAGGTACATTGTAGGTACTAAATATGTGAATCTCTCGCTGTCAGTTAGCTTATTTGCACCAACTGACTTTCGTAAACTATCTGCATTCAGATTATGCTCGATGCTACGCTACTGAACTCTCTTCGATTTCGCCTTGCATTTCAAATATCATGCACTTGATTTTTGGTTCCATCAAGAGCGTGGAATTCCTTCCTAAGTGGTTTTAAGTTTTAGAGGGTAGAGAAGCGATGTGCCTTTTTAAAATAACCTGACAGCGTTTAAATTACACTGTAACACACATAGGAATGCGCAAATGGAGAATAGTAAGCATCGGAAGTTTGCTTTCGGCGCTTCGTTGCTTCATCAGTTGAGATAGGCAATTGGTCTACCTTCCCTCTTAGCTCCACTCCCGCAAGGTATCTGGCTTTTAACATCTTGAATGGCTAGGATGTCTGATTTTATGTACTTTTTACCCCAGTTTTGCATTTTTTGGGAAATACCGCTTCACATTCTTAAAGCACATTGTAGGAGCATTAAATGGCCGTACCTAATGAATTTATCAACGTGAATTCATTTACGAATAGAAAAAGGCAGTGATGTGTTGCGTGGGTAGGCAGCAGTGCCGTAGTGTATGCAAGATTTCTGGACAAAACACCCCTGGTAGCCCCCAAAAGCAGCGGTTGTAAAGCTGCCGAACAGTTCAATGGCTATAATTTTCTGTTGCTGTCATTTGATGTACCTTTGCTCGAACAGACCTCGCATATTTGTATCTGCCGATCAATGTGCTTGCAGTCACAATAGTACTAACAGTAAGTTGAGACGCATTATCCAGGCACTTCTTGGAAATTGTTGAAAGTGGCCAATTTGGTTGGTATGCTACAAATACTCCAAATTAGTGAATCAAGACAATGTTTGAGGTTACCGAGTCGTGCTTATTTGGTGCTCTCATCGTTTTAGGTCGTGTAGTACGCCCATTCTGAGATTAACCTAACTCCCGGAGGGATTGTTAGCAATTTGCGAGGAATGAGATGCAACGCCTTCTGTGGTTTCGGCCAGATGGCTTTTCGAGCGGTTTATTTTCACATTTGCTCCCAAAAGTGAATCATCAATGGAACATGTAAATTGTTTAAAACGAGTCATCAGAATACGTTTTTCTCTATATGTACTTTCTTCTGAAAGTGTGGAAGATAAACTGTCATTTAAAGGCATCTCGCTACCGTGGTAAATGCATTCGCCCATGTTAATACTGGGGTAATCCAGTCTTGATTGTTTTGTGCCTAAGGAAAAGTTCTTTTTAATCGGTACTCATTTCCGCTCCTTCAGCAGCTTAGCACTGACCCGAGGATCTCCCAGGATGTTCACCCAAGCCAGTCCTTTGGCGAAGGTGTACTCTTTTACGACCGCCCCTCTATGCTGAAGGCCTACAAGACCCTCCTCTTGGAGGATGGCATGTCAATGGAGATGCATGTAGAGCAGCGTCCAACCCAGTTCCTGTGGAACCTTACCACACAGGCCCCACGCTTCCCCATCCTCCTTAATTGGTACCCCAATACTCTGACGCTCAAGTCACGACTGGTACGCCTTGGTGTGCCCGACTGTGTTGCTCTCCGTGCCCGCACTCCCGTCGACTCCTCCGTCGACTCCACTTGCGCTTTTGAGGTCAATCAACTAGTAAAGGTCTCCTGGGCCGGCCTCGCGGAGGCAGCTCCTCTTGTCACCCAGCTAATTAATCGATTTCATATCAAGCAGACTGACTACATTCAACTCCTCCGCCGTGTAAGTATTTCACTTAGCTATCCCTCTATAAACTTTCTAGGAAGTAGAACTTGTCTTCCTTAAAACTGGGGGACTAGTCACAACAAAAACTTCTGTGGAAGCTTGTGCAGGTACAAGAGACGTGTTTAATGACCTCGCTTTCAATGCCTGGGTGGTGATACTGTCACATTTGGAAGGTTGTGTTTTTGTCGTACATCTCGTTTCTCAATGCCTGTAACAGTCTTTAAAGCTTTCGAGCACCACTGTCAAGTAAATTTTCTCTGATCTTGCGGTTTGGCCACTGCATACAAACGTTCTACTGATTGTCTCGGTCCCTATCCCACCCTATGACAGCTTAAGTAATTGTCATGGTCTATGTTTGTATGCAAAAAACCATCGTTGCGGTGTTGTGGTGGTTGTCTCGGGCCCCGGTGCTTCCAACAGATTACATTTTGAGATGAAGGTCTAAAAGAGTAAGGTCTGTATCGAAGTGCTTCTGCTTCTCCCTGTCTTCTTGCCTTTCTCCTTAGCTTGGCTTTCGATGCTGAACGGAAGTGCCTGTTTTGTGTGAACGTGGGTGTGTTTTTAGGACGCACCAACCATGTGTGCATGCGCGTGGGCTTGTCTGTGTGTATTTGTACATGGCGTAGAAGGCAGCGTGGAGAGCGCAATCGTACATGTCAAAAGGCTTATTAATCACTCAGCGGCAGCATAGTTTTGTGCTTGTGTGATGGTGGTGGTGGCGGTGGAAATTTACGCCCAGACGCTCATTCGCGCAGCCAGTTACTACACCCGCCGGCCTTAAATGCTTTGTGTTTTCATAAAGGGCTGGAGGGTGGGGAGGGAAAAGGGTGATCTAAAGTTGGAAAATTTACCCCTCGCCTCTGTCTGGGCAATCTTGACGACAGGCTGTTTTGTAGCTATAAATAACTTGACTCTTCCACTTGTTGAGGTGGGATTATAGGCCGTTAGTTTATTCCTAAAGCAGACTTGTTTCGAGACTCATAAATTAACCGCGTACAGTGTTTTCGGTTTCTCTTTCTATGCAAAGGCGTACTTTTTGTGTTGAAATTTCTTATAATGCAGTTGGAAGCGGCACTGTAAGAATCAGATTTTGGCGTCCCCTTCCTTTCCGCAGTGCAGACTGCCATTGTTGTGCTTTTCCAAAATAATGTTGCATTTACTCGACAATTTTTGCTGACTTTTTGTCAGTTGGAAAGGTGAGAATCACTTCACTCAAGCATACTACTTAGTACTATCCGAAAGAAAATTCTTTACAAGTGGACAAGAAGTAATTGCATTGGACATTACTTTTTAATGTCAGCTAGGTCAAAAGTGAAGCAACCGAAACGGTAAAAATGTACGCCGTAGATGACAGGAATTCGGGACTATGTAGCAACGAATGAAGTATTCATAGCTTTCAGTCCGTCATTCCTACCTTCTAGGTTAGCCCCAACCTCCTAAACTACACCGATGCAATCGAACGAGGCGAGGAGAAGCAGTTTCGTGCACGTTTTCGCGAAACGGCCTGTTGGTGGCTGCGAATGCATCGATCGAGGTGGGAACAGTGGACTGAGGGGTGGAACGTTAAGAAAGAGATCATCATTGGGGGCATGTTCACCTTCGCGGGCACCGAGGAGTTCAAAGATTTGGCTCCCAGTAAGCCGGCACTTCCTCTACGCCCTTCGATTAATCGTTGCTCCCGTTTTGCGTTTCTGGTCGCTTCTATTTACTTCCACCCTCTGTACATGTCGCCGTAAAGTTGGCACTCTTTTTAACTTAAGCAACTGAGCGACAGATTTACTCTTGAGAATAGAATGTGGTTATTTTTTATCCTTCTCTCAAACCTCTACCAGCATATCTACAAATTTGGATGGGCCTGGATAAAGAAATGTATTGACTTCACTTCTTTTCATCACCTTGTGATTAGTAATGGCATATGCCTTGCCTGAGTACGTTACTATCGGTGTGTGGTACTGCTTTAGGCCACTGTTTCTACTGCCCTGCTAGACATTCACGGTGCTCTCACAATCGAATGACTTTGGTGCGCGCCACGCATTTAATGTTCCCGAGACACATTGCATTAGGCTGGTAATCCAGACGCCCGTGAACACGAATCGGAATAAATCTGAACTCGTCCACAATCGTCACTCCTTTGCCAAAAGTGAGTCAATCACCTACTTCCACTCAACTGCATGCACGCACGCGGTTGTCTGCAATCCGCCTTCCTTGTGAGATTTCTCGCTCGCACCAAAATTCTTCCCGCTCCTTCTTACGCACTCCTGCGTCTCCCAAGTTGAGCTGCTGAGCGCAGATCCAACCTAGTTTTGAAAAGCTCGCTGTTTTCGGTGTGTGTATACGCGTATCTCATTTCTCCCTCCACTGATACAAACGGGCATGTGCGTGCCATCCAAAATCGCCTCTCGCAATTATTCGCTTAATTAACGGCTTCCCAATCGTCTGTACCGCATCCTTTTACTGTGATTACAAAATTATGTGAGATGACACAATTTCATTCTTTCCATGGACCAGTTTGTGCGCCTGATCGCTGTTCAAATGCCATCTTGAACTAGATTTGGACGGGTGCACGACTTTGCGTCTGTCATTCGCTTCCATCGCCTCACACCCTGCTTTTGAGAGTCGCTCCTCGGCGCGGTTCATTCGTTCTGCCAGTCTCATTGATCTCAAGTAGTTCTGGTGGTTTCTAATGCCCCTTTGTCCCCGAGGTGTTCTCGTGAGGATGCAATCACTTTTAATACTCGCATCGAATGTTTGCTGAGACGCTTTTTGTCCAACTGGATTGGGACTTGTGACTCCTTTGGACACTTGTGCGAAGATGTCTTTATATCAGTTTCCGATATCAACTCTACGCCAGGACCGGGTGTCAGGTTTTCCCATTTACACATTCTCATGAATAGCATCCGTACTGTTCGCCATACAACCCAGTGGCGTCTTTAACCCTGTTTTCAATGTTCTTTGAAGGAGAATGCTTTTGGCTGGCTTAGCCAAGCTAGATGCCAAACACCTGCGTGGAGAAATTACTCCATGCTATTTTAATTCAATGTATAGCTGAATACATTGCAAAACTGCATAATTTGCTATAACTCGTAACTTCTCTGTTAAGCCTTGGATTATTAGAGAAGTCACGAGTGCTCTAGCAGCGCTTTTCTCGTTGCATTAAAAGAGTCAATCATCCAACCAAACTCAAGGCAATAAAATCAGTCTCCTCTCGCTTAATAGCGATCCCACCCAATGGTGAGAGAAGTCGCTTATGCAAGTCGAGATATTTCATGTTTTGCTTGTTTGTGTTACTGATGAACCCAAGGTGTCGGCTACATTGCTTGCATGCTCAAGAAGGTCATTTGTGTTTGAATCTTGGGGTCGCTGAAGTTATTTGCCACCGGCATACGGTCCTGTGAGAAGGCTTAAATTCACTATTCAGTGCCTTTTTCCCAGTTCCTTTTGTTACCTGTGGGGAAAGCGATTCATGCCTTAAAGTCCGGTGTGATTAAAGAACCGATATCGCCATGTACTGATACTATTAATCAACTTTTTTGATACTAGTATTTTAAAAGCTTATTCGTTTCTTTGTAAATAGGGAATTCTCACATTTCCTAATTTTTAATTGCTTCATGGTGGGTACTCTTCCCTTCAGTTTCGACCGCTGTTCCCCTCTTAAGCTAGAAAACTATAGATAGCAATAGTATATTTATACTCTATTTGAGGCTCTTTACAGTTATGATTAATTTTTAATGATAATTATCTGCGGTCTGCTGTTAAATTTTGTGGGCGATTTCTTCAAGTGCTTTAGCGTTAATGCACTGAAGACGTTAAATTCACCAACTGTGGAGATGTTTTTTTTTTAAAGTAAACTTAAACTGTCTCCAAGTGTGTTTGATTTCCTTGTTTTCACTCATTTACCAAACGAGTTGCAAAAACAGCACTGGTTTGCATCACCCAGACAGTTCTTCAAAATACTAAGCCTAAATCAGAAAAGGACTTGTTTGCGGCGCCAGTGAGGCAACTTTTCTCGTATTTTTTTTCGTCATGGTAAAAAATTTGATCCATAAAATCAGGCATCTCTTTTTTGTCCTCTTTTACTACAATATTCAGGTTTTTTTGTGAAATCTGATGCTACCTACAATCTCGGTTTTTAAGCTTTTAACTTGTTTGGAGGCTCAATGTGGTTAGTCTGTAGCCATTCTTTTGTTACAGCTTCCTCGACCCATCGGATACCCAATTATTTCTGCCACCATGGTCTTCAGACACATGCTTTAAAATGGCGACTTAAACGTTCATGGAATCCAGTACAGCGAAAGTTGCTACAATTAGATTACTTGGTGCAGTTTCATAAAACAATGCCCCTCTTCCTGCTGTGGCTCCCTCCTCTCTGAATCGGTAGCTCGATAAATGACTTTTCCGTATTTTGGCACACTTATGTTTGCGGGACTCAAACAGTATGATGATGCTTCCTATCCGTGTGTAATACCCTTTATAAACCTACTTAAGTAATCACGTTCTATCTCTTCGCAGTTAATTTTATCCCAAATCAGAGATCTGACTGTATCCCATTCGGTTTATGAGAGGGGAGATGAAAACGGCAGGTTTACTTCACAAATTAGTCTTTAGTTTTCTTCCCACTAACATAGGGAAGACCAACTCATGATTTATGGAGAACCGTTTCGTATTTTTTTGGATTAGTAAGTGCTTTTCATTTGAATAAGATGTATTTTAGAAGGGAAATTACACTGTATCCTCTTGACTTCGTCTCATTCGCTCTCAGTTCCCGAAAACTTGGAAATTGGTGTACAGGAGGAAAAAGGCTTCACTCACCATTCAACCTTTGGCAGGCGGCGAGCAAACGGTGTTTACTATTTTTAGCAAACATAACATCCCCCACTACTGCGGGACTTAGCTCTTGGGATAACTGATTCCCTCAACTGAGTTCTGCTAATTATTTTACGTTCCTACCATTTCACGTTTTGGCGAATCGTTCAAAAAAAGCTCACTACAATTTTTTTCGCTATTCTGTCTTCATACGGTCCTTGTCTCAAAAATTGCTCTCCTAATTTGTTTTCAATCTCCCATATTTGATTACCCTCGATGTTTACGGTGGCGGTATTTGCGTTCTATGATCAGTATCTTTGGCTGGGAAAAAATGAGGGAAGTTGCTTCAGCTCTTCGTTCATATGTAACAACTCCAAGTTAACAGTCTGAATGGCCCAAATCCCACGCTTATTAGTCATGCCTCTCTTTTTTTCACTAAGTTTTAATATCATCACTTCTGGGCACTGGCCCTTTGACGGAGAATTTGAATTTACAAAAGGCTCAACCATCCGTGAGCGTGCTTTTTAGAACAGTTGAAAAAAAAAGAGTATGGATAGCGTGATTTGTATGCTCCCAAAATGATTCACAACTGCTCAAATCTAATTTCCACATTTACTGTTCCTCCCCCACCTTACCTCGCCATGCTCTCCTCCCATCTCGTCACCTTTCGATAGCGTGTTAGGTCCCGATGTTAATTCTAGTTGATTTTTAAAAGCACTGCAAATTTGTGGAAGGCGGGTTTCCTACTGCTAATCAGATCAGCAGGTAGTCCTAATGTTCTCATGATTTAACGTCTTGTAGTTTTAGCTGGTTCCTCACCTAATTTGGTTTAATTTCTTTGTATAAGCTTCGATATTAGTTCTGGTAGGTTGGATACAGTACTGCTTTTGTGCCTATACACATGGGAGTGCATATTTGACAAGTCGAACCCGCCTATATAGCCGCAGAAATGCAAACTTTAGTCGGTGTCTTTGATCGCGGTGCATTGATATTTTGATAGGACATACATATATGCAGAACCATCAATTTGACCATTGTATCACCGTCACCACCATCATTATCAGTGGTGGACTTGGGTTGTGTTTAGCACAACACCCCTTTTGCCTGCCCATAGGCAGTGTTAGATGAACGCTTTACCGCATTTGCCCAAGCCTTTTGTACCACGGGTCTAGTTTAGACATCTCCTTTGCACGCCTACTTGAAAATTAGGATCAATCCTCTTGAATTTTGCCTCTACTGTATTTCTTGGAATACGTTCCACCCTCAAGTTGGTGAAAACATGGTGTGTTTAGCCTCTATGGCAATTTTTGTTCAACTTAATTGCTTTTGGTAATGCTCTCGTGAGATTGCCCCTACCCCCTTATACCGTGGAGGCGGTGGCAATTGAGCTTACCACCAAATGGATTCAGCCATACCTGATCTATTGTTTTCTTTATTCACTGAGTTGGACCATAATTCATCATTCTTTATTGCCTTCTGCTGCCCTTCTGCACAGATGCCTTCCATGCAGTGGACGTTCTGAACGGCGACGAGAAGTACTTTGGCAACTCGGAGTTTGCCATTCGTCTTCAAATTCGCAATCTTACTTGCTCTCAGAATGTAGTGCTCAACGATTTCTTCAATTTCCTCACCGTCAACCCCAACAATGAAAGCATCCTTGGCGTGATCCGTAAGTGACATTTTTTTTACTTTTTTTCTGACTAGCTTTATTCATATTGTCGGTATCCCAGGCAGCTTCCATTCGCCGTTCTATTGCACCTAATATAGCCGAAATAGCATCAGAAGTGATATTATGGTTTCTTCGGGAGAATAATCGCTTTTGTGTTATCTGTGACTGAAGTTATTTATCTCTCATGCATTTGGACACACAGGCTCCATCAACAATTTTGCTTCCTCTTAGACGCACCGGCGTAGAGTAAACCGTGTAGCTAACCAAGTACAAAAGTTGTTTCATATTTTTAACTGCCTTGTTTGAAATATCTGTACTTTTTATACGTCAGCTACTGTGCCATCCCTTTTTCCAATCGCTGCCACCTTTCTGCATCAGGTTCCTCAATTGAAAGGAGTTTGCTTGAAAAACACTCCCTTGAGCTCTATCCGTTTCTTTTATTCTATTAACCAATTGGGTATGCTCAAGGCAGTCTACGTGAATCCCCTTTATACCCCGAGGGGGGAGCGCATAGATGTGCTTTTTCCAGCGAGGTGAATTCCCTCTTCGTGCTTGTGGGTGTGCATCACCTGGGACGATTCAGCGTACGACAGTTGGATGATAAAATAGGCTCTCCACGTATTTCGCGCTCGGTAACTTAAATAAAGAGGGGTTTTGTGTACATGTCGACATTTGTAATTCTCCTCCATCCCTCTGCTTGACTGTTGCCTCCTTTCATTTCACTCATCAATTTTTAGCTCATCTGATTCCCTTTTTTGACATTGCCTTGATTGCAGTATAATCTCTTTGCCAGTACCGATGCTGGAATCATTTATTTGAAATCAGTATTCAATTTTGAGTTCATTGCTATTTATGGGAATATTTTTATGTCTTCATCTCCTCATTTCTTCATAATTTATAAATTGCTGAATTTCTTAGACTGTGACCTTCTTTGCACAAGTGCATTTCAACAGTTACCGTGACTGCCTCCCTTGGTTTATTGTGTTTTGCTTATCCTCAAAATTCAGCAGTTAAATATGCTATATGGTTTCCGTAGGATATTTGTTTCCTGTTATATTGACACACAGTAATCAGTTTACTGTGCTCTGTTGCAGTTGCCCTCTGCCCCGATGCCATTGAGGCGACTGTGCGGTTGGCGAACCTACGTCGGGTGCTTGTCATCTCGCCCACTGTGGAGTCTGCCTCCTTCCTGTGGCAGAAACATTACAAGTTCTTCTTTCGCACCATTCCCTCCGCCTACACTGCCAGGTATGTCTCGTCGTGAGAATTTTTTCCCGCCCAAAACGTTGAGCGTATTCTCCAAAGCGGTTTGGTTTGTGAACAATTCTGTGTCCTCCCACACTTGGACTGGTTTTGGTTTTTAGAATCTAATGATAGCCTTTGACGGTTAAGCTGATTTGTGGATTGGTCGCCTCGTATGTCCTTTTTCCTCATTATGGGATCGGCCACTCGACACACTAAATTGTCATGGGAGCAATAGAAGGACTACCGACACTAATTACTTAATTGTGTTTTGGTGGGGCTTTTTTCACGAAGTTTGCAGGAAGTCAGTCAGCTCCGTAAATACGTGCTTTCAATTCACTTAAAAGCCCAATGGCTTACCGGAAAACTGTCATTTAGCAATTAGGGTACAAATAGAATTAAGGGAAAACCCTGACATATGTAGATATAATGAATATATCGCTGTGGGGTTGCTACCTCGAGAATTCGAACGTAATCAAAGCTCATTTTAAGGGTTAATTTTTACCAACCAACCTGTTACAAGGGATCATGTTCGTTTGCCTACTTCATACCGCCTCAAATTGCCGGCATAAAAATCATGATTTTCAATAACTTTTTTCTTTGGTTCGCCACCAAACAGAAGCGGAAGTATTCGGCTTTCTTTTTGGATTCACTCCTTCACGTTTTCTTTCCTGCCCTCTATCGTCAGCTTCATCTTCATCCGCCTGTTCCAGCAGTGGCGGTGGAAACGGGTCGCGATGTTCCGGAAGGATGACCACTATTTTTATCGCGATGCCTTCACCGCAAATAACATTACCCTGGTGGACGACTTTGAAGTGAAGGAGTCTATGCTCACCTATGCTGTTGCTCAAAAGGCACGCTTTTACTCACTTTTTTCCTCTCTTTTTACCCAATAAAGGCCCAGGTAACTGACGAAATAGGTACACGCATATCCTTTTGTCCTTCTTTCTATAGCCTGACATAAGCCAAGATCAAAATTTGGGCTTATTGGGCTGCCAGAAAGTTAAGTTAATCATTCCAATTTATTTAACTGAATCAACGGGATCAGAGACAATAGTTTGCTTGTGGGTACGGCCTCCACCAAAATGATCGCCTTTTACATCTTTTTGCTTCCTGTCAAATCGTTTCTTTCTCCCATCTTGGCAGTTTTTTCAGATGAAGTTGGAGAGCCACCTTTGTTTTTTTAAGGTAGCAAAACCGCATTTCTTTTTCCTCAATGGTCATTGAAATGTACAAAAATGAATTTTTCATAGGAGGAGCTTGTTATAAAACCGCCGTGGATACTTAAAAGTGCCTAGCATCGTGAAAGTTGGTGATCTAGTTCTTGTTCTACTTTCTCTACGCAAAGAGTCCATTCGTGCGTTTCGAAAGTAGGCCAACGTATTTGGATTTTTAAACCCGCAAGTAATAACAGCAGCTTGTAGCTATTTGACTGCTGAAATATGATTTTATTATCTTGTTAAGCTGAACCTGACCATAAAATCCCTCTTCCGTGTTTTGACTGGCGTCGTTTATTTCCTCTTGGGTACGCAGAACGTCATATCGGTGAAACAGCGCAATGGACGAATCATAATCGTGGATCATTCGGCTGGGGCAACCGCTATTATCCTTTGCGCCGCTTTTCATCTGAACATGCGCGCTGAGGAGGGTTACGTGTGGTTTCTCAGTCCCTGGCTCTCCAAGAACTTCTGGGAGTCGCCGGAAGTGATTCCTCCTGAGTGCAGTGCCAATGATCTCAAGGTCATGCATGATTACTCCTTCAGCGTCTCACATCCCCTTCACACTGGTGCTGTCATTTACTCCAATCTCATGACCTCCATGAGTGGACCCAATCAATCTGAGGCGTCCAGTGGAAGTAGGTTTTCCTCTGCCTTTTGATTGAGACCGGAAATTTTGACTTTTGTTATACTATGGCGTGCTCCTTCAGTGGATGGTGCGCATCTTGCGAAATGATCGAATGCGATATTTGCTCTCTTTCCTTTCCCTTGTTTGCTTCTCACAGGCAAACCCGATATGCGAATTCGCTCACATCAGCGCCAGCTATACGAGCAGTGTACTTTTGAATCGGTGATCGTCCTCGGGAGTGCAATAGCTCGGCTTCTGCGTGAAAATCCCTCCGCGCTGTCGATTTTGAGCAATCCCAAAATGGCTGAGTATGATATTGTATCAGCAATTTCATCCATTTTTGCCCTTCGGTATTTTCTTAATGCTATGTTATATAAAGCAAATTTGCTTTCCTTGCATATTTCATGTCAGTTCAGTTTGTGGTAAATTTGTCAATATTTGGGATTGACCGAACTCAGCAACCTCGTTCCATTTGCACGTATTATAATACTCATTTATATAATATAATATAATTTGTTAATCCATATTTACGGTAAACGGCACATTCGTTTTTATTGAAAGTATTTACTCCACTTTATTGTCATTAAGTAGCTGAATACTAGTTTACCCATCTTTAAGACATCTCAGCTCTTGTAGTTCCATTTTTCACTTTCTTGTAACATGTTTGTGCTGAATCCGTTTTACATGCTTGCTGTTCTTTTCCAGGGCTGATGAATCCTGTCCGCATGATTTCTAATGTCTACCTCTAGTATCTGCATTCACACGCGCTTTTATTTTTTATTTCATCAACTTAAACTTCTGAAGCGTTCGTCAATCGAAGAGTTGTTTGCTCTTGAAAGGCGCTTACGGACGTTGGTGTCGAAAACGCACATGGAGTACTCGAGCAGAGGCTACCTGGACAAGAATGCAGTCTCCTTTTTCAGTAACAATGTGGACCAGTTGGGTGAGACCCTCGTCTATCAATTCGGCGTCACTCCACCCTCACCACCTGTGCCGCCACAGACTCCACCGCCTGCCTATGACGAAGACCCCCTTGCTAGCACCGTTCATCAGCTTAGCTTTGATTCACACAATGATCGTCTCCTGGAGGCGTGGCTGCTGAAACAAATCCAAGATAAAACGACTGTTCCCATCACCCTCTGGTCTTTCAGTGGACCTCTCCATGGAGATGAGGATGGCGAGGTGAGACATCTTTTCCCTCCATCACATATTTGTTACCAAGCCCTATAAAGAGTGCGGGACGTAAATTCTACTCCTCTTTTGTTATGTAGTCGACCCTGTTGTCGAAAGATAGATTTCGGCTGCATTCCAGCAGCGGTTACTCATCATCCTCCTCTCGAGGGGCGTGGGGTGGGGACATGGAGAACGGAGAGGAGGGCGAGGAAAATGGGGCGGAGGACAACCGGAACGATGCGATCGCTTTCAAGACTTTCGTTGACAACCTCTTCGAGAAGCCCTACGACAAACCGCGCTGGGGTGGCAGTGGCTCTTTGCGTCCCACCGATGGCTCCATAACTGAGGCCGATTGTGCCTTCAGCTTCCTCTCACGCTGGTTTGGTGTCAGTTGTGTCGTTGGCAACTGGATATTCGCCATGGGCGTTCTTATCATCATCGCTATACCTGTGGTCGCTGTCGTGCTTGCCTACTTCCGGCGACGTCTGCGAGAGGCAGAAAAACTCACTCGGAAGCCCTATGAAGAACTTTGCGCTCTTTTGGCTGACGTCAATGTGCGTCCACTCGTTAGCTTGAGTTTTTCACCCTCTTTTACTGTCAGATTAATGTTTCCTTTTCGCTCTCTGTTCTGTGCTACATCAGTATAGCTTTGTAACGCTTACTGCCGTGATAAAGGTGGATTAGAGGACTCTAGTTTTCAACGCTATGCAGGTATGCATCTAGGCTAGAGACTATTATCAATGAAAATCGGTTTGCTAAAACAGTATAGTTTTTGAGAGCATGTCACTTGCTCTGAAAAAATCAGTATTTTTATGAAAACAATGAGAAAGTGCGTTTGAAACGCCGTCTTAGCCCTCGTGATTTCAGTAGTTTAGGGAGGCTCGTCTCATTACGTTGTAGTACTTGAATTGCATCTTAGGATACACATGCAGCATATTGTCTACAAGTAACTGCGCTGTTGGTGCAGAATAGTTTTAGGCTTGATTATGACTGTACATTGTAAGTTCTTAAGCATGCCTATGGCCCTGTTTTCACACAGATCCCACTAACTGACATCGTTATCAATCGCCGAATCGGTGACGGTGCCTTTGGTTTGGTGTACGGTGGAGAAGCCAAGTTTGCGGGTCGGTGGGAAGCGGTGGCAGTGAAGATGAATACCAACCGCACCACCTACGAGGCGAAGGTGGAGTTCCTCTCTGAGGCCAAGTTGATGCGTGACCTGCGACACAAGAATGTGGTACGTCTCGTCGGTGTCTGCATGGATCGGCCGCAGGATGAAATCTATCTCATTATGGAACTCATGCTACTTGGTGACCTCAAAAAGTACCTCCTTGAACGCCGTCTCACCGCCCAGCGGTATGTGCCCCCTTCGGACTCTCATATAATACGATTTTCCTTTTGATTCCCACCTCTATTCATGAATCAAGTTTTAGTTAAGAGGACGTATTTATTTGTACGCTCCAGTCTGCCCTCTTTAGCACTTACTTCTAATGTTATTTTTCTCGAAGATGTGGGACCTGGTTGTAGATAACAGTGAGAGGTTTGTATGTCTGTATGATGCGAATAGCGTGTCGCTGGCACATGATGCATTGTTGCAAAGGTAATCCACACGGGAAATTGGTTGTTTAGTTTTGGCTGCGGTGGCGCGAGCCGCCTACCGTGCGTGTCCGTAGTATGTATGCCTACTGACCGAGCCACCACGTGAATAGACGCACGCACACGCGCGCCCACGCGCCCGCCACTGGATCGGTCTGCCAACTGGGTTAAAACCGTGATGCAGGCAACGGGTCCTGTTTCATCCTCAGATTGGTCCCTCTTCGTCTGTCTCACGTTGATTGGTTTGGCGGCATTCCTTTGTCGGCTTAATTAGCTGATGGTGGTATTGTTGTCGGTGTTGATTATGGTGATGAAGCTGCCAGAGTTGCCCACAGACAGCTACTAAAATTCTTACCGCGCTTTGCACTGGCTGCGTAGGAGCAAGGGTGGGGATTCGGAAGGCAATCTTTTTCAGATGCATTAGTGCATATTTAGCCTTAAATGCTGGGGTCATGTCAAGACCTACGATCCTTTTTGCTATGCCCCAATTTGAGTAACAATTTTCATTTTTCGTCATGTGAAAGGTGCTCATTTTCCTTCCTTTGGTTTCCTGGAGAACAATGCATTATACATCTAAAAATCCAGAGTTCTACTTTTTAGCACTAGCACCGATTCCTCTCATTATTTCCATTTTATATTTGCCATCAAACTAAAGACGTTTCATTAAATCCAATTATCAATGGATTCGTTATTTATTCAGTCGTACTAATGAACAGCTGAATTTTTGTTCCTCCTTGATTCATGGTACCTATCTTGTCTTTTTCTCTCCCTTTCTTCATTACACGTCTATCTCCTTGTCCCCTGATTTTACACAGTTCTTTCACCTTCCAAACGGCATTTTTTATTCGTATTCATTCAAATAACTGAAAAATGAACTCTACATTACCTCGCCCTACGAATTCGTGCAGCAGGTACTGCATCTATCTGTGTAGATTTATATCCTGTTTAGATTAAAAGTGGGTTTTTACCTGAATTGTCCTACTAAATCTTATCCATTAAAGTGGCTGAACATCAAGGGGCAAGTGTTAGCACGTTATATCAATCTCCTCTACACCGGTTTTTAGTTCATTTGGATGTTGAGCAATATTATATGCACCTTTTCTGAATGGAACGTCTTGTTACCACTTTCTCTGCCCAGATGTCCGGACCACGAGGATATTTGTCCGGCGACGCTGACTCGGATGGCGCTAGACATAGCCGAGGGGCTGGCGTATCTGCACAGTAAACAGCTCATTCATCGCGATATCGCTTGTCGTAACTGCCTGGTGGGCCCGGACCACGTGGTGAAAATAGGCGACTTCGGACTGACGCGCGAGGCTACCGCGGGCTCCCCGTACGGCTACTACCGCTTTACGCGCAACGTCGAGCTGCCTATCCGGTGGATGCCGCCCGAGGCGGTGCAGTTCGGCATCTTCTCGGTTAAGTCGGACCTCTGGTCCTATGGCATCGTTCTCTATGAGATTATTACCTTCGGCATGTTTCCCTACGCTGAACTCGGCGACGTGGAAGTTGTTGAACGGGTCAAACGATCCGAGTTCTCGATCACGCAGATTCTTCCGCCTGCTGCCAACGGAACTACTGTGTACGTCGAAATCAAATCCCCTTGGATCTCAGTGATGCTAGTCTTTCATAGTATCTAGCTTCCTGATTTCCCTCATCCATCCAGTTAGAGTTAACACTACTTTACTCGGCACCCTACTGAAGACAAAGTTAGCGATACTCGCGGCGGTGCGGCCAAATTGTGCATATTTTTGCTCTGCGAACCCACTGAAAATGAGATCTATAGGCACATAATTCATTTTCTTTACGTCTTTGAGTTCTTTGGGGAATCTTTAAATCGTCTTTCTTCGGCTGCAGTTGGAAGTTTTCAAAATGCTTAGCTGTCACATAATTATTCCGCTAATTTTCTTCCAAAAATTTTTTTTACTGGGATACGCTGTTTTAATTTTGGCTACTGGGTAGTAACACCTATCACCATCCTTCAATTATTTCGGAGACACAATGTTCAGTAAACGCACTTTGTGGTTGCAAGCAATATGTGGTTGAGAGAGCTCTCCCATCCTATGCGCTGTTTTTTTAACTGGTGTTCTGCTCTTTTGGAATAGATCTTTAGATGAAGATGGTCTTACTGTTTAAACGAACTAAACGTTAATTTTACCGTCAACACAATCACGTGTTTCTGCAGGCTTGCGAACTGTGAATTGTGCATTTATGCGTATGCGTTGGAAAAGGTGGTAGACTTTTGGGAGTCTTATTTTACTGGGATGGTTAGCGGTGCCTCAGTCTGCTAATACTGCACCTGACATTTTTGTCCCGTCCGTTTTCTCTGTATCGCGTGGTGTGGGTCGTGTTGTGTCGGTTCACTAAGTGGAGTGGAGAACTCATCATTGCCAAACCAAAATGGAGACATTTCTTTGCCTCCCAGGCAAACAGTCTCCTATTTCATTAAAGCCACCTCTCTGTCTTACCTCCTATCCGGGGAAGATCCTCATTCGTACATCCTGGTGATATCTGGGCCCACGCTACTTCCAAGTACATTACCTCCATTTTCGTGTGGTGCTGTATATTGTTAATCACAAGGCTAGTACGCATGAAAAGAAGTTTATCCATTGGACATGTCAGCAGTGTTGAAATTGCGGAGAATCGTTCATACTGAACCTGAATCTGTTCCGTTTGTACGCATTGGTATCTCCTGATGAATTGGAATTTCCAGAAATTACATGAACACACGTTCCCCTCCCTCTTTCCAAGTGTATGTCAACACGAAATCGCTTTTTTTCTTGTTGTCATGTCTCCGACCCTCTTGGATCTTTTTATGCACTCCTCTTTCTACTTCAGTAAGTGTTTTTTATCTCCTTTCTGCTCCTTTTCTTTATACAGGACCTCTTAAATGGTGCAATTTCTTCTCTTCAAAATTTGCAATTTGAACACTGATTCGTGGTTCGATGAGTGTTTTTGAAAATAATTTATGTCAAGTCCTAACTTTAGAGCTATTTGTCTCCCAGTTAGCTATTCCATGCATGCACTTCAGCTGTCTTTGCAAGACTGGTAAATACAAACAGTGCCTCACCATATTTAGGGTGCAAATTGTACTTCCAACACAATGACGATGAATACCATGCGAAATCCGCTAATCATGTATGATTTTTGTTGTCACAACTGAAAAATACAAAACAATACTGAATAAGGCCTTAAACTAAGAATTTGAGTAACCCTTCCAACGGCTTTTATTTAATTAATTTCTGAGGCAACGCGATTGCTGTAGAAATGCATACAGTACTGATTAAAATGGGCTATTCTTGGGTAAACTTCTCACCATTACGATCTCACGTACTTTTGGCACAGGTGCCACCAAACATTAGCCTGGCGATACCTCCTCAGGCTCCAGTCACCTGATGGGCTATCCCTTTTCCAGGTGTTCATCTTCCTGCGTTATTCTATCACCTCTAATACCGTTAATCGAATTCGGGCAATTACAATTACAGAATCTTGTGGATTTTGCCATTGTCAAACGGAAGACTGACTGATTCCACTTCATTTCACTTCCAGTCACCATGAGGATTGCAGAGTACCATGTGACAAGTGGGCAGCAATGAGTGGAATTGCAACCAGCTACTTTTTCCCATTGCCCTGTATGCGTTGCTAAGTTTCATTTTACTTGTGCGTTTTACGCCCAGGTGGCGTCTGATCGTGAGCTGCTGTCAGTACTACTGGCAACACCGTCCTGAGTCAATGCTCCAGGTTATAGAGGAGATACGGGCCAACGAGAATTGCATTCGACCCTACCTCACCGACGAACCACCTACTCTAGAGACCACGGCGATTCCCGTAAGACCTCACTCATTCAGTTGTAAAGCCTTTTTTTTCAAGCTTTTCTTCGTTCTCAGGGTAGGAACTCTTTTGGTCAGAACTCTATCCTGGTGACTAATGTACATTTATTGGTACATTGCTCTATTTGCATCATGGTTGTACTGGGAGATGTTTTTCTGAAATAGTTTTATGCTATGTAGTCGCACTGTTTCATTGACGAAATAGTATCTCATCACTTCCGGCAATCTCCCTAACTTAAATTTATTTGGTTCTACTTAACATGTTGTTATTACACACTTTAATAGCTTGTATTGTAAGAAAATACTCATGTTAAGCCGCAACAACCAAGACAACAACTCGGCAATAGAGCAAAAAGTGGTTGAAATATCCGGGGCAAAAGGTCGTTTTGTACACGAAATCGACGTTTGTTAGTTGCAGTTGGAAGATAAAATTCGGGTTACCGTTAGACACCGACGAAGATCGTAAGGGCAGTTACGCTGCACTCCTCTTTCATCCTACACTTTGAATAGGTCATTTCAATCTCTCACGACTTGAATGATAAGTCGGAAAAATTAATGCAGAATTCTAAATGTATCTTTCATGCTACCCCATCTAAAACCTATTCTATGGGTAAGGGAAAGGATACCTTGAGGATGTTGAGCTAAATTAACATTCAAATGTTTCTATCTTACGCTGGATAGGCTCTGGTGAAGCTAGAGCACCTGTTTCCTCTACTGTAAGTCTTCTCATGTATCACCTTATTAGAGGTGCTTCCTCATCATCTCTCTTGTTTTATCTATGGTAGTGCACGCTTCTCTGTCAGGCTAGTTGATTAGGCTGATGCGAAATTCCTTTTTGGTCTATTCCTTTTCGAGCATTTGACACTAAACAAAATCCGATTCCTCTCACTATCAAACACCAGGACTAAACTGTTCCTTGACCCACTTTTTAACCTTGTCGCCTTTCAGAATTTTTTCATTTGATACCCCTAGCTAAACTCTAATAATTGGATTAACGTTGTACACCGTTTGCTGATTTTCCTGTACCTATGCAGTCTCCTTCAGATCCAAAAATCTATCAAAAAACCCACCCAATTTAGTGTCCCATTTTCTGTCATCGGTCTTATTCATCCTAGGTTGCTTTGATTAAGGTTTTGTATGTATATTTATCCGCTTCACTGCACCAGTAAACAGTTTATTGTTGTGCAAAATTCATTTAATTGCTTTATAAGTTTACTTATACATGGATGTCTGACCGTACACTTTTCTCCGGGTAGTTCCTTCCTGGTCCGGGTGCGTGCATAATGCCGGAGCCGCCGCCGGTTCCACAGCCTGCCTTCTCGGCACCGATGGGGGCACGTGCCTGGGTTGGCGGTGCACCCTTTATGAACCCCTCGACGCCCTTCACGGAGCCCCCCTCAGCGGGCGAGGGGCCCCAACGCCATACAGCCGCCAACAGCAGCAGTGGTGGCTGCGGTGGTGGTGGAGGGTGTAGTGAGAAGGTCTATTTCTCCTCTGCCAACTCTTCTTCCTCCCTTACATCCAACTCCGCCTCCTCCAGACGGCCCCACAATACTGCTTTAAACATCGGACAAACTCCGGTCAAACGAGCTCCACCTCCCACTTCAGTCTATGCGCCGCCTGGACATCCTGGTTACCAACCCTCGGATGAATTGAATCCACTTCTCAACCCCTCCAACCGGTATTGTCTATTCACGTCTCATTTTATTGATAATTGTCTGAGTTATGATTTTCTGTGACCCATATCGCACTTGGGTCATCAACGAAGAATGCATCAGCCTGGAATTATCTTTATTGTAAGCGTATGGAATTATAGATGAAATGGCAATGATAGGGTAGCGTGGAAACCGATACTCTATTACAGCTACGTTGTCTTCAATCTTCTTGACCTGCCTCAGTCGTTTTTGGCATAGAAGTATGCCGGTGCTAAATTCAGTTTCTTTGAAATATGATAAGTAGCAATTATTGCGACACTTGACGGCATCCTGTATGTACATACTGGGTACTGCTTGGTGAAGATTTGACTGCACAGACCTGGTTTGTTCTGATTAAAGAATAAATTTAGTGTTCTTATTACCTACTTTATGTGCTTTCTGAAGATCGATGTCCTTGGAGTTCCTGCAAAAGTCAGACTTCCATCTCCAAACACCGCCGTCGAGGAGAGCGAACGAAAGTGATGTCGAAGAAGAGTTAGAGAGAATCAGCGAGAGCGGGGACGTTGATCTTCGGCGTGAGGTGGAGGACGAGGAAGGTGAGGTGGATTTTCAAGGTCGCAGAACCAAGCACCAGCGCACCTCACGTCCCCAAAAGCCCTCTCTTTTGGGTCGCAGCCCCTTCAGCTTCTCCGTGGATCCTAGTGGTGGGACACGACGGCAACAACAGCACAGTGGTAACTTCTTTGCACGCACATTCGCGGCCGCATTGGATCCGCGTGGCGGCGCCGGGAAGTCGCACCCCCGACGCCCGGTGGGACTGGCCTCCTTTCTGCACAGCGATCAGTCCTCCTCTATACGAATGCGACTGCTCCCCTCTTTACGCCATCATAATCAACAACACCACTTTCATCAAACAGCCGCCGCTGTTGCTTCTTCCCCCCCATCCTCCTCGCGCAATGAACTTACTGCCAAGTCTCTTCCTCAGGTGGACAGTACTTTCAATCACCTGTCTATATGCATTCTCATATCTTAACGTATGCAGTTTTGTACATTCTGTCAAAATTTGTTTGGAAATGTAGCTAAAAGCCTTTCACTTATCCTTTTGCCTCAAGGTGAGCGGTACCAACTGTCACACCTCTACAGTAGTGTCGATAACGAAAACGTCACGGCGAGGCGCGTGCAGCTCGGCAGGGGACGCGCACTACCTTGCGCGACCACGTCCGCCCACGACTGCGGCCTTCTCCACCTCTGCCTCTCGCTCATCCTCAGCAGCAGTGGCTGTGGGGTCGCCTCGGGGTCAGCGACTGCCCATAGTGACGCAGAACGGCGCCGCGGGCCTGATTACCTCCAGCGGGAGTAGTCCCACCTTTTCTTATCCATCCCCACCTCCTCCCCCTCCGCACAACTCCTTCGTCTAGGACGCAGCCCAAATCCCCTGTATGCGAATGTCCGTCTCTCCCCCATCGCTCTTCCAGCGTGACTTTTCTTCCCCTGATCCAAAGCGTGCGCCTGAAGGGCCCTGTCTGTGTGTTTGTGTATAGTCGACGGGCTCTGCGCTGTACTGACCGAGACACCTGTACGCGCCAACTTCCCTTTGCACATAATGTGATGATGATGATACCGGTGCTGATGCTGATAAAAACACATATATGTATAGTTAACTGGAAGAAATGTGCGTTTTAGTTTGTACCTTCTTCTGCCTCAATTCTTAGCGCAAATGTTTTACAGGATGACTTGTACTAACGTGGTTCCCTATAACTTGAAAACCACTACATTCGGGAAGCCCCAGTTTTTGTGTTCACTAAACAATGCCAGCTCCCTTTTGATTTGCCTAAACTAAGCGTAATTTTGCGTGAGAGAGCAACAGTTTTGCCCGTTTGAACTGGGATTCGCGCCACCTTTAATGACTAGAAATTATTTGACGGGTCCATCCTCTGACATAGTTGGTGTTGGTTACCTGTCTTTGAAGAGAAATAAGATCTTTAATGAGTTCACAAAAATGTGAGAAAAGTGCCACCAGCGGTATTCCATGTGCAGGCTCCACAGCATTTGCATTGCACAGGTCTTGGGTAACCTTTTTTTGCATCGGGCATCCAATACGTTGGTCAGAATACTCTAGGCAATTGGCACGAACCTGACGGCGTACATGACGCCCCTTGTCTCTGATACCTGTCCGAAGTGCGCTTCGAGGCGTCATGGTTTTTTTGCCTCGAATGAGTCACTACCAGGTCCCAGCACCTCCGACGTACTTATTCAATCTGCAGTTCTTATTAAAGGTGGATAAAATTTCCAACGGACATGATACGTTGGAGAAAGCTAGGTTAATTTGAAATGTGGGACCCCAAGGATGAACCATTCTGGATGGTGAAATGCTCATTCAGATGCACTGCCTGCTCGTATAACGTCGCAAGTTTGGTACGAAGCATTACTTTGCACGATTGGTATTAAAATTTGGAGTTAAGGGCTGGAGGTGTTTGTCCGAAAAAAAGGCAAGAAGTTGTGGGGGGAGTTTGTCGGCAAACGTCACAGCTATCCGGCACCATGCGTTAGAGGAAGTGCTAAGTTATTCGCGACGAGGCCCCAACCCCATAGAACAGGCCAAATCGGGCCGTAGTATAAGTTCATCATAGCTGTAAATATCACACTATGATAGAGAATATCACATTTTACCTAATTTTAGGAAGCACAGAAAGTAGTAGTAAAGACAAAGTAGATCCAAAAAGAAGAAAGACATGATAATTGTGCTAAGGATGGACCGCAGTAAATGACAAGAGGCAGTCAAAAGGAGGTCACATGGAAGCAGTGTTGAGACGCAGATGTCTAGCCGTGGTGACTGAAATGCCAAGTCTGCGAGGGCGCGCTGTCAAGACAGGGTCTTGGGACCGGTCGTTGCCCGTCAACGACGTCCAGGCAGTAACCCGTCTGGGCGTTGATCAGCTTTCCGTGAGCCTTTTCAAGAAGGGAGTAGAAAAGATGTATTGCCAACAGCAGAATAACTGCTGAGGTAACACTGATAACATTTAATTCAAAATTTCAACTTAAACATTAAATAGTAACAGTATCTTCATACATGTGCTTGATCGATTCGAAAAAGTAAATTTGACAAATGTGTCACATTGAGGGCAGGAAAATCTGGTTTATTAGAAAAGAGGAAATGGGATGGCTTGAAGCCTCGCAAATTCCGATGAAAAAATTCACAAATTGGTGCCGATTGTTGTAATGAGAGATAATATCACTCAGACTCCAATTTGTATGATATTTCTAGGAAATCAACGATTATGGTGGAAATACACGCCATCAAAGTGTGAAAATCGTCAATAAAAAGACGTCAAAAATTAAGTTTTAACGGCTGCAAATGAAGAGTTAATAAAAACTTAGAAAGCCCTGAGTAAAAGAGAGGCTGGTAAGTTTGGGAGTGTGACCCAATCCTTCCCATGGACTGAGACACGTCTTGAGATCTGGCCGTGGGAGCGCTTGCGTGCCTCCATTACTTCAGTGGCGTTTGTTCTGGGCATACGTATTGTGAGTCTACCGCACCTACTTAGGGGTACTCTACTAATTACCATTCGGGGATCTTTGATTTATCAAAGTGTGCGGATCAGTGTCTATCAGGTTTCCAGCATCAAATTACAAGCTAAAATGAATCAAAACTACTGAATAGTAAAAATTCTGGGATGCTCCGATTTGAGGTAGTGTAATACGGTATATTCTTATCAGGTGAGCTGGCCCCCGGGTCATGCAAGTAGCCCCAATCCCTAATGTATACCAACATCACATATTCTGCCCGAGTATTATGTCTTCTTTCATCTTCAGGGAAGTTTCGGGGCGCTAATGACAGCCCACGGCATAATTTGTAACCCCCCAAGGAATGTAATGGAGTTTAATGACAGGAACTGAAACACAGTAGGTGTTTGATAATTTCTTTAAAAGCAATATCATGGAAAATACCAACCACTAAAACTTTATGTCCCAGAAGGTTAAGCTTTGTTGATACGCGTTAACTAGTTCACTCTGCAAAAACACTTCACAGGCACAAAATCAGATTAGCCTGTCACCGAGTGCAACCTAGCAAAACGCAACACGAAAATCGCTTACTCCCAAATCCAATTGGAGGCTGGTGGTCCCTTTGAAGCTTTTTGGATGTAAGCATTTGTCAAATCCGATTATAACTCAAAGGAAGAAAGGCGGACCGTTTACTTGCACACATTTACATCTGAGTGAATGGGAGTTGCAGGGGGTACTTTTAATAAATCATGTGCCCCACCTTCATAAACAAAGAGCAGAATGAAGTTTTCTCATACAGACCTCACAATCGGAAGTGAACACCCAGTGATTGCAGAATACCAGTAAGAAGGACTCTTGAATGATGTCTCGGGTATAATTTAAGGAGCTACTCACCCAATTAGTGAGGCATTCTATTATCGCTCTTCCTTTGAGATTGCACCTTGGAAATAGGGAACGAGGAAAATGCTTTCCATGCGTATTATCAGAAAAATTTTGTTTATCAAAGCCACTCCTTATGCACGCTCGTGCTATTCGAAAGACTATCCACTTTCATTGCAAATTTGCATCAAGTACATGGTTTTTTTTCTGCCTTAAACACACATGAAAGGAAAGGAAATCGCCAACAAAAGTCCATTTTTATGACAACTCTCAATTTACATTGGTGAAGAGACGGGTATAATCGGTTCAAGGTGGGTCACATTACCACTTTTTATCAACTATGCAATTTTTAAATTTGTCCGGTATTAACAAGTAAGGAATTCATAATACATCAACTGCTGTCGTTTCAAAACATTGGATCTTTCAAATTTTCTGATTTTCATGGAATGAAACAACGAAGAATCAGAAAAATTGCGTTACTTGTACCATCAACTATGAGTTCCATTGTCGATACAAAGGAGGGTAAAGTGGACGGTTAAGAATAACCAAGGCGAAGGATTTGACTGATGAGGATGCAATAAATAGGGAGGCTCTACTGTAGTGGGTGGCCTTAACCATAATAGAAAGTAAGCAGTCAGGAGAAGCTTGAGCTTGGACTGAAACAGCCAGTCATGAACTGAAGATCACAGTGGTAGCTGATACAGCTTAAGCAGTATGAAATTACCAATAGGTAAAGGACTTTCACAAGTGGGTCGGTTAGAGGAGAATAGGCCTCGAAGTTGGTCTCTATTCATTATTACGGCATAGACTGAAGAATTTTGGCGTCTCCGTAATGCAACTTTTAGTGAAATACAAAATCTTTTGACTGATAATCAGCCGGACAAATTTAATTTAAGTGTTAAACCAAATTTCTGACCAGAATAGTTACCTAAAATCAAGGATAACCACTTGGCAGTTCTGTAGTGCATGAGCCGCGTTTAAAGATCATGCAGATTAAGAATAAGTGATTTCCTCTGCATCCAGTTAGATAAAAACGTGTGGAAAGACAAACAAAATTGGGCAATAAAGACCCGCAGGACAGTCCTCCCGAAATTAAACTTTTGATCGCATTTTTCACAAACGAAGATGCTCAGATCACAGGAGCTGAAGCAAAAAATTTCATCCGTAGACATAAGACCTTGCACCAACTGACCATCAAACACATCTTCTAGACGCTGGACTATCTCCCTTAAGAGCCATGAAACATTTACGCCCTAGAAAGGCCATAAAGATTAATCACCATCGTATACCGTAAGCAGGGCACCACTGATGTGATGATAAAACGGCACCAAGAGGTGTGGTGAGCATATACCGATTTAAACCTTTACTCAGAAATAGGACGTATGGGTAACGAATACACACACATTCATAGGCCAACCTTATCAAAAATCCATCGAAAATGGGCGTTTCGTTGGCTGGTAGTGGAAACAGCCTGAAAGCCCTGCTCAGGATGCTTTGCCTGAAGGTGCTCAATGCGTTCCATCTGCTCAGCGATCCAATCACGCCACCACTCGCGTTCCCATGGAGCCTCTAGCTCCTCTGGAGGGCAGATCTCGAGATCGGTGGTGGGTTCACTGAAGACCCAGAGGGAGGCTATCGGTCCGCCTGCCCGCCGTACGCGCACGCAGTTCCAGTCTTTGCGCAGTAGACCTGTCTCTGTCAGTGCGAAGAGGTTTGCCCACGTGTGCACTGTCACACGCGACGGGGTGACCAGCAGGCTTATTTGCTGCTTCCGATACTCGCTGCCATCATTACCCCGCAGCAGACAGTGGTTCTCAGCGTTGCAGCACTGTGTGAAGGAGCCACAAAGAAACCTCAAACGTGGATGCGTGCGTGCATTGCGTACGTGCGTGTGCAACGAAGTGCCACCAAAACGGACGTATGAAGTAATAAATGGTGTGCGGAGCAAAAAGGCCTAACGCTATCAGCTTAAATTGACATGGCATTCCTTGGCCAAGGGGTAGAGTTTAATGAGTGGGAAAGTGAAGAATTGTCGCGCTCAAGAGACCAAATATATTTAGCCGTCGTGTTAATAAACACAGAAATGTATCTAGGGCAGGTGCACTCGGGTATTCATAACGGTGCCGTGTCCTGTCACTTAGGCGTGTTCAAACAAAACTTTATTTGCCATTTAGAAAGTAGCTGACGGTGGTTAATAGGCCATATATTCACATCGGGGGTTCAAATTGTTCACTGGAAAGCAGAAAAAAAGACGAATGGGATTACAGATTAACTAACCGATTCGACGCGAATACTACTATTAGTCTTGGTATTATCAACCAAACACTGCAAACCATGCTAAAGATTCAAATAAAAAGTATGCTATTGGCGCATTGTACTCTTGATCTGACACATTCAAAAAATCTAGGGCCTACTGGATCCCAGTTTACCTTCGCCTAAACCGCATCCCTACAGGCAAAAAATGAGCGTCTAACGACGAGGAAAAAGTGTAACAAAACTCAAGAGCACAATTACGAGGTTTTTTCTCACCAAAATTTTACAAAAACAAACTGTAAGCACGGGTGCAGCAGTCTACAAAGGGAAAAACAACAACAATCTGATGTTGGTTTTACTGCGCAAATGCCAGGCAGGCATCGTTTGCTAGCGGTTGACAAAAGAACACCCAGACGCTGTCAGTACTAAAAGTCGCCTTTACACAAGACCTGTTAAACTCCATAAAAGCAACATACTAAAGTATGAGTAAACAGGCAAGCCAAACCCAGATGTCATAAAAATAATGTAATTAAGCATAAACTGAGGTTCATAACACTCTATCAACAAGACCTTGAGCATGCAGTAACCTCGCAACAGGAGCTCAAAGGACACGGCAGTGTGATAAATTTGGTAATGCTTCTGCATCATTAAAACCCCTGGATATTCTCCTGTTAATAACGTAAACTTCTACATTTACGCCTAAATGAAATGAAGGGCTGAGAGAGCGCAAACCAGTATTTGGAAATCGAATTCGAAATAATGATCGTGCAAGAGTGGCGACATCAGTACCGACGAAGTTCAAGCCTTAATACATAGGTTGAAGTGCTTCTAGGAGACAGAGGAGGCAAGAAGTGTTCCAACGATGATGTTGAGTACTTTAAAAATGATGTAGGTTTTAACTTGTAGAAAGAAATTAGGCTCCGGAGGTCAACGCCTTACTAAGGCACAATAAGGAATTAAAATATCTGAATACGGATACGAAAAAAATCACAAATACGACAAACCGATTAATGGGTTGATCTTGTAAATTTTAGCAAATAGTCCGCTGGGAGTTTGCAAAATGAGGTAAGATAGAAACGGCGAATCGGAGGAGCTTATCAAAATAACCTTCTAAAGCATATTTTTATCAAACTTCATAACCTTAAATCCGTTTTTTTTATACTAAAGTATAAGACATGATCAACCCTTACGCTTCCATATCCGAGTCGATTTCTGGAGTAGACAAATTTGTGAGGAGCAATGTTGTCAAGAAACCACTGGAAATTCCTGCAACCCAGATCATTCCGAAGTTTTTTTCGTTTGGACACATCACCATAATCCATGTTCTAAAGTAAAAACAGCTAAATTTATTTTCACTTTATAGCCAATGGCAAGATCGCTTGCGGTGGCATATCCCTAACCATAAGCATGAACGTCGACAAAAGTAATGCTTTGAAATCATGACCCCTCAATGTAGGGTGAACCTTATTTAGCTGAGCGCCATAGACTATGCTTTAAAGTTGGTTAGCCGGTACCACGGAGGCTAATTCAAGGAGATCGCTCATTGCTCCTTTTTTTAATACAGTAAAATAATTAGAAACTGTTTTACTTCATAAAATGAAGTACTTGCAATAAGACAGCTATGCCAGGTCAAAAAACAGCCACTCAAAGTACTACCTGTTCTACAGCCGCAACTGCTTATTAAAAAACGAAGTTTGTATGAACAAAACAGGTGGCAAATAGTTTTACTAAGCGCAACCTTCTGCCAGAGTCATAAATAGGAAGCCTGCTTAGAATTTGTACGAAATACAAACGCTGGTACCTGAATTTTAAAAAGACGTACGTCTCTAACATGTAATATAGTGGCCAATTTCTATATTTTTTAAAAGAAACGGATACAATGGAAATGATTAGGTTAAAACTCAACTCTTGGATTGAAAAGAACAAACGAAGCGGATCACTTACTTTGATATCACCACGAGCCAGATAGAAATTCTCCTTGTACATATCCATCCACACTTCAGCCATTCGAGCAGTGTTGTATCCGTTGTAGTCCTTTTTGCCTACAATGGCACAAATGCAAACGGTCCGATAAAATGCGCAGTGCCCCCAATCTAATTCAAAAGCAGTGACACTAGATGAAGGCTTTAGCTCCTATCACAAAAAGTCCACTACCGTTAAAAAGCGATACCAAGAGGTAGGAATTCGTGAGATTGATAGTAAATACGAAATAAATAAAGACTATTCGTGTGACATTTCTAGATAGTGCAACAGTATGGAGAGCAATCTGCACAGAGAAAAGTTCATTTGAGAAACATGCTCACACCTTCTAATAAGTATAGGACTGCCAAATCAAGTTAGCAATTGACAGAGAGATGCTACTCCTTAGATGCCTTTCGTGAGTACATGGCTGTGCCAACAATTATATCAAAAAAAAGCCATAAATGGAGTGGATAAACGTAACATTTCACGCACTGGGAAATGAATATGGGTGGATAGCACGATAAACATGCCCAACGGTTGAGCAGGGAGAAAATTCAAGGGAGCCACCGCACTGCCAAATACGGAAGGACAACTCCAAGTTCTCACCACCCCAAATCTCCATTCCGTCGTCATAACCACCCAGCTTGAAAAAGTAGTCCCGGTGTATGGCAAAAAGGCCACCGGGCATTGTGAGGGATTCAATAGTGTCAACGTTACTTTGTCGCTTGACCACAGAACTGCGAGGTGGATGCTCAAAAACGAACATCCCATCCCAGGCGAAAGAGCCCACGCGGAGGCTGAGCCAACCATCTTCAGTGTATCGAACATCAGTTCGGAAGATTTTGAGCGTAAATCGGTCTATATTTGCTATAGCGGGGCAAACAACTGCGTCAGGTTTCTGCCAGATTCGATACAACAGGGGTTCCAACCAACGATAAGTCGCTTCACAATGGGCGTCAAGGAAAATAATGACGTCAGCTGTCGCGGCCTTGGCACCTTCAAGACGGGCCCTAATCAAACCTGTGCGCTGGGGAAGCCGAACTATTCGTACAATCCCATCTGGCCAGGTATTCGCGACAAATTTGTCTAAATTATCAAGCAAATCGCCTGGTTTTCGCTAAAAAGTAGGAAAACGCCTTACTTTGGGTACTTCCATCATCCAAAAGTATGACTTCTTTCAACAATGCCGGTGGACTTCGGTTCACTACTGAAAATACTGTTCGAATAATTAATCGAAAAGGTTCGTTAAAAAATATTAATATGACGCTCGCAGTGGGAAGCTTATCAGGATAGATAACGGCAAGGCACCTAAGAAAAAAACTTCACAAAAGGCAGACATACTCCTTAGCTGGACGATGACCGAGTGACCGGTCAAGTGCAACTAACTTGCAGGCATGGCTGTTGTACCCATCTGCATCGTTGACACGCTTCATTTCTTCATCAGAGATGCGTGCATCAACCCCACGTCCTAGCTCACCAGGCCCAGAACGAAACCGTTCGCTCACTGCGTAAGCATTGAAGCGCTCTGCACGAAATGCATAAGTGTCAATATCAACTGAAAGTGCCTTCAGAGTTTCTGAACTAGTTGTGGTGGAAACTCGAGGATCCTCACGAAGACAGAAGAAAAGAAATGCGTATATACATAGAGCAAGTAGGAGATGAGCTGGAAGTGAAAGCTTTCTGCAGAGATGATTAAATAATAGTAATACACGGGAACAAATTGATCTAGTGCCTGGAGAATTGGTCTTCTGAAACAGAAACGGGTTGAGTACAATCAGTTGCGATCAAAAAGGTGGTTCTTGTAGTATCAACACGCCTTATTGTTTCAGTATCAAAGATCCTATAGAAGCCCAGTCATTGATGGTACTAGATCTAGTAGAGTGAATACCTTATTATGTCAAGTACGATAAATACAAAAACATAGAATGAAGACTGACAGTAAACCCAACACCACCAAATCCGTTATTGTAGACGTGAAACTCGACAAACAAATAAGAAGACAGAACGAAAGTGGACAATTTGTGCAGTTCATAACAGTGCATACTAAAAGTAGGAACGATAAGTGGAAGCGCGGATACAACCAGAAAAAAAAAGACGCCTATAACGACACAGCCAGCTTTTCAGACAGGTTAGCGGTTCCAGCCTACCTTGAAACATCCCATTAAAAGTGACAGAACGAAATGATTAACAGTAAATTCACACGTAAATAGAGCGCACCGGAGCATGATAAACAACCTGATAAATAATGCCTAAATCGAAGAACAATTACTGTAAGTTTGCGAAATTGAATATGTCATGGGCGATTTCGAAAGGTGATTTTAAATAGGTTATTGTGTACCTTAATGGCAACTTAACTAGATGACGATCTTAATCTGTACAAGTGCTTAATACCTCCATGGCGTTATGCCCTCTATTTGCGTAAATAAGCTACCGGTGCTTTTTGGCCTGATAAAAAGTCCTTCATGCCAGCAGTTTCTAATACGTCTTGGAAAAGACACACGTCGTGTTAGTTATGCTAAATGAAACTTTTCTAGTAAGTAGCAAATCGAAGTAGTGCATAGAATGCTTGTTCAACTTTTCGTTTTGGTCACGTAGTACCGAAGGAATTAACGATTATACCTCCTCCCCACAGTATGGCCTCTGGACCATACCAGAAATCTCAAACCATGTCATCCTTTTGTGATACGTATTGGCCTTTGGGGAAGTCTCGATATGCCACACTGACAGAAGGAGAAAGCGAACCCCATCTTAGAGGACACCTACCCTGATTTCTTCTGCTGCGTGATGAACACAAGTAGCACATGGGAAAATATGTAACTACTTACGACAGAAAGGTCGAAGATAACGTCCATTTTTGGAGATTACCGTAGTCTCTTGTTCTGGAGGACTGCTATAAACAACTGAAGCAAGTGACGCTAGTTGTGCTACTTCTATAAAATTTTCGTTACAGAGCTGTTTATTATTCATGCATGAAGAATATCACTTGAACTGGCAATACCTTCTCCACTTCTCAACTAACTGGATAGAACTCAGAGAGATATGCCTGGGCATCACTGAAGCGATAACAAAGTAACGAGGAGGAATAGGCGCTAATCTGTACGCCCCATGTACTATGCTGAACCCCGACCTTTTTACGCTACTCTTCTTTGAGACCAGTGCCCCTATAACTAACAATAGGCATGCGTGATGACCAGAATATTTCCTCGTCCTACCAAAACCATTTCAAATAAAAAGTTTAAATTTAGTGAAATTAGCTAGAAGAATCAGTGACGTTGCGAGTAGGTATCATCTCGGTTGCATGGGAATTCTATGACTGGCACGCTTGCTTCATGGGTGTTTTCTTACACCACCAAGTACGTTGTGGTGTCTGACGTAGGAGGCTGATAAAGCAGAGCTCTAAAAATGATACTTACAAGACGACAGGAGCTCTGTAGTACATTGGTTGTTTGTTTAGCCTACGGTTCCGATAAAGAGGCTACTTAGGTGCTCCGCCACTGGATCTTGGTGGGGTGGGGTAGCCTTCATCCATGCCAGTAGCCCCAGGTCCTATTGTGTAACAAACATATGCATTCTGCTCCAAAATCAAATAGCTATTCAGAATTGTAATACGATAGTGGTTTATCCCTCGGTTCTGATGAGGCTCCACTTTTGAACTTTGAATTAGCCCCCTTGTACCTCGCTGGGTGGGCTGGCCTTTTGGGCCATGCCAATAGCTCAGGCACCTTCTCCGTGCTGAATATGTATATTCTGCCCGAGTATTGTGTCTTCTTTCGTCTTAAGGGAGTCTCGAGATGCTACAGAATTGTGGGCCTTTTTGAAGTCTAAAGTCAGCAAAGCCCTGTTACAATAAAGTTTCCCTTTTGTGAACAAATGAATTGAGAGTCGTAATTCAACGCCGTTTTTCAAATAACGATGTCCTCTATGGTTTAATATTTGTTTGACTGGGCATTTAGCCATGCAAGCTCTTTTGTGCGTCAGTTTGTATCCCCGTTTCGGTGGCTGATAAACTATTTTATGCTTCTACTTTACACAAAGGACGGCTTGGAACACTACATTGATGACAACGAAAAGCAAAATCGACTCAAAAGCCCAAAATTCCTAATTTGTTCTGTCAATTATTGATTTTCGGTACTACATAGGGAAGGCATTTGATGTAGATGACTGATTTTCCAAAGATTTTGTAGCAAAATATTTGTTGAGGCTACAGTTATTCTTGGCAATCTTTCGAAACTCATATACCGCGGCAATCTTAATGAAAGCATTCATTGAGTGAGCAAATAAGCTCACATATTTCTGCCTTACAAAGATACTTTAAAAATTTTCTTGTTTGACGGCACTTTTTGGGCAAATTTTCTCACAATTTCAAATTGGGGCATGAGAAACATTACCAGACTTGGACGTTACGAAAGCAATGTATTTACGCCCAACTCTCCTCTCCCAGTACAGCAGTTATACCATCAGGATGCATTATTCAATCTAAAATCTTAAAATCCTTCCGTCCTCATTAAAACCTAGTGGCTATTATTTCCGGCTCCTGGGTGGCTGTTAATGCACCGAATGTTATAAGATGAGCTGAGCAGATGGAGGTTTATAGGGCTGTGCTCATAACATCAAATCATTATGCTAAGATTTAGCTTTCAAATTCTGCAACAAACTTTGTGGGCCCCTTAGTCTTCGCTCTCTGGACTTCTGTCTCGGCGGTCTGGCCATCTGACCTTACTCAAAAATTCGTCTTAATTTAGTGCGTCAAAGACGAGTCTTTTGTAAAATCGCGGCAAATTACATCTTTAAAAATGCTAAAAGTAATATATTTAGGCAAGTTTTGCTAAATTTGGGCTAGAATGTTTAAATTGATTATTAGAAGGTCCTTTGGCGTGTTTAACCTGTCTGTTCGCGGAGGCGCGTGTTATGGGGGTCTTCGTATTCTGCATTTGTTCTTTAATTTAAGGGGTTCATCAGACTATTCAGTTATAAGGGTACGTGCAATTTATAGGCATCAATACTACCGTCAGTGTAAAGGTAGGCCTATAACGCTTGTTTCCCGCAACTACTACTGGCGTTGCTTTGTTCCAACTACTAAATAGTAGATAAAATTCGCTTTAGGTAGAATTGGGGTTTTAAGTGATAGATTTTCTCCATGTCAATTACTTCCCTCGTGAAGCTTTATCATTTGATCAGCGCGAAACCATCCACTTTTAAGTGTGCATTCGTCATACGGGGCTTATGCATATTTATGGCTTTTTCAAATTGATTTTGTAGATAATTATGCACCCAAGCCGGAGGATCGCAGTTATATGCCTCTTCCTGGCCTTTATCTTATGCATCATAAACCATTTGAATATCTTAGGGATTCTGGGAGGCCCCAGGTATGCCACTTTACTCATTTTTGTTACAAAATATGCTAGGGTTTTGTTTTCCGACGCAAGTTGCCTAGCATATCCCGTCTTTTTACTGTAGTGTTTTGGTGTGGCATTGCTTTATTGATCACACGTCTTGGTGACAATTTTTTTAATCGAACATCTTGTCCCACATTTTGTTTGCGGTTACAAAGGGCAAACTAATTAAGGAATTAAATTTTGCGATGGCGCAAGTTAAATTTGCTTTATGTAATGCAGCAGGTTGATGTACTGCACAGCAATTAAGCAATAAGCAACTCGGATGGTTTTCGTATGTTGAGTGGTATTTCTGAGGTGCACTTTTTTGTTCCCACCTCCTCCAGGATCACCAAAGAAGTTGGGAACAGGTTGAGTCATTTTAAGTCTGAGGATACGTACAAACCTCTGATGTGTTCGATAAATGGTTACATGAGTCCTGGATGCTATCAACTCAAGAATTCTACTCTCGTGGTCGATTTCAAGCACATCAAGTATTGGTGCGAAGTAAGTAGCGCGATGGTTGCTGCCTAGTTGCATGAAATTTATTTATTTTGCGTGATCAGCACATTATGACACAATGTTTCACCTCAAATGATGCATCAGTTGACCGCGACTTTCCACTGAAGTAGGGGCGAGGGTTTTCAAGGTGCCTTACTGAAGGGTAAGAAATTTTGTTGAAGAAAATTCACCTTTTCAACACGACTTGTGAAGAGCTTTGTGAGTTGAGACCATTTTCCTGTGCATTAGAACATCTTGTTCGGTGGAAAATTATTCAGAGTATTTCATTTCCGCGATGTCTTTAGCTACCTTTATTTCAAAATTCTTCATGATAATGGTAAATGGGGTCGCTTTAGGAACATTCGTAAGGCGTGTGGGAATAGGAAGTCTTACTCATTTATCTCCTACAGTCGGGTAGCTGAGGCCAACTCTGTTTAAAATGTGGTGCATTAATTTTCCCCAACCACGCAGATGGAAGGATACCTGAATCCCACCGAGGATGTTTTTCATATATCGAATGGAGGCGCACAATCTATTTCGCCTTTGACATTCAAGACACACGAACCCTTGGGCTACTATATGGGCAATCGCTTTTCGAGCAAACCTGAGGGCAAAGCGCGCATCCTTTTAGTCGATGCGGAGCACAGTGAGCCCTTCTCTCCCTCTACTATCTCTATCTGCTATTTCTTTTGCATATTACCGTCCACTCTTCTGTGAAATTCAGCTATCCCAATATCACGACAATGGGACCCGAGGGGTCACCCCTACCCCATTCAGATAGCCCAATTTGGTTTGGCCTGCTACAGTCGATACCGGACTCTGCAGAGTTGGAAGCCTTCTCCTCATGCATTTCCCTACCAAATGGTGGTTGATTTCAAGTCCCAATTCGCTAGTCATCTGAATTGCAGCAGTGACAACAACCATTGTAGTTTCGGTGGGTTATCCATTCGCCTCGACGACTGTTCCTGTACCAGGCTCTTTTTGCATAAACTTTCTGCTAATGCTGTTAGGACCATTACAGTTGTGTGATCATGAGACGTCAGGAACGTTTCATCAGGGGCTGCGTACATTAAATTCAATAATTTAGTTGATACCGTTTTCCTGCAACAATTGTCTGGTTTCTGTCAAGTGTCTGAAGGCATCATTTGTCTGTTTGAAACCTTTTTTCATTCATAGGAGAGAAGGCGGGATCCGTGAGCTACAAATTGACTGGTGCAAACCTATCCCATAATTTGACCGCTCTCATTACGAAGGGAGCCAATTGGCCACGTGGAACGCGGCTTGTCATCAATGTTTCTCTCAGGCTATCAACTCGGAGGCGGGCGCAGATCCACTTCGCCTGTACTGATACCTTTGGTGAAGGCAGCGTCGTCATAGTAGGTTGATATTGAACACCGGAAACGGAGTGTGGGATGGTGTGTGTATGCACGTTGATTTTCCTTTTTGTGTTTCTCTTCAGGAAAATGACTACTGGGCTTTAGGCTACAGTGAATCAGTTGATTTAAAAGTGGTATTCTTCCAAAAGCACTGTCGGAAGGTTGTGCTTCTGCAAAATCTTGAGATGGTTCTCATGAAGGCCGTTGACAGCATCAATCGTGAGGCCAAGGCTAAACCCATTCTTAAAAGTCTTCTTCTTGACTCTAAAACGCACAAACTGTAAGTAAGCCCGAGTATGATACTACGAGAAAGTCCTCCCACAAGGATTTTTGTGAGTCCCCCCCCTCTCACGCATACTTTTATTATACCATTTGTCAGAATGGTTGTTGATGCTGTGGAACTGAGGTATCCTCGGCAGAGCATCGATGGAGACGGGCCGGGGGTGGTACAGGAGCTCCTTCTTTTTGTCCCAATCAAGAACGAGAGGGTGGAGGAGGTGGGGAGTTTGCGTCACTTACTTGTGAACACCGAGTTTGAACGGCAGCGCTTCATGGCTGCGGCTGAGTGGCTGGTGCAAAACCAGGCGCAGGACGGCTCATGGCGAATCTCAGCCAAACATGTCTTAACCCGTGATATCTACCTCAAACCCGGCTGGTGTTCTGCCATGGGACAAGGTCGTTTGGATGCTGGAGCAGCTTATTCAACCCATGTGTACGAGTTTCTTCACACTCCCCCACCTTTGGTTTCTTACCTTGTTTACAGGACAGGGCATCTCCTTACTGGTTCGCGCAAGCCATGTGACCGGGGATGAGGTCTTTCTGAAGGCAGCTCACCGCGCTCTCGGGCCTTTCAGCCGCTCCGTCCAACTGTCACAGTCCTCCGACGAGGAGTGCGGAGTGCGTGCAAACTTTCTCGGTCAGAGCACGCTACCCTGGTATGAGGAGTATCCAGCCATACCCAGTGTCTTCGTTCTCAACGGCTTCATCTACTCCCTCATAGGCCTTTACGATCTCTCTAAGGTGGGCGATGATAGGTACTTCTGCTTCCCTTTCTTGAGCGTCTTTTTTTGTCGTGCGACTCAAGTCACATTTTTGTAAGGCGATATCATCGTTTTTACGTCACCCGAATCCGCCTTTGGAATAGTCTGGAGACACTGTGGGGAGTAAGCAAAAAAGTGGTACTATATTAGAATTGAGTTTCGTGATGAGCGGACGAAGACATGAGTTCTTTGATTGGCAAGGGTGTGGCAAATGAACAAGCTCGCACAGATGGGCGATTTTGTTGTGGAAATCGAACCACAAGGGCTGTTTGAGCTAACACTTATGTAGATAATGACCAGCCTCAAACAGATGCATTAGAAGGATTGGTGTGGTTCCAGCCTCCGTGACTGCCATCTCCACAGTACTTGAGTGCTTGGAAGATGGCAAAGTCGATGAAATGGGTAAATAGCGGAATGGTCTTAAGAAGGGAAGCTGCCGTGTAACTTCAATGAAAATAGAATCATTCTTTTCATTTTTTTGGAATGGCAAGTTTGTCATCAATAATCTATGTGCGTATATGTTGATTAACCACACCAAGTATTGTTTGGTATTCATAAGAACACAAACTTTAGTATTGGTGAGGGCGGACAGGAACGTAAGAAGTGAGAACAAGGTGGAGGTCTAGGTAAAATTGACAAATTTTCGAGTCGCTTGCACAATTGTGAATGTTGATGATGATCAGTTTGGTTAGCGCCTGACAGTCATGCGTTTGCACTCGCCTCCCTTTTACTTTCTCGCTAAGATGACCATTGTGAATAAAAGCAATAACTCCGTCACTGCGAGAGCCTCTCAACTACTGGAGGAGGGAGTCGGTACGTTGGTACGAGTGTTGCCACTCTACGATAGTGGCACGGGCTCTTTCTATGATCTGCGGCACCTCAGTCTGGCGCATGCCTTCCGTCTGTCACCCCGCATAGAGCGCCTGACACTGAGCAAGCAAGGAGTAGTGGATACGAGGAGTGGAACATTGCAGGCCCTCCTCAAGGCCGGACCGAACCGCGCACGGTGGCAGTATCACCAGATTCACCTGTTACAACTGTATCAACTCGCTGCAGTCATTGCGCCTCAGCATGCTAATCTTTGGCACATCTACTTTGACCGATGGCTGGCCTATCTGTGGGGCTTTAGATCTGACCACAACTGAATTTTACTTCCGTATTTCTCTGTATATGCCTGACTTTGCGCAGATAAATCTGGTTTATGCTTCTGCTAAATGTTTGATGGTTCTTCTAAATCATTGGATGTTTTAGGGATGTCCTTTTTTCTTATCTAGGGATGTGTGCTGCGTCGGTCTCCACGTGCCGTGACAAAGGTCAAGGAGTTATGCCTTACAGATCTAGAAATTTGGTTGGCTTAGGTATTTACTAGAGAGGGATTTGAGTTCTGGATTTGTGAATGCCAGAGACGATTTGATTTTGCTCAGTTAAACGGACATTATGGTGAGAAGATGGGATTTATTTGTCATACCACTGGGAAAACTTAGGAAGTAATATTTGCGTTATTGTGATACGTTGGTTGTTTTTTTAACGATCTGTTCTGACAACGGACTACTTTGCCTTGGCCATGCCAGTAGCTCTAATACCTGTGTGTCGAATACACATATTCTGGCCAAGTATTCCTACCTCTCTCGTCTCCAGGGTAGTCTCGGGGCGCCACATTGATGGCAGCAGAAAACGAACCCAACCTTAAAGGACATCAATCCTGATTTCCACTGCTGGGTGATGAACCCCAGCGGGGTGGAGGTACATATGCTACGGATGGGAGAATCGACGATGACTTCAAACAGAAGGGTTGAAATTGACTTCTAACTTCGGCAACTACCCCCGTCCTGTCTTCTACAGGAATGCCATTAACATCCGAGGCGATACTAGCCGTGAGCCATCTGGAAGTTTCGTTGCAGACTTTCCCTACCGTACCTACATAAAGATGTTGATGAAGTGAACTAGCGATACCTCCCCCATTTCCCTACTGGCTGGATAGAGCCTGGATAGATATGGCTGGGCAGCTTCGAAGTGGGAACAACGTGGCAAGGAGTGACATACGCAAAACTCTTCGCCTACGGGCCTGTGTTAAATCCCGTCCTTCCTTATATAAATCTGCTTTCGGGCCAGTGTTCTTACATCTATCTATGGACACGCATGGTGCCCAGCACAATTCCCCTTTCCTGAACCCATTTCTCAAACCGGACGAAACTACAGATTCAATTGAATTGGTGAGAGGGATCAGTGACACTGCGGTCAAGTATCTTCTCAGTTGCATGACTGACGTGGGTGTTTCTTTACAGCACCAACTTCGTAGTGATGGCTGACGCGAGAGGTTGACCAAGGGGAGCGCCGGGGACGACGCTCAAAAGAGGAGAGGGGCTATGTAATACGTCGGTTGCTTGTTTAACTCTCGGTTTTGGTGAGGGGTCACTTTGTCTTGGCCATTGTACCTCACCCGGTCAGCTGGCCTTCGGGCCATGCAAGTGGCTCTAATACCTTCTGCATATCGAAGATATATATTCTCCCCGAGTATCATGTCTTCTCTCGTCTTGAGGGATGTCTCGGGGCGCTACAGTATGGTAGACTATATTTTTCACCTTTCCATGCCATCACCAGACGTAGGTCTGAGATTGAATTAATGGTGATGTGCAATCCCAAATCATTGCAATTTAGGAAAGACTCAGGAAGCGCGATACCATGCAATTCCAAATCTAAAGGAATTTGGGTCTAAATCGTTAGTTAGAATACCAGTTTCTACAAAGAACGAAATTTAACCAAATGCCATAAGTCTCCTAAAACTTTGGTTACCGGGGATTGAGAATTTAGACAACTCCAGGTTGTTAATGGACACCAATTAGTGGTTAAGGCAACAGTTTACGCAAGGTTCCAACTTCTACTTTAGCACACTGTGCATTCTACAGCCCGCTTTTCGCGCTTGATTAGTGCCGTTATCGCATCGCCCAAATTCTTAAGCCCTGCTTAAAATCTCGAGATACCCTAGGAATCGCCATAGCAGCAAAATAAAAAAAACAATTTTAATCCTCTTCTCTTCCTTATGTGGAGTACGACTGCGCATGAATTGCGCTTTGCCCTAATTGCCCTAAAGAAGTTCAACCTTATGATGCTTATTGTGACAGTGATTGGCTTAATCACACAAAGGCATAGCCGAAATGACCCACATTGTTATTTTGAAACATGCGTCCCACGCTTCCTTTCCTGCTCTGCTTGGTGTGTACGCTTTTCCAGGCTGGTTCTTGGGAGGTTTGACTCCGGTATTTAACAGCTTCGTATTCAGCTTGCATGGAAAGAATTTTTCCATGATGGCTTGGAACACTTAGTTCTCGTAACTGCCAACTCTCTGACAGAACGCATTTTTTACCTAATTGGCAGTTCCAATCATCCTTCTCCATTATGTGCGATGATTCTGCGGGGCGGCCCTGAGTCTAATGTGACAGTGAATGGGACGAAATTTTTCGAATCGAACGTCAGTGAGTCAATCTCCAGTACTGGAATTACGGAGTCCAGTGGACTTTTGTTATACGACGTAAGAATCTACTTATTCTTGTCAAAGATAAAAAACTGTGTTTATAAAGTAGCACACAGAGTGCGCATTTGCAGAGCGGGTCATGACGTTGTGTGCAAAACACATGAAAGCAATGGCCTATGCGATGTCGTGGCCTGTTGACCTCAGCTATGTTTGGTTCTTCTCTGCACTCATAGTTGACACAGTGGCTACTTCATATGGTAGTTTTTACTGTAGGAATTGTGGGCCACCTTGTGGCATCAGGTTGTAATATCATCTGTACAACACAAAAGAACATTGAAGAAATGACACCTGAGTAGTCTGCATTATTGAATGGGGTGAAGAAATTGGTCGGGCAGGTGTCAAGAAAACCCAAATTCTAATGAGTGAGAATGGTTTTCAAGTGACAAATAGCTATGGTAGTGTACATCTGTTAAGTGTTGAGCGACAGTGCTGGTTCAAATCAAAGTGCTCCAAAAGCAAATTATACTTAAATGGATTCGTGGTTACTAGTTTGACAGAAGATGACAGATCCGGTCTACCATATCCCTTAGTCATGCTCGTGTATTTGTCTTAGCGAGTCATTTTGCGACTGTGAAGCCTCTCGTCGCCCCAAATTGCCACCTCTGAGTGTTATTTTAACTAAACAGGTGTGTGAGTATGAAGACAAGAAGGGAACTGCAACTTTTGAAAACTACGAAGGAGCTATGTGTCGAAATTCGGGTGAAAATCTGCGATGGCGTCTGCACCAGGGAGAATCGAACTTCGGTCGCGAAAAAGTGATCCTCAATTTCGTATCTGCCCATTGGGACCCCCCCAATAATCGGAGTCACCATAGTGTCAAGTTCCAGGTCAGTGTCGCAGTCGAAATCTGGCAGATTTTGCCATCCGACGAGGGCGTTGCACCGTCTAGTCCTATTGTGTCGTACAAGATAGTTTACTTCTGCTTACGAAGCTTTCATTACTTCTAAAGTTCACCATATCTACTGCGAGTGCTGACAATGCTCTTCCACTTCCCTTGGCACGTGGATTTGCAGCCAGTATGCAGGTCATAGGTCCACTGGAAAAGTCCTACGCTCGTCTTGGCATCGGAATGCTCATTTTTACCAACGAAACAATCCACCCTAGTCAGAAATTCCTTCAAACCAACTTGTTTGACTTCGGTGTCGAAGAGGAGCCGGGAAACTTTCTGGTGAGTCTCTCCACTGTCCACACTGTTTGGCACTGTCCGACCGATTTGCTCATGCGTGATAGCGAAAGTAGACATAATTGTTATCACTCACCACTCTTGTTCACTGTGTCTCCTTATTGGTTTGAAGTGAGTGAAGGGGAGACATGTTTTTCTCTCCATAGTCGACCGTCGTCCTTCTAAACAAGCGCGAGCCCCCGCAGGCGGGAGATGAGGTGGACATGCCTCCAGCCTATGTCTTCTGGAGGGACGTGTGTTTTGTCGATCCGGTGGATCGATGGAGTGCAGGACGACGCGTAGTGGCCTTTCAGAGCAGTCCAACGCGGAACAGCAAAACCAACAGACACATCAATCGCTCCCTTCCACAGGCCCTGTTCGGTTTCAAGCGGTTCAACATCCACGTGCACAGCAATGACACTGCCGCTACCATGAGTGAGTGGTTCGGCTTCGGCAGTGCAGGCGATGGGTTCTTCGTCAAGACCAACTACACTGACTGGTGAGCCTTGCAGATTGTGCACAACCCTCTCCTCACCCTTGCATGCATTTGTGAATACGGTGGAGGAATTGCGGTCTTGATAATAATCAGGTGGTATGGAAGCAGTGCAGCAGAAGGACATGACTGCATAAAACTGTTGAATGTGCTTTAGTTAAAACAGCACTTAGCTGGCTAGCCATACTTTGTGGACCAAATCTATTCTTCTACCATTGACTGGAACCATAAAATGATTGTAGAGAATGAGGCTATTTACACCATTTGAATTGAGAAGCGTGCGGTGTTCTTTTGCGGTATTTTTTTATTATCAATGCTGGAGCCTACTATAGGTGAGTTCACATCGAATGTCATAACTAGTTAGTAAATACACGATTCTGAAGTCAAGTGACGGAGAGATTAAATATATTTAATCCAATTGGGTGTTGACTCTCAATCATCGATTGCCTGCATATATTTTAACAGCATTTGCTTGTAGAATCCTGCTTCATAGGTTCTGTTTAGTTCAAATTTTTTAACCAAAGAAAAGTAATTTTCTGGATCCAGTATAAAACGCGATTGACAAGGTCTTCTGTTAATCGGCTTACAGGAGCTTTATAATGGCTCTGGGGAGTCCGCCTCCCGCCTCCACATCCGTGGTCGCGCGCTTTTTCACTCCGTTGGTCCTGCCGCTGTTGGCACTTTTGGGCAGTGTGGCTTACATCTACGCCAGCCAGCACTGGGCCCCCCCCCTCAACGATGGCACTGAGGTCACTCGACCTCTCATAAACGAGGTTAGTATTGGTGAGGCAGATGACGATGGTGGATATCCGGGCTTCGGCGACCTCAACAGAACGCGCTTGCAGGAAAACAGCAACATCGAGGGCGACGAAGCCACCGCTATCCCCACGTCCTCATATGGCGCCATATAGAAGTCCTCCACTCCCCTCTCATCGCTCTGTATTGTATTTTCCTCCCGTGTCTTGAGTTCTTTTCTGACAGCTATTTGCGCCAAATGCCAAAGACGTAAGAATACATACATTGGTGGTCTTTTGAGTATGTTGCACTCAATCGGGAGACTTTTTTTCTAAAAAAAATAAAAGCAATACATAGGAGCGGTTGCACTACGGCCTCTACCCGATGTCACCAGCCTATCGTTATCGGGCGGTGTGATTGCTTGACAGTCCTACTAACAGTCAGCTGTTGGTGAGGTGTCGAGTGGACACAACTGGATCTCCTCATTCTTCTTTCATGATCACTAGTATTATCAAAACAGACGGTAATCCGTATTCCACGCTAGCTGCGAAGTCTCAATGGTCATGTTTAAACCAGCAGTACTTTCGTTCACCCGCCTACTCTAAACTCATTGCCAAAGGCAGTGGAGATCGAGAGAGCTTTACGGAGTGGCTGCAGAGGAACAGTGATAAACCAGTTGGGAAATTCCATGCACAACTTCCCGACGATTTGTTTCCGTAACGCAAGTCGGCCGCGGGGAGTAAATCGTCGCGATCCTGCATGCCTTGAGGTGTTCGTCCTTTGTTCAACAACTGAGCGCAGCCAAACGCGCGAACAAGTGCATCAAAAAGGGTGACAATTGAGTGGATGCCAGTGGCAATAGATTTGCTTAGAACATGGGGGCAGAATACCAATAAACTTTGGATCAGTGGGTGAGGGGAGGGGTAAAAGGAAGGAAGGCAGTTATCAAGTAGGAAGAGGCAGGGAGTCGGCAACCAATGGTAGGAGGTCAGCGGTTCGGAGTCGCCAGTTGCGGAAGTCCTTGCTCACTCGACACCATGCCTCTCCGTGGCGTGGCTCCGCCGCTATGCATCGCTTCAGCACCTCCTTCTGCTGGTCCTGCGACGGAGGCGAAAAATAAGTGGGATTACAAAAAGGTGCATTATTTAACCGTTGAAGGTGCTGTAGAAGAATCAGGAAAAGCAAACTCACTTCGGTTCCGTGAAGTTGTTCAAATTTGTAGAAGTACGCCCACGCATCTCCCAGGTCGGATTCCAGCTTTACGGTTCGCATGAACCAACTGCGGGCCTTCGAAGTGAGCCGCTCCGCCCAGAACATTCTACGATGTGGTGAGAAAAGCCGAAATGGTAAAACCGTGAGAGGAGAGACGAGAGAAGAGGAAGAGGAGAGCTTACTTCGAGACAGCAAGCAGGACAAGGGGGTCGTGCTCGCATTTCTTCAATGCGTCAACTGACTTCATTTTGCGCTGGGGCCGGATGGTCATAAAAATTGCCTCCGCCCACAAACATCCCGCATTTGGACACTCCTGCAGAGCCTTGGAGAGCAACGACTCTGCCACGAGCTTCAAGTTGGCTCGCATCTCCAGTCGAATAGACTCCAGCCTAGAAACAACACCAACGAGTGCAAAGACAACCAGCCGTCTCTCCAACTTCTCGGAAACACTATTGCAAGGAAATGGAATTACCAGAGAGCTGGCTCCTTGGGGTTCTTCGATCGTCCCTTCTCGAGGATGGAGCGGGCCTTGGTCATGTTTCCTGTCTTTTCCTCCAGTCTCGAGAGAAGGATCCACAGGGTAGTGTTATGGGGGATTTCCTTTGTCTGCGAACAAGAGGCAGTAAACGCATCAGGTGTCATGCGAAATATCGTCGTTGACTAAACCTAGCACTAAAGCTAGCGACTACTTTAATGCGAGGATTGCGTGTAGTTGGCATTTTTTGGACATTACCGACCACCGTTTTGAAATCAAATTCATTAAAGTCAACACGATTCGGTTTTGTAATGAGCACACTACCATATTATCTTTAAACGAATGAATTAGGGAAAAAGGAATTTCTAATCGGGAAAAGTGAGGTTTTTGAAACGGCTACTGATTAATCCGACTGAAGGGGATTCAATTGTATTAAATCAAATCTTCACTTGCTTAAAAGGTCAGGAAATTGCATAACTTGGGATGTCGTTTCGACAAGACCAGTGCCACCTTTCATGAAATTCTTACCTTATTATTGAGGGCAAGTACGCAACTTTTCTTCATAAGAGCATAAATTCAAGTCAATATTAAAAGGATAGAGCGTACCCCTTCGCGGAAGGCGTCACGCGCCTGTTCGAGGAATTTTTCGTGCTCCTCAGGTCTCTGTTTAGCGAGAAGTTCGGCCAACTGGCCGCGCATCATATGGAGCTTGGGCTCGAGGGGATACTTGGCGCAGCCCTCCTCGAGCATCTGCGCTGCAACCTCGAGGTCGCCGAGGCACCACTCGAGGCGCGCCGACTTCATCCACACCCGCGCCGTCGGCGCCGAGGAGCGCGCCTTCTCCAACAAACGGCGTGCGCGCGCATACTCCGAGTTCTCCGACTCTAGCTTCACTGCCGCCAGCCATATCTCCTCCGAATTGGGGTTCGCTTGGAAAGCATTGGCTAGCGTTGATCGTGCAGCTGGTACGTCACCCTGCAAGGCAAGTTGAGACGCGTCAACAAGTCTGTGGGTGTTTAATTAAAACTGTGAATCACCACCATCACCACTCTACGATATTTTGATGTGTCCTGATATCACTTACTACGAATTCTTCTTAACTTGAACCGGATCTAAAATTCATGCCCACAGACGTAAAGTTACATTCGATGAAACAAGTAATTTTCACGAATGTAAATTTTTGTTGTCGTAATGCCCTAAGTGTTGTCGGTGTTTCACACTTAACTGCATGCGAAGACTCCGTTGATGCACTAGATTGTTGTGATTGCCAAATGCAAAAAAAATTTACTCCGAAAGGAAGTCGCGGAAATAGCTTCTGGCTTCAGTTCTGGTGCATGCACGTTTGCTTAAACGCAGCCTTATAAGTGAGCGCATTATAAAGTAAGTGAATGCACTGACACAAAAAAACACCCACTGAAGGCGATTGGAGTATAAAACAGTTGATGCGTTAAACGGTTTATCTTTACTAAGTTCTATCAGTCTTGTATACTCTCTCGACATTTGCCAGAATGTAGGAATTAACACCCGGACTGACTAGCAAAAACGTGGTTACGCTTTACTAACATAAATGAGGTGGTGTATTTTCTGTAGGCGTTGACTTACAGCGAGCCACTTCGACTTGGCAGACATGAGCCAAAGAATCTCTGCATGGGGGCAATGCATTACCGCCTGATCCAGCAACTCCTCCAGCGTTTCTCTTTATAAAGGAAAAGGTTATTGAAGCGGTAAAAATAGTTTTTGGATATAGGTAACGAATATACGCTAAATATATGCTCTACCGTTACTACATCAGTAGCGGTAAAAGAGAGGCGGATGAACATGCCTGGTGCCATGATTGCGTTCAAAGTAGGCGGCACGCAGCCAAATGCTCTTCTTTTTGGGGAACTGGGCCAGCGCCACGGCGTAGATAGCCCGTGCACACTCGATTGCCCCATTTGTTGCACACGACTCCGCATCTGCTAACCATGTGTGCTTCTTGTCCTGCTCCTCTATCCCGTGACCGATGATGGCTTTTCTAGATGAGGATAAGAGTGGCTAATTATGAAGCGAAGTGATAAGACCTGTCTCAAGCAAATATTTTCTGACATATGGGGAGTAGAACCCCGGGGAACGAGAACTACACCTGGCGAATCTCAGTGCCTATCACCGCCCGTACACAGTAAAGTACCCGCGAATGAAATAACGAGAGATCGTCTGGATCCCAATGCCTGTTAATCGTTGGTGGAAAGGGGGATAAAAGGGTGATTGATGTTCATACTATGAATGATAAATGAATAACTTTGTAATGGTAAAGGCAAGGGTTTCAAAATTTACATGAATTCTGTCGAAAGGAAAATATGGTTGTAATAAAGTAATATTTTTGGTGTATTCTTAAATGGATGACTCAAAAGCTACTTATATGAAGTTTTGTAACGATTGAGAGGGGATAATAGTACATATGAAGTGGATGAGTTTCACCCAAACAAAAAAGTAAAGGACGCGAGACCGCTCTAGGGATTAATCTATCCTTCATCGCGATAATCATAAAGGAGTACTCCAATAAGTGGTATCAAAAGACTCCAAACCAATGAAAAGTCTAAAATCGGGTCAAGACAAAAACAAAGAAGCAGAGGAACAACTGACATGATGGCCTGAGCAGTGAGGATGGACTTGGCCTTCTCACACTCCTCAGCCTCCTTGATCCACTCGTCGCGGTTGATCTCCACCATGTTGGCCTTGAGCGACTGGACCCCGGCGTCAATGATTTTTCCCACACGGGTGCACTGTTCATTTGCCTCCTCCAGGCGGGCGGCAGCGAACCAAATCTGCCGTTCTGTGGGGATCTGCTCGTGCGCCTTGTTGAGGACTACCCGCGCCTGCTCGTAGGTCTCCAGTCGCGCCAGTGCCAGCCACAGCTCCGCTGAGGTGGGACAGCATTCCACCGCCAGGCTCAGCATTACCCGTGCGTCCTCCTCCTCCTCCAACTCCACTGCCAGCTTCCACAATCGCACGGAATTCGGCACGCTCTCCAGCGCTTTCAAGCACACACATAATCATCAGCTTGGGGTGTTCACACCATTTAAATGACAAGGACAATATCACACTAGTCACCTTTCTTAAAGACGGTCCTCTTGGCCTTTAGCTCAGTCTCCAAGTCGGCGGCCTTAACCCAGAGACCAACCGACTGAGGCAAGTGAGTGATGGCCTGTGCAACGATAGATTTTGCCTGGTCAGGAGGACAGAGGCGAGCCGCCTCCAACCACACGTCCTCTGAGCTAGGACACTTCTCACAGCCCCGCATTATCAGATTGCGCGCGACCTAGTAAAAGGCAACAGAGTGGACATTTTCTGTTGCTGTGCCAACAAGACGGAAACTGGGCAGCTTGAGTGCTAGCCTCCTAAGGAAAAGCAATTTCATCTTCAGGATATAATAGCCCTGAACAATCACCTTTTATAAATAACCCCAAGTCTTGAAGGCAACGATCACTAAACTTGTAACGAATTGAGATTTGTTTTAATTATGCAATAAACTGCATGAACCTTTAGCAGTCGCGTGCAATTCGACAACTACGCTGATTTCGTGCCGCCATATTCAAGTCAGTTAAACTAATACCAACATTCCGGCTCTTTTACGTGGTCGCGATAAGGCTATCTCCAGGTTGGTTTTTCTTTTACCAAATTCATAGATAACTCGGACGCAAAAAACTTGTATCTTGTCAGAATGAAATTAGTCTATTCCAAAGCAAATTCCTTGATGTAGAGAAGTAGCAGTATGCAAGATGTGGACAAACCTGCAGTTTACCAGCGATTTCTTCAAGTCGTGCGGAAACGATCCAACCAGGCGGGTGCTTAGGGTTGGTCTCACGCATCGACTTGAGGAGAAGTCGGGCCTTCTTCACGTCGTTGATGTCACCGGCGTACTGTGGAATCATTGACTGCAGGTCCGTCAAATATCCCTTAGGGTCCACTACTGTCTGACCCGACACACTGTCCGACACCTAGGAGTGGAGAGGCTAATCAGCGCTAAAAGTCGATTCCTCGTGGACGAATCCGGGGGCATATTCAAGAAACGTACGTGAAAGAAGGATAAAAAGGATCGCAATTCCCGTAGGGATAGATACCTGGTTAAGCTTAATGTCCATTAGTGATGTACGAGCCTGTCCGATTTTCTTCATGTCAATATCACCTGTGGGTGTTTGGGCGCCGAAAGGCGTAGTCAATCCGCCCAGAAGCTGCTCTGCTGGGTCTAACTTTGTGTTTAGCTACAAGAGCGGAGCAAATAAATTAGTCAACAAACCTACGAACGTGAAGCATCATTTGTGGGTGGTTTTAAAAGAAACGGCACCGTATATTATCCACGGGGTCCCATTTCTCAAATACTTAAATTGTTAGAGCCCCAAATCTCCTATGTGTAAGATATTTTTGTTTTAATGAACCGCCGTAATCTTTGCTGAAAAACGGAATAATTAGCTTCTCGGGTAGTTGCCTTGTAAATCAGTTGATTTCTGAATAAGCCGTGGTGTTTTAACACGGACGAAAGACAAGCAATGCAGTACACAGTTATAAATACAGTGGAGTTTATGCCTTATGAGATCATATAAGGAGGACTAACCTGAGTATCCTGAAGCCCTTTAGCCAGGATGCTATCTGGAACAGGTGTGAAGACTTCAGCACGCGGATTCCTCTGACGTTTGTTGCGTGAGTCGCCCACTTCGGGTAGACTGAGCCACTCACTCTCTGACACGCTTGCTAGTTCCCTCTTGAGGTCGACAAATTGCTGCTGGATTTTTGGTCGCTCCCGTCGATAACGCTCGATTTCTTCTGCTTCACGCTTTTCTCTGTAAGTTTTGCGGCGCTCATCCATTCGCTCGTCAATCGAGGCGTAGATCTCATCTGCTTCCTCGTCATCTTTTTCGTAAGGATCCTTTGAACAAATGCTCCCACCGTAACCTGTGAACTAATTTAGTAAATGCGTGCTTATAACCGATGGGAAGGATTGGAAACAACGATGTGGAGCAAGGGAAGTTATTTGACATTCGGTTTAATTAAGTGCAATTATGTGACATATTTTATTATCAGCTCACAAAAAAGTGTGCCAAGATAAGTAAGCTTAACATTCTGCAGCACTGCTTGGTCCAGTAAATAATTGGGCACTGCATTAAGGTAAAGACTAACGAGAGTTTATTGACCCCGTAATTTGAGGGAGAAACAAGAAAATCTAAGTCTGATGCATTTCAACAATATCGCTGACGCAGTTCACAACATTTAAAATCACAAATGAGTTGATGTTTGTAATGACTGCAACTACAAGGTCGCAGAAAATACAAGACAGCCTTTGCAACAGCAAGGAAAATGCAAAATCAACCTCGTCGTAATTTGACTCATTAAGATCTTCTTCAGTTTCTTCTTCTTTTTCTTGCTCTTTCTTCCGCTTGGACGGAGCCATATGACGTTCGTCCGAGACATCTGTAGCCTCTCGAGCTGGACCAATATCAGAACGTGTCGTGAAACCAGTGGCACCACGGCCGACACCAGCAACGTATCCCAATGGCGCCGAGAGACCAATAAATTCCCTCCTTTTCTTCGAAACCATTGACTGAGACATCGTGACAAACCACCACCGCTTCGCAAATTCGTACTGACCGGGATGCACGTGGTCACTTATAACAAAGGCCGATTAATAGCAAATCCAAAAAAAAGTATCTTTGGAAAGATTCAAGCGGACCAAGTTTGGTTTCTCAAAAATGTTTTGCTCAAATGCCAGCTTAAGTTGCTGAGTGGAATTTGGCAATATTTAAGACTACAATAAGTTACATTTGGATCCTATTTACTTTTCTTATAACAACCATATTTGATAGGAAATTAAGTATATTATTTACGTTGGTAAAAATGAACATTACATTGTCAGGATGACCATATGGCGACAGGCTGCACGTACCTCTCACCGGTTTGTGAGATCTGGTTGCATTAAAGCGACCCTTAAGCTAACTTCTTGAGTCAGAAACAAGGAAATCCATTTTCGATTTTTTCAGCCTATGGATATTTAAGTCTTTCGGTTAGGAGGAGGCTAACTTTCAGCGCAAATAATCGTGTATGGTATATTTTTCCCTATGCCTGCGACAGAGAATGCGATCGCCGATTATCAAACGACGTTTGCTTTATGATAGCACAGGAACTAAATTAAGCCTTTAATCAAACTCATTTTATCACTTTTGACTTTTTAGTCATTTCTACGGATGTGATAAGCCACATAAATGCAAATTCAAGGTTCATTCGTAGTCCACAGAAGGAGTAGAGGGTTGTAAACAAGACAGTGATAGAAATTTCCAAGGCTGGAGAGCCCACATTTTACCACCTAGTAATAAATTATAACTTGGAGAACCTAAGTAATCCATTTATCAAATGGCCCCTCTGAGAAAGATGCTAGATGATTTAAGTATTTATAATTTAGTTTGAGAGTAAATAGCTATCAAGAGTGTAGTTTAATTCATTTCTCAGGAGAATTTTCCTGCTGTTGGTATGAAAAGAGTCCACAAAGTGCTGGAAGAAGATATGCTGATGAGAACCAGAGCTTGCACATGACAACTACAGCTGCGCACCAAAACATCAAACGATGTAATTTACACCAATGCCCACACAATTGTGTGTACGCTGGCATGGCGACATAGCAGGCAAACTCAAGTCCAGCTCCACTCATTCCTTACGCCAACAATCAGGTGACCATTCGACCTCGTTCAAAAAATTTGCACTGGCGATCCCATCGATCCAAGGTCTGGAAAGCTAGTTGGAGGAAGCTCTTGTATTCAATCAGCCACTATGTTTTGTTCGGACGCGCAGACCTTGGCCCAACGCGCAGCTCCTCGAGAGACACCGCCGTGCTTTCCTGAGCAAGTCTACGCCACTTCAAATGGCATTGAGAGTGGTGTCTCAACTATTGGTTTTCGCTCGGGTCGCTACGCACCAGAGGAGGCGCGTGCCGCCCTGGAGAATCGGCTTGCTCTGGCGCAGCTGGATGTTGATGTAGGTGAAAAGAATCGCAGTGATAATAGGAACATGATAATGGAGGCGGAGGAGCGAAGTAAAGCAGATTTCCAAAACACCACGGAGCGACTGAGAGAACGTCTCACCGATCTGCATCTATGGAAGACTGAAATGGAGAAGGAGATCCTCAAAGTGATTGACATGAGTGAATCGCTGCTCAGACGGCTGGCGGAGTTGAATACCAGCCTCAAAACGCTGGATGAGTGCGTTCTCCTGACAACGGACTGCTTAAACGCTCGACAACGACGATTTGGGGAGGACTTGCAGCAAGACGAAGTTGAGCTTCAGCTCATAAAGGTAAGCGTCAATCTGCTCATTGTCTAGGTGTAAATAGCTTATTTTATAGTTTTTTCGCAAATTTTGAGCGCATGAAAGACTGAGGCCTAAAATAACATGTCACTTTTTCATAATTAGATTTTTTTCACTGATATAAAAGTGTTCTAAAAACTCTGCAAGTATTACTTGAGGACTATGATAATCATGTTGTTCTTCGAAGAAGAATGAAATAAGAACCTCTCTCCGTGCTATATATGCCAATAAGAGTGGCAAATTAATGAGCCATGGATTTACAAAGAGCTGTGGTAATGTGTTTCTTAACAGCTACCACCTTAAGCAACTTTATATTCGAAATTGAAATCTTTAGCGATGGTCATGAGCAGAAACTCAAAATGGACGTTTTCCAGCATTGACAGCCAAACCACTGCATTGAAAGACTTACATAGAATTGCGGGTTTTGATACTGATTAGGACCGAACACTCGAAGTCTACTATTTGCCGCTTTTGTTTTTGAGTTTTGGAGCACCTGAATTATTTCCGAGTATAGTATGCAGGCTACTCTCATAGTATTATTTTTTATCCGCTCTCTAGCGGCGTACGCAGATCAGCATAATACAAAAGCATTTAATTAACCATACGAAGCGAGGTGCCTGAATGAACTCTGCCTTCAATGGTGGGGATAAAAGACTACAAATTGGCGACTATAGTACTGATATTTTAGTTTCAGCAGTACCTATCGTGATGTCTTATTTGCTTTTTTAAAAGGAACTCGATATCCTTAACAAGGCCATTGCTCTGATTAAACGGTCAATAGAACAGGTCAACGATCAACTCAAGTAAGCTCTGCCTTCTATCCATTTGCTTTGTTATAATTATAATAGAGAAAAATACGTAAAAATTGTCCCTAATGTACATTAAGAAGGTTTTCGAATCGAACTGGGACTTATTTGGTTAATAACTGCGGGGAAGAGAATAAATTTCAAGGAGTGAAAACCGCCTCTGTTTTTGGCACAGACCCCAATGTTTACGAAAATTGAAAAACATTTACACATAAAAACGTATTGACACCACCTCAACAGTCTGCTTCACTTTGCCATTCAACCAATCTCTCCTAGTCAAAAACGGAAGGCTGTCTTAGCACTTGGTGTCTGCTAGCATTTCCAGATTGCAAATGCGTGTAAGCGGCTACTTACTGTTGCCGCAGAAAGGTCTGTTCCTCGTGAAGTTTCCTTACAAGATATGCGCTCATTACCTCGGGGTTAGTTATTCCAGGGATGATCCCTGAGCTGCAGATTGCAAGCCATTGCAATCGGCTTCGCGTGCATAACGGATGTTTGCCGGTCTTTAAAACTTACATTATTCTACTGCCTTACCGTCAAGTGGCCAAGTGTCCCAGCGCCGAATTGGGATGTCGTTGAATTCTTCCACTCGAGTAGATATCTGCGTATTTCACGCCCCCATTTGTGAGGAACTACCATCTCACCCCACTTAATGCTTCCACTACTGCCTTTACCTGCAATCTTGATTAACAGTGCCTTTACTGATCCCAGCATATGCCAGCGCATACGCTACGCTAGAAAACTCTTTTACACCTGTAAATAAATGTTTTGGTTTGTTTGAAAGCTCCTCATACTTTAAGTATAAGTATGTCGAGTACATCCTTCTCACATTTAGCAACTATTTTATTTATGAAAAAGTTTTCACACAAAAGTGGCATGCGTAGTAGAAAGACAATGATATTTCTTCGAAGAATATGGGTAGGTGAATAGATGAAGTTTAGAGACAGGGGCAAATAAATAGATAGCTGCATGTAATGCTTTTGCGCTATTAGCCGAAACCGCCTGGCAAAGACAAATCTGGAGAAGGCTTGGAGCGATAAACATGAGGCCGACATGCTGGATACGGAGGGGGCACACCTGACTCCCGAGAGCACCAACAAGCAGCACTACGCGGGCGAGGCCCGCAGCTGGCCTCAGGCCGCCCAGTCCACAGTGGAGTCATGGACCCAGCACGCTCATGATCTCATCTTGCGCTCGGAGCACGAGCGTATCGCCAGTGATCACCTCCTCCAGCTCTGCGAAAACATCCTCCACGACGTCGAACGTGACGTTATTCAGCAGAAGGATACAGTCAATGCAGCCTTCCAGCGACGACTCGACGAGTACGAGTGCGAGAAAAAGAACCTCACTGATAAACTCAGAAAGGTCTGTTCTCTCGTTGGAAGACCATAGGCTTACTGCTACTATTTTATGTAGTATCTACCTGTACCGCTACAAACCGGTGCCATCCCATACAATTCTTAAACAGTTTTACTGCATCATCAGTCTTTGTGAATGAAGTGGCATGATTTTCCCCATCTTGTAGACATGCGATGAAATCGCTAAAATGGAACAAAGCATCAAGGAATTGGAGAATGCAATAGTTGCCAAAGATGCTTACGTCCAGACAGTTCAGACGCGACTTCATTTGCACAACCAGCGACAAAATGTCGAAAACTGTCGTGATCCACCTCAGAAGGCGTATGTTTTTGCACCTTAATTGTCGATCAGAGAAGAAGACATGCCGTAACCTTACATAGAAGACACTTATACCTGTGTTTGCAATTCTGTGACTGTCTCATATTTTTTACTTTTAGAATGCTGGATGAAATGCACAACATTCAAGAAACAATTGATAAGTTGAGAAACCAGTTGTCGAACACGGAGAACAATCTCAGGCACCTCCAAGATGAGCAAATGGCTCTGGAGAAACAAATCCACATGAAGAACGCCTCCATTCAGGTGGACAGAGACCACTGCGCTCGTCACCGCATGCACTTCCCGGCAGCCACGAGACTTTGTGGTCATTAAGCAACGGCAACCCATAAGACTATTTGCGAAGAAGTACAGCTAATGTATTTCTTGCTAGTGAAGGACGAAAATGTTTTTATAAATAGAATTGCCGCCTCTCACCTTGGTTCATATTTACTACTAACAAGTAACAGTAGCGGTGTATACGGTGTAGTTCATTGCGATAAGATGTAGTGCTCTCTGCAATAAGTCTAGGCAACGCCTTACTTATTAGCAAAAAAAAACTAAAGCCCTTAATCCGAAGTTTTCTTAATTCATTATAATGATTTTGGAAGCTAAGATCTATAGGTATCTCTATAGGATATGCTAGAAAGATCAGGTGAAGTGGTCAATGGTGGAGGACCACCGATTAAAGCCAGTAGTAAATGTTACTTTAATCTATGTGTGAAAAAAAATGCGTTCCCAGATTTGTTGATGTAAAATTCTTTTGTAGGAGCGTCATATCGGTAGAGAAAGGAGATTTGCCGGGCGTCGACTTCTAGTCTTATTGGCGAATTTAAGCCCTTTAGCTTTTATTGGCCATTTTCAAGGAGAAGGGTAGGCATCTGTCTTAGGATAACCTGATTTTCCAAAACCAGTCATATAATCAGAGTAGAGAGGAATCATAAAAGCTAAAATATTTTATTGAATTGCTTTAAGCACAAAATCAAGGGCAATCATTTAGCAGGCTTGACCAACCAGAACACGTATTCTTCGGCAGTACTAGGGTAGTAAGGCACGCCGGAATCGTTCTTGATGGGTATAAATTTAATATGATGATGAAGAAGTCAAACACTCATATCTACCATAAAATTAAGCATTGTTTTATAATGACAACCCGATTTTGAAGGTAGTTGATGGTCCTGCTAATCCTTACCGAAAGGCAGATTCGGTAACCGTAAAAGTGACGCGAAAGCAACAGGATCGCTTAATTCGGCAGATTTTGTTATACCAAGTAAATGTAGTAGACACTTGACCTCTCATCCCTATGTCAGCATGATTTGTTGGTTTGATTGGCCTACTTTGTACTATTAGGTAGTAAGAGGTAAGGGTGAGTTAGGCACGTGGTGTTACATGGAGCATCAGTAAAATTGCCTCAAAATGCAACGAAACTCCATTTTATGATAATCGAGCAGGCTTATTTTCCATGAGAGTCTTTCAGAGTTACAAAGTAATGTGGAGGTATAGGGGATTCCTTCGCCAATATTGTCCATTGACCACTGTTGAGGGAGGCGACAGCTGCCCAATCTGCCAACTCCTCGCATCTTAAACCCATACCGTGGTATCACAGATGATGGTTCAGATATCCTGAATTAACTACGAGAGCGCTTGTCTGAGA